ATTGGTCTATAACTAACAAAGTCATTTGGGTTGAGAGATGGTTTCTTAAGTAAATGTTTAATTACAGCAACCTTAAAAGCCTTTGGTACATATTCCTGTAACAGGGAGAGATTAATCACATCTAAAATGGAGGAGGAGATCAAAGGGAATACCTCCTTAAATAACCTGGTTGGAACTGGATCTAATCTACAAGTTGAAGGCTTAGATGAAGACAGTAGTTTTGCTAACTCTAAAAGTTCAACTGGATCAGAGCAGTTTAAACCTGGTTCAGATTCTATGACTACCTCAGATGATGCCTCACCTTCCAGGGATAAACCAATCATAGTTAGATGAGTGCTAATTATCTTATTTTTAATAAAATCAATCTTATTTTTAAAGAATCCCATTAAAATATTCCTGCTAAGAGCAGGTAGTATGGACGGTTCAGTGGCACTATGGCTTTGGGTGAGTTTTGCAACTGTATTAAAAAGATATAGGATTATTCTTATTCTCCTCTATTAATGAGGAGGGTCCAAAGTAAGATGATGAGAATGTGTGGGACTATTCATATTTTGAACAAAGCCAATAGTGTCTAAGATAGCATTAAAGGCTGCACTTAACCTATCACATTCAATGTAAGCATGGATGATAAAATCCCCCACTATGATGCCCTGTCAGTATTCAACACCAAATCAGATAGGAACTCTGAAACCTCATTTACAAATTCAGAGTAAGGACCTGGTGGGCAATACAAAGTAAAAAAAGAAGAGGCTTTCTTGCTTCGTAATTTGGATGAGGGAAACTAAGGGTTAAATGTTCAAAAGAGTTGTAATTATTAACTGCCTTTGGAGTAATCAGTAAGTCAGACTGAAAGATTGTTGCTACTCCTCCTCCTCAGCCAGAATTTCTGGGTATGTGAAAAATTAAATAACTAGAAGGGGTTGCCTCATTTATGCTCACATAATCCTATTGCTCCAGCCAAGTTTCTGTAAGACAACATTAATCAATGTGATTATCACAAAGTCATTAACTAGCAGACTTTTGAAGAAAGAAATCTTATGTTAAATAAACCACATTTAATCATTTTAACTTTTTCCCCAATTGGAGTTATTTTTATTTTTATCAGATTATCATGATTCACTCCTTTGGGAATCTTTTCTTATTTATTTGATTTTGATTGTGGGCAAGACACTGTCTGGTTGGAGTAATGAGTGGGTAACAGTAGAGAAGTTGCTGAGAGTTTGCACCCTGGGTTGTCAGTGTTTTGGAGGACTTATAAATTCGGACAGATTCCTAGAAAGAGGAGCTGCACCATCCAAAGTGGGATGGATGCCGTCTCTCCGAATCCGACCAAGCTTTCCCCAAAAGGATTACCAATTATTAATGTAGCCCACATTGTTTTCAGGACACCACCTAGACACCCAGCGGTTGAATGACGACATGCGGCTAAACATGCCATCACTGATCAGGGAGTGGACCAGAGAAAATCATGGAGTCTGACATTGTTTTGGCAAACTTACACAATGAAGCAGCACAAGTTTTAGTGACCTCTCATTGGCGTAACCGGTTGTCATTACCACCAAAGTGAATAACAATCTTACTGTATCCTGCAGAAATTCTCAAACTTATCTATCTCCATCATTCCAGTGAAGCCACTTTCCCACTGAAAACCTGTGTTTTTTTAAATTGGGTTGACCCTCTAACAATCCGCTTTTAGCTCTTTTTCGCATTTGACCAAAAAGCAGAGTCTGACCTCCTGCAGGCAAGTTGTGTTGCCATTGTCCGCCACCACTGCGTATCTGGTGACAAGCATTGCACCGGGTGAGCCTTGATGATGTTCACAATGCAACGGAAATCAGTGAAGTAAATAATGGAGAGCAACATGGACAGAGCATAGTCAGTATTCTTTATTATTTCACTCTTTTAGCTGTCCGAATAAGTCTTACTAGTGCTCCACCATGTTAATTGAAGGTAAACAGAGTTGTTTTATGGAGCTAGATCGTTCTCAGTTTTCACAAATACACATATGTGATTCATACATGCACAGGACAAGATCCGCACATGCACAGCTCGATTCATACAAGCACAAAAAAAAAAAAAAACACTCATGCAAACACACAAAGGACAAGACTTACAATTGCACAGAACAACTGACTTTTGCGACTCCCGTGAGGTGCCTCGAATGGAGGGGATGGGGATGGGTTGCACCAATCACTTGTATAAACCAATCACAAGAAAGTACTCCACATGGGACGACACCCCCAGATCCCACATCCATCACATATGTGTTTTAGTGAATATTGAGCTGATCTAGGTCCATAGTGTTTCAGCTTGTTATATCAGAAGCGACAAAGGGTGTGTTGATGTTGGGTTCAATGGTGTCATGTTATTTAGCGGGTCAACCCGCTTCTGGTGTCCCCGCAGCATGCCCATCAGTGACAAGGCGATTTTAACGAGGCTTGCCGAGTAATTTGACCAGATTTTTCGGCCAGTGTGAAAGGGGCATAAGAGATGTTGGCACTGAGAACCTACTACTTAGTTGATTAGTTGGATTAAGTTTTTAACTTTCCACATCAGTAAATGTGTTATGTGATATATATGAATCTTTATATAATCTTATGTTATTTCTTATCACTAAGAATGAACAAATTCACAATAATAATTAGAAAGAAAATCTAATGGTGTTTATTCAACTGTGTGGTTGCTTCTGTTTATCTGGCCTGCACTGTTTTGGTGTAGGTGTGGTAAAGTTCTGACTTTTTCCATTTCTCTGATGTGGGAGTTTAGGGGAACAAACAGATGTTTCTTCACTTAAGTTCCCTTAATGATGATTTACCACACTGACATAAAAATGTCAATGCACAAGTGTTACTTGTTGGGTTGCTTGCTGCTGTAAAATGTTAAACACAGAAGATTACATTTTTTAAATAAAAAAATAGTATATAGTATAGAGCATTATAGGGCATTTCTTTCTTTTTTTCAGGATGTGAGGGGTAAGTAAAGGCAAACCATGGCAACTTTGTTTTTTATAGCACATTTTGGTGCCAAAAAAAACTCAAAGTGCTGTAAAACACAATTTTTATATAAATGATTATTTAGATAATTCTAATACAAAAGTTGTATCGCTCCTTTGTTTCAGCACAGTTAATAGGATATGCACAGTATTTGAAAGACACATTATGGCAACATTATTCTAATTTACAGTGATACTGTGGTGAAATTTAGCATTACTGTCTGAAAACTAAGTATTTCAATGCTTGGGGATTTTTTTGTTAATTGCCGGTAATATGAAAGTCAGTGTATAAATATCACTTAACATATAGAGTAACTGGAATATAACAATGTTGACCAATTCCAATTAGTGCATAATGCAGAAGTAGCATGAAAGTGATAAAATTTTTTATTGTTTGCACAAAAACATCTGAAAAGTTTGGCTTGCATATACTTTCAGTGTTGGACTTAAAAAAAAATAATTGGCTTAATTGTGGTTAATTGATAATTAAAATAATTGTCAACTAATTTGTCATTTGAAACAAAGGACTGCATAGGGTAATTGTACACAACTTATTATGCTGAAAGCACAACCCCCTTACAGCAGTAATTAAAGGTATTGTGGAGGATTTTTTAATAGAATAAAAAAAATGCATGAGCCACTTTCTCCTTGTGCACGTCCTGTTTAAAATGTGCTGTACTCATAGCTCATACAAGCTTACTGTATCCACATACAGGGGGACATAGTAACTTAACTCCGTTGTAGGTCCGTTGGCCACATAACTCCTCCTCTGTGCGGCGCCATTTCTGTTATTAGTCACCACTGTCGGACAGGCTATAGATAGTGGGCCGCTGTGACAGCAAATCCCATAATGCATAATCAGAGCTCTCTGCGCAAAGCATTCTGGGATAGATACGCCTCTTCTGAGGCCTTTCTTTTCTTCTCATGCACTTCGTAGACACTTTTTCACTTACAACCCTTGGCCATTTTCAAAGAACGGTGGTGAGCTTCAATGGCTGTGTGAAAACCACAGCACACCAAACATGCTGAAAGTGACATGCGCAGAAAAGATAGCTAACGTGGCGAGCATGTAGGACGTGACCTTACGTAAACGTATTACTAGAATGATTGATCACTTATTTAGATGATCCACCCGGAAATAAAAGATTGTCCTCTATTCCTTTGAGACAACACTTAGAGAAAAACTTCAACAAGATCATTCTCAGATAAAAATCGTCTTTTGATATTTATTATATGTTTAAATGTGTATTATTTAGATGCTCTTGTCATTTAAAATCGATGTAAAATGCACCATAAACATTTTCTTATTTAGAAATGTTAAAAAGCAACCAAAAGCAAGATAAGAACAGCTTTAAATTGTTGCACAGATTATGAGTTGGTTTTTATTTCAGGCTCCAATAGGGTCATTTTAATGTATGAACATACTTTCATCTGACCAGTTCCATTTCTGGCAGTATGTGAAACTTGACCTTAGTGTCAAGTCTTGTGCACCTACTAATATGTTTTCTTCCAATTTGCGATATATTTATTTCATCCCATTATCTCTGACCAGCTTTCCTGCCCCTGTTGAAGATAAGCATCCTAGGCGATGATGATGATAAAAAAAAAAGCCAGCTTTATAGACTCTGCAAGAAATATATCCACTATTTAAAGGCATTTTTAATCTCCTGATTATATATATATATATATATATATATATATATATATATATATATATATATATATATATATATATATATATATATATATATATATATATATATATATATATATGTATCAGAGTAGGGTCAGTTGTCTTAAGAGGTAAGGTAAAACCAAAATTTTTTTTTAACAAAATTAGTTTGGAAAATGCTCATGACGGAGGAGTCCTGGGTTGTTAGACTACATGTTATCGCTTGCCATTAACAGACTGTCTCATCTTTCTTTTTTTCCGTTCACTCCCTTTCTCCATTGATGTTTCTTTCCAACATTCTCAATCTTTCCCAATCCCTCTGTCTTCCTGCTTTAGGGTCCTCCTGGTCCCCCTGGTTTACCTGGTCCTCCTGGAAAGAGAGGTTCTAGGGTGAGTCATTCATGCTCATGATTACAAACTGCCAATAGATATAAATCACCACAGAGGAAGAATCTTACTCTTTTTTTTCTCACTATTATGTAATCAAAAAGTGTGGAATGAAGGCATCAGTTTCATTTTGTTTCTTTTTGCAGTTAAAATGACTAACAAAGGTATACATTGCTTTTTGATTTAAATATGATGCACCTAAAATGTTTTACTCCAACAGCATTGTTGCATTTCTCATTAGCTGGGAAAAATGTAGAAACATTTTCACAGTTTTGAGTTGCACATTGACTATTACTGACTTGCTAGTATGTTAAACTGTGGCAGTCTGCAGGTCTGAGCTGACGAATCAGATCAATCAGAGCAGATGTTTTTTTGTTTGTTGCTTTTTTTTCTTTTTTAAGGAGGGGCCTTTTCTCCCAGCTGCTTATTTTACAGGAAAAATTCTAAACATGTGGATGCAAGTAACTATTAGGACAAAACCTTACAATCAAAAAGCATGTAAGATTGTGTTTTACGGGTTTTTGATCTTAGTATTATCTAAAATTGGCCTTCGAAACACAACAGTAGTTTTTGATAAAGAGTTGCTGACAAATGCTCCTGTTGTTAACATAGCTGAACCTTGCAAACAAGCTTTGGAAGTGCACATTAGGATGAGGTAATGCATATTATTCAGGGAACATTAAACTTGTCGTCTGTTCTTAGTATCAACATACAAAAAAACTATACTGTACCATCTGCAACCAGCAGCTGCATTTAAGTTAAATATGTACATCTTCACTCTGATCTTTACTTCTATTTAAGCAACTGCCAAGGTTGTCATGATGCAATGCTTCAATAATGCATTGAGCCCCGGGGGGCTCCTCCAAACCAAGCACAGTGGAATATCCATTCCATATTCCACATTATATGGAATGGATAAAAGAAGAGCACTGAATAAAATAGATTGATAAATTCACTTTAGGTTAAATAATCGCATCTTTATGGATGCGTTATCTTGAGGAATATATCATAAATCTCTGCATTGCATAAGGAAAGAAGAGCATTTTTCTAATGCAAACTTTTCAATAGCAAACACTTGTATTGAAACACTTGGGATATGTGGTGCTTCCCCAACTGTGTCATATTGTTGCAACAAATTCATGTTGTATTTTTAGCATGATTTCATTAAGATTGCCAAATTTAGAGTATAATTATGAAGGCAGTGATCTACCAGTCTGCTGCAAATAAATGGGATGTCAGGTTAGTTTTATGTATGTTTCTCCTAAAGCCCCACTGACTTTGAAAAGCATGTTTGAAGGGGATGGAAGACATGCAGCCAAAGAGAGTCAGTATACAGCTAAATATGTCCTCAAGTAAGAGACAGAAAAACAGTAAATAACTTGGCTCCTATAAAGTCTACTCTAAATCCCAAAGGCTAAATCATTAAGTGCAACCAGTGTGTAACTTCAGATTGTGGAGAAAAGTTAGGAAGCATGCTGCGCTGTGTTGTTGATATTGGATTGTAAGAATGATTCAAGATTGAGCCTATGAATAAAAGCAGCCTTTTCAATAATTATTAAGATTATCTATTTTTTTCAATTGGTTATTAAAAATGTGATAGTCTTTAATATTTTTTTGTTCTGGGACCCCTTGATTGTTAAAGACTTGGAGCAGACCCCCTTACCATGTCCGCCCTAGAGTTGGGGGGGTTACCATAGAAGTTTTTAGCAGCTGATTAAGGTTTGCTGACAAAGGTGTTATATCATACATGATAAACAGAAATGTCACTTATTTCTTAGCCCTAATTAGCATTTCAAAGAGTGAAGGGTGGAGCTTCCTTGGATTCCCTACAGTCCTCTGTTTTTTGCATTCACGGTTATTTCTTAAAAGCTGATTTTGTCTTTTTTATGTCCAAGTAATAAGTATGGCAGCCTTCTTAGTCTCCTTTCTTGCTTAATAACAGTTATTGGGGGAGAGGCAACGCTGTGGTAGTGAATGCTCCATTAAGTCAAAGAAAACTAGTCACTCTTGTATTTTCTGATCATCTGTCTAAAAACCCTTTGAGATGAAAGAACTGCATCACAGAAAATCTTTGAAATCTTAAGCCTGATTAAACCTAAACTTAGATCTAAGCTAAATCCTTACCTTACATGTGTCGATTGCCTCTACATAATTTTTTCAAATTTAATAACAGTTGACACCTGTTATTCTTTTACCTTTTGTTCTAGGGTCCACCTGGTCCACAAGGAAAACCTGGACAACCTGGACCACCTGGTCCAAAGGTGAGAACTGCTCTCTAGTATAAGAAAAGGAAAGTTCACTGTCTATATTTGCAAGAAAATCAACAAAGATCTCATGGAGATGTTTCCTTTCTAATTGGGAGCTTCCTTTGCTTAACGTGTATAGACATGAGTATGCATAAAATTGTGCCCACTTAGGGATGTATTTATAGAATTAAAGGTGGAATTATACCCCACAAAGGTAGATGCATGAAAAATAAAGGCAGCGAAGGCTTACTTTAATTGTACATTATGCATGTATTTTATGAAACGTAGGAGGAATAAGCACAGGAAATAGTATGCAAGAGTTCCCAAGTTGCAAAGAAAGACTTACACTGACTTATACAAACTTATGTCATGAATTTGTTTTCTTTCCTTTCTGATATTAAATCATATCAAAGTTTCCTGTTTTAGTTAATTCTGGATTTGCACTTTTTATTCTATCTGCCAAATTCTAGGTTGACTAGAGATGTTATTTTAGATGTTTTAATACTTTCTGTAATGTCAGCAATTCACAAAAATACTTGTGTTTTTGCTTTTTGTGCTACATGTGTGATTTATGTAAAAAAAAAAAGAAAAGAAAAAGGGGATCCACTTGACAAGCCTTCACCCATTATTTGTTTTTTTTTTGTCATGATGATTCGCCATTTTGTACATGTTCTGATTTATTTCTGAAACACGAACTAGGTGCTATCATTGGTCGATGTTACCATAGTTTACAGTTGAATATGATTATCTGATCAGAAGAAGGTGCCATTTCCAGACCTTTGGGGATTTTACCTAATAGTTTGGCCTTGCTTGTAGAGGTCCAGTCTTCCCTCTCTGATATCTAGGCAGATATCTTTGGAATTTCTTGTCATGTAACAGAAACAAATGCACTCTTTGAAGTGTTCCCAATCATTTGGGTTTTCCAAAATTGTAAAAAATTGCTACAGTTATTCTGAGTGTTTCTAAACCTAAAAAAAAAAGAAATCTCAAATTATTCCATCTGATGTCAAATGGAAATAATTGCAGTTAGGCTTAGAAAGTGAACATCGTAAAAAAGGACATCTGATTATTTTTTTTTTTAGATAAGACAGTTATTTAAAAAATGATATTTTGTATTTTTACAGTTAATGTGAAGATCTGATTTTAAATGTTCAATCCAAATATTCATCTCAATTTTGTGTCCTGTTTTGTTCGTAACAGTAACTCTAAGCTCTTGTCTTTAAGAGCCGCTCCATGTTTCAAGTTTGCAACACACCTAACTTTAATTAATATATGATTGTAATGCTTCAACATCACATGTTGGAGGAAATGTTGAGGAGGTAATGCAGTTATTTGAATTGGGAATGCTGAAGCAGAGATACTTCTTAAATATGAAGGCCAGTGAGTTCTCACGACCAGTGTTGAAACCCATGGTTTATATTATTAGGCCACATCTTAGTGGTCCCAGCGGCTAACTAAAATACCCTATAAATCATTCAGTCTAACAAAAATGTAGACACAGTTTTTATTGCGAGGCAAATGTCTTCAATTATGGTGACTGACAAGATCGACACGCTGCTCCCCGAGGAGTAGAGAGCGTGTGCATGTGGAATTAACCCAAACACAGCCAGATGTTGTCAGCAATCGGGATAATAAGGCAATATGTTGTCAAAGTGCGACAGGAAAGGACAAAAACTTTGCTCATGGAATGGATTCTCAACCATCCAGATAAGGTTGTGGTTGCCCTTCCTTTTTGCCACTGTATACAAGCACAGTTTTAACTTTTAAGCCACACTGCTGATAAAACAAATGGGAATAGATAAGAGGGAACAGATCTGGTGAGCTTTCTACCATTGTGGGACGAGGTATAACTCAGTAAGGATGTGGGTAGCCCTAAGCAGATGTTTGTGGTATCAGTATTTCTAAATGACTTCCACAGAGAGGATGCACCATGCAATCAGTGGTGTATGAAACAAGTCATGCTGCAGACAGAGAAATAAAGTGGGTGTTCCACATTCTTTAAGTTATAATGGATCTATGATTATTTTTAGTTTTTGATGCTGTATATATATATAAACGTAGAAACATTTAGATTTTGAATAAAAGAAACAGCACTGGATTTGTTTTGACTCTTTCAGACATCTTTTGTTTCACTATGCATGTCTGGTTACTCGGTTACTATGCTGTGCATCTCCAACTCCTGACTCACCAGTCCTGCAGATTTTACACCCACTTATCTCTGGACAAATAAAAAGTTTGTCTATGTAAGTCCATAGTGGTCATTTAATGAGTCAGTTCAATTCACTGGAACCCCAGCAGAAAAGTGCTTAAGAGACTCTGGCTCAGCTAAGGAAACGTATCACTCAATGAAATGTATTGTGAACGGCAGATGAGTTAGCCAACAGCATGAGATGTTTGGACAGTCCACTTAAGATTTAAAAGAGCCTGTCTGTAGAATTCATGCACTGCTGACTCTTGTTTCCAACCTGGACAGAATTTTTGGTTTCAGGTTTTACGCTTCGATGGGAGTAAGTCATAACTGCAGTAATATGATGCTTGAAATTCTGTTAAGATCAATCTGGTGTAAAGTGGAAATTCTGGGCCATAAAAAATGTTTTGTTTAAAGGGTTGGGGGTCATAAATGTGTATAGTAAATATGCAAAGGTAGTGTGGAGAATCTGAATGTGGTCAGACAAAGCTTTCATGAATCATAATTTTAGTTAAAAAGACTCCTCATTGCAGTACAGTGTATTCTATCTTAGATATATTTTATGTTAAGGTGTTGTCTGATTGGTTAGAGTTGAAAAATTGATTCATTACCAAAGGAATAGATTGCATGACGGAAATTTGCACCTGCTAAAGTGACATCAGCCTGCAGAAAAGATTTATTACTTTTTGCCCTTGTTTCTATTACAGGGGTCAAAAGGGGATCCAGGGCTTTCTCCAGGCCAGGCTCCACCTGGACAAAAGGTAAATAAAGCTATTATTGCTTTCTCAAAGTGCTCTTTTTTGAAAACTGTTTTAAGATCTTTCTCAAGATTCCCTTTGTGATTGTGTAAAACTGTACCTGCATACAAACAGAATGTAGATACACTTTTCAAAATATGAGCGACATCTTCCTGGGTTTATTAAGATCACAGTGATGGAAATGTATCTGGGTCCTCAATGTGGTGTGGAGGAGCTTGGATATACTTTCTAATTAAAGCAAGTCCATCTAAGAATACCAATGGCTGTGAAACATCCAAAAAAAACCTGATAAATTATAAAATATTCATGTGATTTCTTCTCCAATTAATGTGATTAATAACCTGTACACCTAAATACCAAGCAATGTGAAATAATGATAATGGAATATTAAAAACTAAGAGAAGTGACTGCGTAAGTTTGTACACATAGTATAGAAGTAATTTAAAGTGCCTCATGACTAACTTCAAGTGAATTTAAGACATTGTAGCCTTATTTTCTCTTTGTTTGCATCTCATAGTAAAAGTCATTGTCTATAGAAATCTGCTCAAATATCAGAGCAAATGTACCAATATTTAGAAGAAGGATACAGAGATATTTCTTAGCTTTATGTAATGCATTGAGCCTAGCCATCACCAATTGACTTAACAGCACTGTGACTAAGAACTGGGAGTTTCTCTTAAATTGATTAAAAGATAAGAATTAGACTGTTTACTGGGCTGCCAAGAGATCCACAATAGCAATAAAGGACATGCAGAAATTTCTAGGAGGTTTGGCTGTGTTTTACATATAATGACAGTTTTCTATGTTCTCTGTGCAAATTCTGACTCATCAGGTTTATGGCAACCACAAAACAGGCTTAAATCAGACCAGACACCCTTGGTTTTCTTGAAAATGTTTCAACTCCAATCCACGATACTTGATCAATTCTAGCCGCTCGCACTAGTACCACCTGTAGCTGGGGTAATACTGTTTGTGAGCATATGGAGACCCATCCTCCAAGGCACATTCCAAGAGATGTAAATCAATGACCCAGCCGTTGTTGTTAGTTGATCATTTGAGTCTGATGTTTGGTGTGATTTGTGTTCTTGTCCATCTGGATCTTAATGAGACTGATTTAGTAATTTCTTTGGGATGAGTTACAATTCAAAATGGCTCCACCCCCCTTTCAAACTGTCTGTCCTCTCTGTCTAGGATCTAATTGGTCATCAAAATTATTTCCTTTGCTCCTGAGCTGCAGATGTACTGCTTTTCTTGCCCCAAGCTCAGCCCCCCTTTGCCTCACCAAGCATTATTTTTAGTAGTTATTTACTAGTTGTTGTCTGGTTTCTTGATAGATAAGTTTAACTTAGCTTTATGTAGTTTTTCTGAATTTGGAATATATAATATAATATATAATAATATATTGTACAATATTGTCAATTGTTGTACTCTATGGCAAAACCAAAGGGTTACTATTTTTTGTATGCATGTATGTTCTTACACTCTACGTCCCAATGGTGTGATGCAATCTAACTGCTCACACTGTACGTCCAAAAACCACACTTGGGTTGTGTCCGAATGTCCGCCCTAACCCCTCAATCCCTCAATCACTATATAGAGCGGGGACTATATATGGAAAGATGTTTCACCTCCTTCCATGCTCACCAAACAGTCCAGGAAAGGTAGCTTGATGTTTTTGGCATCCTCTCTTGTGAATTTGATGTTGTGGTCAACCAAGTTGATGTATTTCTCTGAAGGTGTCAAAAGCTCTCTTTTCCATTTCTTCCATGTAAAGACTGGCTACAATTGGTGACACGGGAGATCCCATGGCACAACCGTGTTTTTGTCTGTAAAAATAATCTTTGAACTTGAAATAGATGGAAAGACAAAGGTCCAGTAGGGTGCAGATTTGGTCTGGAGTGAAATTAGTCCTGTCTTGTTTAGGTCACTCTCTTATTGAAGACGTTTCCTGACTGTTTCTACGGTCTGATATAGGTATGCACGTGAAAAGAGCAGAAACATCAGAAGACACCTGGGTTTTTCTATGTGATGTGGTGTCTTTCCCACCAAGGTGGCTAAGATATTAGTAAGCCGTTTAGCAATGTTGTATGTTACTGAGTTAATGCTGTTGATGATGGGTCTGAGTGATGTTCCTTCCTTGTGCAATTTTGGGAGTCCATATAAGCATGGAATGTCCTCCCCTGGATATAATCTAAAATAAGCTGAACGGTTGATTATCTTGTCTTTTTCGAGTTGCTTGAGGTAGTCCGTGATTTTTTTTTTTCAATCTAAAGTCAAGTTAAGCCATGAATAAACACAATTCTTTTAAAGATATAAGTCTAATGTGTTATGACTACAAAAACAAGCCTACCGGTGAAACTGCTTGACGATACCATCCTTTAACAAGCCAACACAGTCAGCCAGTATTTTTTCAAAGCATTGTTTTTTCTTTCAACCTGTTGTTTTATGAGATCTGATTTTATTTAAAGTTGACTTGGTTTGATTCTAAATACTTCTCCAATTATTTTTTTGTTAATGTTTCTTATTGTTAAAGGAACACTTTCTTCACCTACTGATGTATCTCTGAGTCATTCTGTTTACTAAGTAAGTCAAAGTAATGATTTTTTTTAAGCAGCACTGCTAATGCAGTCTCTTGAACTAATTATATGCACTCTTGCTCAGTCAAGTTCAACCCTTTTTGTTTTCCTCAGAATTTAATCCAGCCTTTCCACACTTTCTGGATAAGAAGATGTTAATGTTGATTGAAGTTTTTAACTACATTTTTGTGCAGTATTTATGAGGCTTTATTACAATGTTATGTTGATGACTTTATTGAAGCCTCTACGTGATTTGAAAACTTGCATAGTTGGTAGTCTGCTTTGCACAGTAAGCAAAGTGTCAAACATGCTGCATATTTAATAGTTCTGCAATCCAAGAGCTTTAAGGATACAGTAATAAAGCACCGTGTTTGGTAAATGAAACCCAATAAACTCTGCTAGGGGTTCCCATCGAGCTACTATGCTGATTTACTGCACCACCATAGGCAGATAACTGTTGCTGCTAAAATGTGCTGATCAAGCTGTTTTTTAAGGTGTTGTATAATCATTTAGTTTTAAGATTTTCTTTTTTTGTCTCTTATTATTGTTAATCATGTTCCTTATTTTGCTGGGGTCAGTTATTATTTTTTGTAAGCTTTTCTTATAAAGTCCTTTTGCCATTTTATTGTTTTTAGTTTATGTCATATCCATGTAGTGTTAGATTTACATTAGTATTTTTGTCTAATTATGTCTTTTTGGTGCCAGTCTCTTCCCTCTTTTTCCAGCCTTCTCTCTGCACTGCCACCTTGGAAGGGACAAGAACTAAAGTATTTTATCTGATCTTTGTCCTGCTCTGGCTTCAGGTCCTCTCCAGCTGAAAAATAACTTTCACTTGGCATTACACTGCTTTCAGTTTTAGAGATCGTCTATAATTTCTTCTTCACTTTATGACTTTATTTAAATTATATTTCCATCCTTATTGGTTTTAGTCTTCCGTTTCATTAATTGTATTTATTTGGATAGCGCTCATTATGTTACTTAATCAAAAGCAGCAATGCTTAATATGAATATGACTGATAAGGGAATACTGATTATAGGATAATTTCCTCTTTTGTCCTAAGCAGCCTTACAAAGCCTACTGTAAGCAGCCTAACAATAAATAATGAATTTTGCTTTCTTTAGTATATTTGGTTGCTCACAGCAGCTGTTTTGTGTTCTATTGCCTTAAGTTTAAAAATTTATTTTAAAATGTAGTTTATGTGTTTGTGTTGCTAGGGTGACAGAGGTCCACCCGGCCTACCTGGACCTAAGGGATTTCCAGGACCACCGGTAAGATTGAATATATCTGGGTTTTTCTGGTTTTCGGCATCATTTAATATCAGGGGGAGAAAAACATCAGCCTTCAAATCTTTGGCAAACCTTGCTTTAAAAATTGATCGATTAGCTATGAAAACAAAAATCACTTGTTAATGTTCTCCACAGTTTATGAAAAAGAGTGATAGAACAAGCTGAAAGGTTTTTAGTTTTCTACATTGTTTTATTTTGGCCAGATGTTGTCACAAGTGCTTAAGCATTTCACTCATGTCAATATGCATTACACACCACAACTCACAATCTTATTATCTGCCTGTTGTCAGTGTCTGACTTAGATGGATTGGGTGTTAAAAGTGTTTCTGGCTTGAACCACCTAAGTTCAGATCGGTGCTGATATTGATGTTATTTTTTGGTTCCTTGTTCTTCCCATAAAGCAAGTGGTCCCTGTTTAAAATCTATGTGTATAGGTTCTTATTGTTGCTTACCTTATCTTTACCCTTCCAGGAAACCACACTGCTGTTTACTGTCATTTAGACCAATATACCCTCCGCTCTAATTCCGTAAAAATTCAAAAAATCCACTGGACTTGGTTTTCAAGATTTGAAGACGTTTCGCCACCTCTCCAGGAAGCTTTCTCAATTCAAATGTCTGGATCCGCAGTGAGTTTGAGTCTTATATAGACAACGCCTTGTATCGCTTGGAAACATGCAATGGTAACCGATGAATGGGTCGTTAGTTCTTAACGACCAACCCTTAATAATCATAGACAGGTTTCAGGTATTACAGGAGACAATCCCCCCCTTAATGGCAATCCCCCCTTTAACGACCGACCCCTAGAATCATAGACAGGTTCAGATATTACAGGCTAACGATGGAACTAACGACCCATTCATCGGTTACCATTGCATGTTTCCAAGCGATACAAGGCGTTGTCTATATAAGACTCAAACTCACTGCGGATCCAGACATTTGAATTGAGAAAGCTTCCTGGAGAGGTGGCGAAACGTCTTCAAATCTTGAAAACCAAGTCCAGTGGATTTTTTGAATTTTTACGGAATGACTATGACCTGGATGACTGAGAACCTTCATCAGCCTCCGCTCTAACTTTATTGTTCTCAGCTATTTTCTAAGAAAATGACTGGCTTGTTGCACTTTACACCAAAGTGAGCTCTTCTATTGAATGTAAAGGTTCAAGCTTCAAAGCTTCATTTGAAAGCAAGTCAGTACTCAGTTTTATTGTTCAGGAAACTCTCATTACTTCAGAAATAAACTGACCTTTTGGTATTTGGGAGTCACATCAAAGAACAAAACAAAATTTCCTTATGGACTAAATATTTAATTTAGAGAATTATATCAATGTTTAGTTCATAAGTAAAAGTTGTCTATTTACAGACAAGCAATATTTTACATCACTTGATGCACCACTATTTGTTTTCTCATTTGCACTGAAAAAAGGGACTTTTTGTTGTTTTTTTGGTCCTGTAAATATTACCTTTGTTTTATTGTAAAAAATATTGCTGATTGCCATGTAAGGGCCTTTAATTCAAAATGAGATGTTTTATTTTTATGGTTTCTTAGAATTAATTTGTAATCTATACCCATCAAAAGACATTTAAGTCGTCTTACCAAATAGGAATTAACAAAACCATTGAAATAAGTTCCCAGCTTAACAGACACAAGTAGTATGTAATTGGATATTAGGAGTAAACCTGGTGCTTTTTTCTTGCTGACCATGTTTAGGTCAGAAAAAGAAAACATTTATTTGCTAGCTGCACGGTGGAGCAGTTCATGGCACTGGTCCAGGGTCATTCTGCATGGTGTTTTTATGTTCTCCCCATGCCTACATGAGTTCTCTCCGGGTACTCCCACTTCCTCCCACAGTCCAGAAACATGACTGTTTGGTTATTTGGCTTCTCTAGATTCTCCTTGTGTGATACTAGCAAAACAATAGTAAATTTTTTTGTTGATAAGATAAATTTAGTAGTACAATTTAATCTTTAGTAAGTAAAAACAACTTAATTTTTATTGACTGAGATTAATAAGAATTTCTATGTGAAAAATCTTACCCAGTTTTTTGTCTAAGTAAATAGTATTTACATTTTTTTTCAGTGTGCTTGTACATTTGTAATATTTAGCATTTAATGGTGAGCCTTGATACTGCTCAATATATTAAGCAGCAAAATTAAAGGAACAACTTTTGCAAACATATTATCTTCTTAATGGATGTTAACCAAGCAATATCATCATATATATCATTTTATAAATTGGAACAATTATTGTTGAGTTACTTGTATAACTTTCCAGTTTGTTCTGCTCTGTTTTTTTTTTCTTTTTTAATATAGTTAAAACATTTTCACTTTTTTTTGAAGGGTCCTAAAGGTTATCAAGGTGAACCTGGCCCACCAGGGGAACAAGTAAGTATTTCCTTTTTTAATTTAGTCATGATTGTGATAAAACAAATCAGATTTGACAAAGCATGGGCTGGCTAATTTGAGTTATAATCCCTTCTGGTCTTGGAATTGTAAACTGGCAGAGTTTAAAGTAATGAGTCACACAAAAAAATTGTATCTTGTACATATTGAAAGAACAATAAGAAAAAAATAAGAGTTCTAAATAAATTAATATTGCTGGAGATTCCCAATAATCCCAGGTTGAAAACAGTGATTACATTTTATGCAAGTCACATTTCGTGCTCTTGAAGAAGCTGGAAATTGCTCATTCTGTGGTTCTCCCTTTTTTGCTCTCTTCATTTTACCCAAATTAACAAAGTCCTTATCAGTTATGTTGAAAAAAATGTTGAAAATAAATCGTAGTCGACAAACCTCCTTATTCACATGTTCACTTAGATTTTCCCGTTGCATGTTTATATTTATGGATTGCATCTACAAATATTAAAAATATTTTCAATTCAAACGATAGATATAAAATTAAACAATGGCTTAAATCATATTATAGGTCATCAAATCAGTGTCAGTTTAGTCTGTTAAAAGGGCTGCCTGTAGGAAATTTAAATGTCCAGCAGGTCACACAATATCAATACAGTTTACAAATGTGTCAAAACGCTTCATGAGGCCTCATGAACCCATCACTAACGGACAGTCTTATCCCAAAAAACAAAATAATCTTTCAGTTATCTAGCCTTTGATGAGTTTGCGTAAAACTTTTCAAAGTTTCTATCTTACCTGTTCGCGAATAGCGCAACATACTAGTCTCTGTCAATAAAATTGTCTGTAGGGATATTGAATATTCCACCAATAACAGCACCCCTTGGTGCTGCGTCACTCTGACATATGACCAATTGGATGAGACTCCCGAAAAATGTGAGTTTAGCTCGAGATTACGTAACACAGTAGAAGGGGAATTTCGGTCAAGATGGGATCAACAAATTTTGAACATTTCAGCCAACAACAGGCCGTATGATGTGTCCTTCTTTTAGTAAAGTCCATACAATGTAAAACTGTACAGCTGGCTAGCTAAAAGCCTGCTAGTGATACCAATGCTATCCTTGGTGTCAAAGTAAAAACAATATCATAAATAGATACATGGATTAATTAGTTCTTACCTTGATGCTTAATCTCTTTTGGGTTTGTAATAAATGGAAATGTTATTTTTCCTCGATGACCCGATAGCAGGTTGTGGGGTGGATTAAGTGGAACTCAGAGTTGCTTTTAATCAGTTTAATTATCATCACTTGGTCTTAAACCAAGCTCTATTATTTAGCTGCCTTAATTGTCGTTTTCTGATTGGTCAGTGATTTTGCCAACACATGGCTCCATGGTTTATGTCTGCTTATCACGCCCGACCTTGGCCTTACATTTAGGCTTAAAAAGGACTATCGGAACACTATCAGGATGGATAACCTTATCATGATTAAATGCCTTTTTGGGTCATATAACATCACTCTGCACCTTCAAAGTCATAAACCTATGGCCTGTTCCACCGTTGAGGATGTCCCACTGATGCTTACCAAAGCTAGAGCATGGCAGAGCATGTCTGGAGACAGATCCTCAATTTCTTTAGTAAGGCACTGGTCATCTTATAGATGTGATTGGGGGCAATATAATATTGGAAATCTGCCCTGTGTTCCAGTTCCTAAAGAAGTAAATCATGCTTTGTTAAAGGAATAGTACACCCAAAACATGATTAGCCTTCATTTTCTACTCACCCCCATGCTGAACAACACTCTGGAGTACTTTTTTGATATCTCAAATACATCTGGAGATCTGGGAGGCTTCTTGCTGTCTGCTGACATTCAAATAATGGAGGTCTATGGCGCCCGAGGCAGAAAGGTCCATAAAAGTCCACAAAAAACGTGTCAATATTCCTCCATACTGCTCGTCCAATGTATTCCAAGTGTCCTGAGTGGGTAGCATCCAGAATTTACTCGAAACGAAGTCATTTAGAATGTTTTTAGAGCATAAACAGTAGTGTATAGGATTTCCTGAAAGCGCGCACATGTGCGTTCACGACGCTACGGAAACCGCGGCAGACCAAACCAGATGAAAGTGCGCATTCAGCTCGGCAAAGAACTCATGCTCTTCCTCAACACTGAAGTCCTCAGACATTTTTCTTTCGTTGTTTCTTTCTTTGCATAGGTAAACAGCACAATTCTTCTTCTACGCTTGCATTATTGGCAGAGCAGACGCTGAATGCGCACTTTCATCTGGTTTGGTCTGCCGGCTTCCGTAGCGTTGTGAACGCGCATGTGTGCGCTTTCAGGAAATCTGCTCTAAAAACATTCTAAATGACTTCGTTTCGAGTAAATTCTGGATGCTACCCACTCAGGACACTTGGAATACATTGGACGAGCAGTATGGAGGAATATTGACACGTTTTTTGTGGACTTTTATGGACCTTTCTGCCTCGGGCGCCATAGACCTCCATTATTTGAATGTCAGCAGACAGCAAGAAGCCTCCCAGATCTCCAGATGTATTTGAGATATCAAAAAAGTACTCCAGAGTGTTGTTCAGCATGGGGGTGAGTAGAAAATGAAGGCTAATCATGTTTTGGGTGTACTATTCCTTTAAGCTTGTCAAAGTACATGTTGGCCTTCATTGTTTCCCCATTGGGCAGTTGCTGGGTTCTTCATCAATTCCAAGTATTTCCCGGCTGGAGGAGAATCCTCCCCACCTCGTTGCTGCCTTATAAACTTGACAATGTCTAAATATTTTTATCTTATGACCAAAATAGACCTTGGGTCTATCTCAGTCAGAACTACCAAGGCATGTGGGTTGTGTGACCACTATTTTGACCGCATCTGATGATAAACCATGTTCGCTGTGTTCTTGTTGCCAACAGGAAATTTAAACATTTATTCAATCTTTGCAAGGGCTAAATTGTCTCTAACGTTTATAACTTCACTATGATTCAGAAAGTTATTTCAAAATATTAAAAAAATGTGAGTTGTATATCCACTTTTGTGAGTTGTAGTATTACCATTTTACCTCCAAGTGCTAACAAATAATGTTACTGGCAGTTTTGAAAAAAAAGAGAAAAAAAAAAAACAGCAGGAGGGGGATGGGGCTGGTTAGAGCTTTCCAGGAAGCAACAGTTAGTAGACAGGGTTGTCTGGACTGAACAGTGCATGTTTTATTCTTGCAGACACTACTAGCAGAAGTCTGTGTTTCTCCTATTACAGTTCATCCCTTCCACCTAATCTCATCATTCACTGTTTATTCACTTTCTCTCTCTTGTGATCCTTTTTTTTCTTTCTGAAGGGCATACCAGGACCTCCAGGGGAGTCAGGAGCTGCAGGTTACCCTGGCAGGCAGGTGCAGTGAAAAACACAAAGAACATTCCTCAATGAATTTTTCAAACCTTGTATTGTTCTACCAAACATTAAACCTTCCCCTGATGCTCTCTACTGTGCTGTTCTGTACACATGACAGAATCTCTGTTTTGTTTTTTTGTTTTTTTTAATAAGAATGATTTAAATCTTGCCATATTCACGGTAGGTTTTTTAACCACCTGCCAATGTCTGTGTTTTTTTGCATATGAAGGAATAAAATTGTGGTTAGAACTTTTTTTTTTGTATCACAGTGAGGTTTATTGTCCTTTAAAAATGTGGTATTTTGATCTAAACCTTGTTTTTCTTTCAGGGCTTAGCTGGGCCAGAAGGTAGCCCTGGACCTAAAGGTGTACGTGTAAGTAAATTTCCACTTTCATTTTTTCCTCTTTGCTTCTACAGGTTTGGATTTAACGGTTTATTTCCTGGAAGGTTAAAAAAAGTGTCAGGTGCTTAACTTTGCCCCATAGAGAAGGATCAGGATAATACTAGCATTTTCATCACCCTGCCTTATGGGAGTCATGTGAGGACTAGTGTGACATCGGGTTGTCATTCTGAGCCCTGACTTGTTCTTGTCATTGCAGCTCATTCTTCACAGAGAAATTCCCTAGCAAAACGGAAAGATAGAGAATGGAGGATGAAGGAAAACAGATTAGGGAGAGTATGAAGGCAGAGAGTAAGGATAGATAAACGAGCTGGTGAAAGAAAGGGACTTTATGTAGAGAGCTGCTACTGGGAGAGAGAGGATAGCTGTGATTACTTTCAGGCTAAGGGTGACATGCTGAAAAGGATGGAAAGAGCTTTGATAAGGCTGAAGTGTAAGAGAAAGCGACATGCTGAGTTAGATATGGTAACAAAAATGAAATCAACATTTTGTAAAATAGTTTTGTATTTCTTTCATTTTAGAAAAATCCAGCTTAATTTAGCAATTTTTTGGAAGACCAACATAAAGTACCACAAACTATAAAGTAAAAATTACTATTTTATTCTGATACCTAAAATTACTAATCAGTAATATGGTCATTTTGTTCTCCTGAATTCTCACTTGGAGAAATGACAAGGATGCCCATCAGACTCAGGACTCAGATTGGGAAACTTTTAGAGCAAGTTAAGTTTACTTCCCAGTCCAGCTGCAAGTATTAAGTTAAGTTGCTGATTTCAATGATCACTTCTGGTAGTTTGTATCTCTTTAAACAAGTGAAATAGATACTGCTATAAATATCTTCTGAATGTTTTAATTTTACTGGTATTGGCCTCTAACACAGGGCTGCACTGTCGTGCACTGGGTAGGTAGCACTGTTTCCTCTCAGCAGGAACGCCCTGGATTCAAAATGTTCTCCCTGTGCATGTATGGCTTCTCTCTGGGTACTCAGGCTTCCTCCCACAGTTAAAAAACATGATTGTTAGATTAATTGGCATCTCTATATTATCCTTAGGTGTGTGTGTGTGTGTGTGTGTGTGTTTTTTGGTTGTATGTCTTTCTGGGTCTCTGTGTTACCCTGTTTTAGACTAGCGACCTCACCTGGGTTTACCTGCCTTTTGCTTGTAGACTGCTGCCTACAAACTAAACAAAGTGTGAATATAGCCATTCTAACAAAACCAATAGCGCATAAATTAAATATTGCGTAGCTAGATTGTAAAACTATATCCCAAGTAAGGAAGAGTAAGGAAGTAAAATAAAAATGATATGGATTATAAAATTGTTGATGGAAAGGTCTCTAAATTCCAGTTTGCAGTTGGCTACACCCCGAAAACAGTCCTCATGTGAAAGAAGCTGCTGTGACTAGATGAAACAAAAAATCTTTTTTTTTTTTCAAAAAGTGCAGCAGTGGGCATTAAAAGATGCATTGTAAACCTGAACACATGATTTCAACATTAAGATAAATGGCAGTGGGATGATGTGGGGATATTATAGTCTTCAGCAGTGTCAAAGTGACAAAACATGTAGATGTGATAATCGAAGCACAATCTAAATAATAATAAAGTGTGAAAAGACTTGTTTTCATTTTAATAAATTATTTTCATTCTTTCTGACTAAGCTTGAGCTATTTTGCAGTTAAGAAGACTGAATTTCATAAATGTTCAAAGCTGGCAGTGTACCTCAAAACACTTGTAGCTGTGACTAAAGCAGAAGGTAGTTTTACAAAATATTGTATCAAGGATTTAATACATATACAAATCACTCTTTTCAGATTTTTACTTGTTAAAAAAGCATCTATGATATTTATACTTCTTCGTGTTATGTTTTTCTAGCATACAGTAGTAAGCAGTATAGTTGATTGTTTTAGTGTGTTCCCTGAAACCTGAATCTTTTTAAAAATCACTCTGTTGTTATACATATATATATATATATAAATATATATATATATATATATATATATATATATATATATATATATATATATATATATATATATATATATATATATATATATATATATTATATATATATATATATATATATATATATATATATATATATATATATATATATATATATATATATATATATATATATATATATATATATTTGTTGGCTGCAGCTTTATAGTACCCTTTGCATATTGCTTAGTCGTCATAATTTACTCACAGTGACTAAACTGAAGATCATGAGCTCAGGAGATTTTAATTAGAACAATTTAAATGCATAAGAAATAGCTCAATAACAGGATGTTGTTGGTTTTATTCTTAATACATAATTTTTTTTCGAGGCTTTATACGGTGGACCAAAAACTAAGCCTTGCTTTGGCTTAGTCACATGTTTTAAACAAAATTTTTAATATGTGACATAAATAAACAAAAACTCACAGATACCTCCTCTTGGCAAGGGGCAGCCAAGAACTGAGAAACAAAAATTAAAAACTAAAAGAATTTGTTTTGTTTGTATAAAACTGAGTTTTTTTTATACCTGTACTGTAGTTATTTAGTCTTCACTCCCCCAATTAGATATTTTCTCAAAGTTTTGTATAATTTGTTCATATTGAACCAATGTTAAGTTTTTTTTTTTTATTTTGCTTTTTTTTAGGGTTTCATTGGGCTTCCTGGCGTTTCTGGTCCACCAGGGCTGGAGGGCGAGAAAGTAAGTGTTTTTATTACACGCATTTAAAGACAGGAGACTTTTTTTTTCTAGGTCTGTCATTCAATTTGAATAAATATTTTCTCTTTCAGGTCGGTAGAGATTAGCTTGTTGTTATTTTTAGTACCAGAATAATAATTTTTATTTTTTATTTCTTTTACAAGCTTCATGTAATAAGATTACTGTAAACATGTGAGACAGCCCAGATAACGATGTCATTTTTATAAGATAATTCAGTGTTTAATTTAATTGAACGTCACAATGTATTTTAAGGCAACACCTTAAATAGACTGCTTCTTTTTTTTAAAACACCAGTTATGAGAGAATTTTTGTTTTTAATCATTCACAAACTAAGCAAACAATAAATTTTGCCCTCAACCAGGCTGTATAATTTTGGGTGGCCCAAAGATTAAACTATTTTGTGAGGGAACAGGATTGCCTCTGGGAATTGAGCTACAGCAAACATTACAGTTAACATGCATTAGTGGCCTGACTTGTTCAAATTACTCGCCAAGTAAATGAGCAGGTAGCAGTGGCACTAGAGGAACTGGCTTACTTGACTGACAAGTATGTCGCACAAGTAAGTGTTGTCAAAGAAACCGCTCAGGAATCCCTTGAATGAAGTCCGGTTGATCTAGACTTTATCTGAAATATTGTCCTGTAAGACATGACTAACAAATTTCACCACTTAATACTTTAGTCAAGGCCAGTAAAACCTACACACTATATGGTGATGTTTAATTTGTTACTAGATGTCCAGTCAGGCTAGTATCATGTGCAAAACTGTGCAAGAATATGAGGTCGATATTTTTCTGGAACAGTCATCTGATTTAATCTGTGCACTCAAGTCAGGAGACAAAGACCTAAACAACAGAGCAAAATGCCAATTTCAACAAAATATTTCACTGTGGATATGTATCCATTTTTGTCAAAAACAGAAAAAAAAAGCTTTTTATTGATAGATCGTTATGTTGCACTTTGATTGATATCTCTATTTATGTCTGTTTTACAGTAGAGTTGTTTATATAAAGTGTGGCCATAATGACCAAGACAAATTGACCATTTTACAAGCCCATGTACTTATCATTGCATAGGTACCAAACTAATGGGGATGTCAGTAACCTCAGGTAGAGAAAAAAACTTGCACCAGCATAAATCTGAACAAATAACAGAAAGTCCTAACTGCTTAAATCCTTTTCTTGTGTTATTTACTGTACTTATTGATGTTAGTGGAATAGATCAGATGAATGTGAAGTTTATTTCTAAATGCAACCAAGAATACCTCCATGATTCTATGATTATATTTTTTCCCTCTTGCATCCCTATCTTAATTGGTCCTCCAATTCTTCCTCCACCCCACGATAACCAGCAATAGAGTAGCACTAAGAATATTAACTGTTTGACCAAATACCCAAAATAGATCTTAATTGTATTGTGGGTCATACAATCTTTTTAGAACTGGTGGGAACAATGATGTATATTTGAAAAAAAAAAAAAAAACACAAAAAATTATGAAGGCTTGTTCATGTGACACATTCTTCTCACTTATCTGGAGATTTTTTTCTTCCTCTATAAAATATGATAAGTTTGCTATGTCACACTAACTACAGAACCTATATGTATCTTGAAGCATTTATTGCATATAGGGATATACGTGTTAAATCTTTTCTAAAACCTTCTTCTTTCTTCACTTGCTTTGATATTATCCAGCCTAAGAAAATCAAAGATCCATTGCTCAATCTGTTCCTGTCTGTTATTTTGCAGTATATTCGGACCTGATCAAATTCTTCTTGTTTGATAAACAAAATGCTTTTTGAAATCCTCATATAGTAGTTATTTATGCTATATGGAGCATTTCTCATTTAGGATACTTTTCTTAACTTTTTTAATTATGAAAATTAGAAACTTTCCCAATGTCGGTTCTTTAATATAGAGGGTTTGAGTAATTTTTTGGCTTGTTTGTCTTTTCCAGGGCATTCCTGGTCCTGTTGGAAAACCTGGACCCAAAGGAATACACGTAATACTGACCAAGTTTTGTTTTTGCCTGTTTTTTTTTTGTTTGTTTTTTTAATCTTCTGTAAGCATATGTTTGTGAATCAGTGAAGTGCTTTCTATGTAAGCACCTAATTGAATAAAAAGATTGAGGAACCTAAAGTCAATACATCCCTGTAGCACTGAAACAGTTTGCATATGCAAACAGAACTACAACTAGTTAAAATAGGTACATTTAATAAGCACAAGCTTTAATGGCTCAACTGGAAAAGAAATACTGCAGCATTATGATAAATACAAACACATATTCTTGGTTGGTTTATCATTGTGGTTGATGCATTAAAGAAAAGCATAGCTAAAGGTTTCTGTTTTATTTCAAGTTCTTGTTTTAAACATCTAAATCTATGTGACATGTTCATTTTTCTTCCCCGTACTGAATAGTTGCCAGATTATGTCTAGGCTTCTTGGTCACAAATATTTGTTCAGAACTGAAACATGAAGTCATCAATAACTCATTAAATGTTTCCAAATATTATGACCAATTTAGACATATATTTCCTAAAGCAGCATTTTTTTCTACCCCCTAAAATATAAACTAAAATCAAAGGTTGGGTATATTTTCATTTTGTGAGATTATGCCCTTGTACTCAAAATTATTGAGCCTCTCTTAATTAGTGGTGCCAGTAATTGGTTGGGGCAGCACACATCTGGTTGCACACATCCTGTGTCTATCATTAATCAAGCATCAGTTTTACATAGAGTCCATGCTAAATCATAAAGGAGGTAACATGTCTGATGTGATGTATAGTGTTTACTAGGGGTGGGTATTGGCAAAGAAGTCACGATTCGATTCGAATCACGATTCACATGCCACGATGCGATTCTATCACGATGCATCACGATACTTGAAATATTGCGATGCATTGTGATATTTTCACTGAACACTGTAAGAAAAAGATACAGCCCTTACCAGTGGCTGACTGGCTGGGTGTGATCTGGATAGTGTCTTCAACTGATACATAACTGAAAGCAACTGAATTCATACATAGCTGTATTTATTGAAATTACTTTTGGAGGTGTTGCCATGAAAACAAATACTGGACAGAAATATTACTATTACTGGCATGGACACACCAACAAAAAGATCTTAGGATTCATCAAACTTAAAATAACAAAATGAGGATAATCAGTCCGGACATGCTTATGACACAAAGCAGCAGGCGTCAACACATCCGCAGCGACTTCTGCTGGACTGGAAGTTGTATTCCACTTGGTTTGATTGATGTGCGCCAACCATTAATGTATTTTATTTGTTCATTTTTTTTTTTTTAATAATCGATTCTTGCCTTCAAGAATCGATTCAGTAGATCACAAAAATTAGAATCACGATTCATCGATTTGACGATTATTTTGCACACCCTTAGTGTTTACACTGTATAAATTATACAAAGACTAGCTGAAATTACTTAAAAGCTGCACATTTTACAAATGCTTCTTGTCTTGATGTGCACATTGTAAACAGTATGTACAGTATCCACAAATGTGTTGCCTTTTTTTAGGTTTTTAAAAAGTAATATGACGTGTGTCTTTCACAGGGTGTGGTAGGAGATGTAGGAGAGAGGGGAAGTCCTGGTCCAGATGGCAACCAGGTGAGAACACTGATCTTTCAAGCACCTGTGGATGGGTATTAAATATTGCCGCCGGGCTCGGTGGCACCGGTGGCAACAAGTGAATGGCAACAAGTGAGACCCAGGGCAGATGTGGCTACAATGTAGCCTTCCACCATCAGTGTGTGGATGAATGGATGAACGGCTAAATGCAGTGTAAAGCCCTTTGGAGGCCATTTACTAATTACCAGAAACCACTCTTTTTTTAAACATAGGTGAAATTTAAAAAGTACTATTACAGACATACCAATTCTTTAAAATACAAAGTACAGCTAATTAGATAAAATAATCAGAAAATGAAAAAAAAGTTAGTACTGAACAACATTTCTTCCGTTGGTTTCGGATGTGCACCAGCCTGGATTCATAATTCAGGGTTTTTGCTATTCTGCATTCATCAGCTTCTGTTCAAGATATCTTTCCCATTTTTTAGAGTAAAGTTATGAAATAAGTAACATTGTGTTTGAGTGTATGTTTTTGAACCTTTTCCGAGTGGTGAATTTAGGATGCTGCTGTGTTTTTTTTTTTAACAGGGGCCTGTTGGTGGGTCTGGTATTACTGGCTTTCCTGGTTTGAGGGTGAGTCTGATCTTCTGTTCTTTTTAATGTTGAAGTATTGTAGCTCACATGTCAGGAAACCAAATTTAAACATTTCTTATTTTTTGGGGGGGTCTAATATTGAACTTAAATAATTTTCCTGTTTTGTGTAAGGTAAGATTCAATATTTTATTCCTCCTTGTTAAATGCTAGAAAGATAAGAATATTCTCATTAATCATCTCTGTACCTTTTAACCTGGCTCTTTATCCAACATTAAACAGAAAGCAATGAAATATTTGCTTAGGATAGAATTTAGGGATTCCTTTTGTTAGAAATTAAAGAATGTTTAGTAACACCTCTTTTGACCTGGAAGAAATACAATATTTATAGTTGGACAAAGGGATTTTTGTGCTTGGCAGAGGATGATCAGCCACATATAGTGTATTAAGGAGCGATAGCAGGAGGAGCCATACTGCCATACTGAGCCATATATGCTGAGAGTGAAACATCAGTGAGGGAAGTGAAGCGCAGTCAGAGCTAAGCCGCAAAGAGGCACAGCTGGAAGAACAGATTTTGTCAGAGTTGAGCGTGCAGTACTGGACCATTGCGGCTTATTTTCACCCCTACCCCTGCTGCCATGATCCATCTGTGGTCATGCAGAAAGTGCAGCGCTGCACACCAAACAGAACGCAGCAACACGGCTGATACTGCTTAACTTGTCTAGCAGATTACAGTACAATGATGTATTTTAAATATCTGAACGTCCACCCGTTAAATTTTTTATCTAGACCCGTCTCGTTGACTAGTTTTTCGTCACCAAAGATCCACATTTAGCTCATCAGTTCTCGTTATTGTCACGAAAAAAAAGGAACGTCAAGGAAATAATTTTGTCATCATCATTGTTGACGAAAACCGCACTGCTAAGATCACTACATCTTTACTTAATTTTTGACAGCCCTGATGAGGAAGATGTAAACCTCATAAGTTTCTAATTCAAAATATTTTAAATTAGAGACACTGCTGTGGATACATTTTAAGGAAACACCTCAAACACTTTCCTCTTATTTGAAATAATGTAAAAAAGTAAGCAAATAATTAATAGAAGAATGTTGGCCTACACAACCCTGGTTTCCCACCAATGATGGTGGTAATAAATTGTTTATAATTTTTACATTCTTGAAATACTTTTTTACTTACCAACAGAAACTTTCTCACATGAGGGCAAGCATGAGCAAGAGAAGAAGCTAAAGTGGGAGCTCTAGAAGTTCATAAAGTGGAAATTATACAATAAATGAGAAAAGGAAATTTACTATAATAACATCAAGTTTGATTAAAGTGATTATAGTAAGTAAGTAGCAATAAGTGCTGTTTTAAGAAAAATACCTTGTTAGAGGGTAGGGCATTATGAAATTGTAGAATTTTTTTGGCAGAATCTTGGCTGTGATTAAACCACAACACAAACATAACAAGCGAAGTCATTGATGGTCATTTTGTGACAGAGAGATTGGATCTCTCTCCACTGTCTTCAGCAAAGATAGAGGAAACCAGTGGAAATAGAGAAAAGTGCTGTGGAGAAGTTCTGTCACGGTTTGTTTGGAGGTTTTTGTGAGGACCCAAATGCAGAGGCTGAGAAGCAGGGGTGAGTTCTTTGATGTTTTGATGGGATAACACAGGTAGCAAAAACAGGAATCCAAAAATCCAACATAAAAATTAAACACTAACCAAAACCATGGAGACATCAGGGGAAAACTATCACAAGGAGCCAGGGTGAGACAAAGTAAGATGAAACAGCATTGCGAAACCAGCTACGACAAGGAACCAACAAGGAGTGACAGCAGAGGGAGAGAATAAGTAACTGACTGAGACAAAGGCAGGGCTAATGAGCTGACAAGGAGCAGGTGTGAGTGGAGACAACGAGGGAGCTAAGGGGAAAGGAAAACATACAAGAGGGCAACATAGAACAACAGAAAAACCTGAGAACTAACATAATTCTAGAAATACAACAAAACAGAAATTAAACCAATAAAACTAGAAAACATGGAGCAAAGTAAGCACAACAGAACCAAGACCATGACAAGTTCAGTAGCCCTGAGCCGTACCAGTTTGAGCCGCTGGCTCAGAGACTTTGTGTAGCTACCCCCTTCTCCCATATATGGTTGTTCTAATGTTCTAATGGAGACTGTAAATAAGTATCTGAACCAATCTTGTTGAACAGAAATTAATAACTTTAATGTTCTTTGACCCAGTGATACCACATGAATGTCATATTATTATCTTAGATTAGTTAGACATTAATTTTTTTCAAAGTTTGGTGCATTTTATATTTTCTAATAAGTCCTCTGTTTAAAATTAATGTTATTTTCCAATAACTTATAGGTCCTGTGACTGACAAAAAACTATCATAAAATAAATATAGTACTTGACTTGTTTGTATCCAATTTTAATGCATTGGCTTTTTTCATAAACCAAAAATGGAGACAACCGTGATTTATTTTTATTTCGCATTATAACAAAATCACTCAATTTATTATCAATTCCTAAGCAAATCACCACTGCCCAGGGCAGAGCTGCTGACATCAGTTCTCCTTAATTACATCACATTCCCAGCTAGGCCAAAAGCAAAAATCAGATGCAGTAACATCGTTTTGACCTTGGGAGGGTGCCAAACAGACAATTTTAGAAACAAAAACTGGAATTCAACAAATGTGCAGTAAATGATCAAAATAATGCCTGGGACCATTAGACAGCAAATAAGATGCCAATTCACACAGTTACTCAGCAAAAAAAAGAAAGAAAAAGAAAACAATTGATTTAGGGGTTAGTAGTCGTTTAGATAACAGTTAATTCTAAATTTTCAGTGTAAAAAAAAAAAAAAAATTAAATTTTCAGTGTAACATTGTAATTGCAATTGAAAATAAAGTAAATAATTGGTTCATTTTAATGCTTAAGGTTTTTATAACTGTGTAGCTCATATTCCGATAGTAATTAAGCTGATGGATGAGTGTTACTACAGACCATAAAATAGGTATTCATTCAAAGAGGACTCCAGATGCTCATATCATGTAAACTGATACAGTTTTGAACGACACCTATCTTGTACCATCGTTTCAAACTTCATTTACACCAATGGTTTGTTGTCACAGCATTGGATTTATTGGGTTTTGTGTGTCCAGATGGAGCAGGGAGAGAGAAACTAGACATATCAGACCAACAGGGTTTTCATTGTCTTGTAAGAATTTATTACTTAGTAACTAAAGGGTATATCTTCCTAAACATGACAATTGCTTATTTTTTTATTTACTGTTTCAATCTAAAGTTGTAAGCTGTGTTTGGGTTAGATCCAGCTCACTTCACATGAGCTTTCTGTCCATGGTCTATAAAAACAGTATGTAACACAGATGTATTGACATGCATACCGGATTTTGCTGTGTTACTGCATGTTCACCAATTGACCTATTGTATGTGATTTAGAATTTCCAAGTGGCTTTTAAACTGATCTGATTTATTGTTTTTTATTCCAATCATGACTCTATTTTAGATTTTGAATCAGATTGTACTTTTTAAAAGGCGTTGTCTCTCCAGGCTATTTTAGTTTCCAGCTTGTTTTGAGCTTCATAGTTTGCACAACAATTAGAACGTATTTCAGTGAGGTATTTACTTCACAATAAAGTTCTGATATGTACCCTGTGGACCAATATAATAAGGTCATGGTGAGAGACGAGATAGACGCCAAACCTTTTGACACTGAGAAAAAAAATTCAATCTGCAGGGCAGCCTCAAATATATAGCAAAACCAAGTTAAAAAGGGTACAGTTTCTGATAGTATGTATAGTGGTCAGAAAAAAGTGTCACACAAGATGCAAAAAGATATAAAATGGATTCCAAAAGGTCATAAAACCAAATGTTTTATGAAATTGATGAAAAACAAAGGGTAAACTACCTCCAAACTGGAGAGGTATCCAAAATGAAGAAACAGGAGATTTATTTCTATGTTTGACAAAAATAAGTATCAGATTGAAGAAACCAAAACCTTGATCTTTTAGGTCTTTAGTTTTTCTTTTTCAATTTTCATAACAGAGAAAACACATAAGCATTTTATACTTATTTTCTATTTGTTAGGTGACAGGTTGATGCCTTTATAGTTGTTACAACTAAACTATGTGTAAATTTGACAAAAGGATTCATACATTCTGTGTGTGTGTGTGGTTGGGGGGGGGGGGGGGGGGGGGGGGGGGGGGGCATCATCCCCCCTGCAACCCCATACAGATGGAGGGATGATACAAGTTAAAAGATTTAATTCATTATTCTTTTATAAAATCAGATATTCTTGCCTTACAGTAAGAAGAAAGTGTATTAGTTAGATTGTCGATTTTGCACTTTTCCCACCTGCAAAGTATGGGGAGATCCTTTATTTTTATCGTAGGTACTTTTTAGTTCTGAGTGACTAGATCTAATAAAAAAAATCTTTATGAAGAAATTAGAATTAGAAGAAACTAGTTTACAGCATGGTATAAGTATTATGTTACCCTCTAACAACAACTAATTCAAAGTCTCAAAGCCCTGGTAGATTTTCTTTTAAAAGCACTTCTATTCTCAGTAATTTCCTGTTTTAATTACACCTGTTTCAATTGATTTTCTATAAAAAAAACATCCGTCCACATACTGAATCATAATCAATCCATCACAATGATCAAGACCAGAGGTGTGTGAGGACATCAGTGATAAAACAGTAAACCTGCATAAGGATGGGATGGGCTACAGGAAACTTCTTGAGAACTCTAAACAATAAAACAAATGAAAGAAGTTCAACATGGCTGTAAATGTCCCTCTGTCTGGGGTTCCATGCGATATCTCACCTTGTTTGGTATCACTGATCAGGAGGAAGTGAATGGATCTACACAGAACTACACAACAGGACCAGGTGAAAGACCTGAAAACCTTGGACCAAACTCTCAAACACCATTAGTAAAACTATGACACCATAGATTAAACTCCTGCAGCACTAGCAAGGTCCCTCTACTCAAGTCAGTGCAGGTCCAGGCACGTCTGAAGTTTGCCAATGACCATCTGGGAGATTCAGAGGAGGAATGAAAGAAAGTAATGTTGTCAGATGAGACAAAACTACAGCCTTTTGCAACACTTGATGTGTTTGGAGGAAGAAGAAGAAAGATGATTAAAAACCCAAGAGCACCTTTTGTACAAAGGGAACAGCACCATATTGAGGGAAAGCTTTGAATTTGTTTAAGTTAACATTAGTTATTGCTAATTGTTTTGGTGAGGTTGTGGAACAGTTTCAATGTGAGGTTAAGCTTCCACAAATAAATTCCTGGATATTTTGAGGCTTTTCACCATCTTTACCAGAAATTCTAAAACATATGGTGGGTTCTCTGTCAATTTCATGAAACCACCTTTATTATAAACGGCTGTTACTAGTGTTGAATAGAGATAAGTATGGTATGTTTACATCGTTAACGTACATTGTGGTGTTCCTGCATCTCCTGGCTGCTTTTATCCCATCCTTTCAATTGGTTTAGATGTTTTGGGTTGTACAGAAGCAACCAGATGCATTCAAAACAGATGGACAATTATGAATCTGTCTTAACTCATTTTGAAAAAGGCTAGAAGTGGTTATGGTATAATCAGAGGTGGGTAAAGTACCTAAAAAATGTACTCAAGTAGGAGTAGCACTACTTCAATTTTATTTTACTCAAGTAAAAGTAAAAAAGTACTTGAGTACTGAGTAACTGTTGTATTATAACATCAGATTAAATATAAATAAATATAAATGATGCTGGCGAACAGACTTTATTTGTACATTCTGGCATTTTAAAGACTCAAATGTCTAAAGAATAGAAATAAATGCCATGATAATAACAGAATAAATTGATGCAAAAGAAATACTTTTACTTTATTTTTACATAAAACTTTGAAAACCAATCACTACAATGAGAACTGTATATATGTTAGGACAGGGTAACGAACTTCCACTGTTAATATCTACTCTTTACTGTATTTTTCTATTATTTACTAAAATCACTCACAGTAGTACCCAAGTAGGAGAAGCGATACTTTACAAGAATATTACTCAAGTAAAAGTAAGAAGTACGGCACAGTAAACTTACTCCTAAAAGTTTTTTTTTTTTTTTTTTTTTATTGTTACTTAAGTAAATATAAATGTAACTAATTACCACTGACCTCTTGGCATAATTCAATTTACATGGCATAGTACTACATAATCTCAAGTAAGCTCTTGGCCTGAAAATTAAGGGGATGTATTACATTAGTTTTTAAAAGCGGATTTCATTGTTTCCTTTTTCCAACAGGGGGATCCTGGACCAGAAGGACTAAGAGGACTGCCTGGTATGACAGGACCTCAGGTAGGCTTTATCCTGTCAAATTTTTATTGAATGTTTTACACATCTACTTCAATACTATCTTATAAAAAGGGTCTTTGTGGTAAAGACCATAAGATTTTAAACAATTTATAAGTAAAACAAATAACTGGAAAATTCGAAATCCTTACTCCAGTGTCAACTTTACTGTTCGTTCCTTACGTACATTTTATAATTTTCTATAATTTTTTGGTTGCAGGGACCAGCAGGACACGTCGGGCTGCCTGGATTGAAAGGTGATAAGGTGATTTAAATATTCATATTATTGATGTGAATATATTTACTGTGTCACTGATCGATATCATGTATTTTTACTTTATGTAGCTACACAATATCTTGGTAACATTTTGGTAGCACTTCTACCACAACCGTAAAAAAGCTAGAAAAGTAAATATGTGCAATTACCTCCAAAGGTCACGACCTTCAAAACGATTTCAAACTGAGAGCACTTGAAGGTTTTGGAAAATAATTTGTTTTAAGACCTATTTGGCTGTACATGTTATTTCTATTTGTTTAGAGGGTTTTGTGGAAACAGAGGATTCAAATCACCATAGTTTAGTGGAGTGTAGTACACATACTTTAAATGTCAAAATTGTGTATATTTGTAATCTTTTTCTATTATAATTAATATTGCAGGGAAGTGTAGTGTTATATCTTGTGTGATGCTATAAAATCTAGGGTGAAGTGGGTCAAAGGGGTGAGCCAGGAGAGATGGGCTTCCAAGGTGACAAGGTAAGAAATGACAATTTTATCACTTATGGAAATATATAACTTAGTCTTACAAAGTGATAGGATGTTGGCTAGGAATTCATTTTGATTTCACTGTTTCTGTTTTCCTTAACATATATATATATATATAAAAACAACTGAAACCTTTAAAGTCCTTGCAAATTAGGAAATGATGAATCCAAACAAGATGAGAGATGTGTGCTCATATAAAATCAGATGTTCTTTCATTAATCACGAGGTCATCAGATAATACACATCCAGATGTGTACTCTGCTGTAATGCTACATTCTGAAGAGATATTGTCTATGTCTGCATGTTTTAGGGTGCTGTTGGTGCTCCTGGTCCAACTGGACCCAGAGGGAAACCAGGGCCACCGGTATGTTTAAGTTTGTTCATATCTTTGTCAGGAATAGGGTTCATTTATTATGAGCAAATATGTAAAGTCGGATTTTATACCCAGTAGGGAAGTTTTTTATGGACATCTGTAGCTCTCTATGCATCATCCAGGGATGTCTGTGAATACCTAAGTGTATCAGCAAGTTCAGGTCGCATGATGTAGACAGAGAGCAGCATCTGCCCCTGTCTTCCTAAGTCCACAAAGCATAATAAATGAAGTAAAACACTCAAATTCATATTGGAGATACCTGATTTAATTATCACAATAAGATGTGACAACCAGAATAGTATTTGGTTAACAATGCACACAAAATAAGTTTTTCACTGTTAAAAATCACTAAGAAACAGTCAGTCAATAAAAGGCATTGGAAGTTGAGATTTATATGCAAATTTAACAATATGAGTACCCTGAAATGACATAAGAATGTCTGTAGTTTATTTATTCACATTATTAGCATACCTGTTTTATGTATCCTGTTTTATTTATCTGACCTAATAAGCAAGATAGCCAATGAAAATGTGTTGTTTAAAGGATACAAAAAGAATGACAGAATTATATACCGTATTTTCACGACTATAAGGCGCACTTAAACGTCTTTTTTTTTCATCAAAATGTGCGGTGCGCCCTATGGTGCGGTGCGCCCTATGTGTGTTGTAACTGCGACTTTTGAGACCACCTCATTGAGGAGATGATGAAAGAGTGGCTGAATGTAAGGAGACCAGCTGTTTTTTTTCCACCCCTCACCATCGCTGTTAATATGTAACTCCATGCGTGCCCATCTCACAGCTGATGTGAAAAACATGGGGAAACAAATTAACGCTGTGCTCGCTGTTCAACCGCTCGACATCGGTGTGAACCGGACCCAGCAGGTGCAGCAGAAGCAGCGAGTTTACATGCAAAGTCAATGGTTGACGCGCGTATAGGTGCAGCAAAAGGTCCTGCAGCGCGTTTTGGTGCAGCACGTCGGGAGCGTTTAAGCATCTGACGCACCGCCAACGCGCTGCTGCTGCTCAGATGGAAAAATTGAAGTTTTGCTGCTGGACGCGCCGCATCAACCAATCAGAGAAGCTGATCTGGGAGCTGACAGCGAGACAGACACAGCGCTCTGATGACATATGATATTAACGCAAATGAAAAGGCTGGATGGATGCGTGGCTGAGACAGGTGTATGTGAGAAGACTAGGTGGTTTTTTCCACGCATCACCATCGCTGCGTGCCCATCTCACAGCCGATGTGAATAAAAGATGAATCAAATGAACGCTGTGCTCGCCGTTATCCCGGGGGTCTGACAAAGGAACTTCAACCGCTCGACATCGGTGTGGAGCGGCCGTTCACAGTAAGGCTGCGAGCGGCGTGGGAGCGATGGATGACAGACTGAGACCACAGTTTCAGGATAAGTGGAAGGCAGCGCCGTGCAAGTTACGCCACCGTTTGCGGATGGATTGTAGATGGACTGTGTCTGCTGGCTCTGTTGTTCAAGCTTTCGCAAAAGCCGGCATTATTTCTGAGGAGCTGCGCTGCACGGAAAGTGACTCTGACAGCGAAGAAGGGGAAACTGGCATGTCTGATTTAGCGCAGCTGTTTTATTCAGAGGAATGCTGAGGATAACAGAGGATGATGACTTTGATGGGTTTGATTAATACTTTGTAATAAATACATGAATAAAGCACAATCATACTCAGGTTTGCTCCCGCTCTATTTTTCTACCTGAAAACTTAATTCAACAGCAGCCTCTGGGCGCGTCTCCTCCTCTTCAGCGCGGTGGCTGGCAGGTGTTTTTTCATCTAAATAATCTAAATCTTGCAGCTATATTTGCTGTGATCAGTTGGAATAAAGTAGTTTTAATATGTTTTTAAGTGAGAAAGGCCACCTGAAAACTTAATAATTGCAGTCAGTTCATCCAGATTATCTATTTCTGTCGGAGGCGCTCAGACCCCCACATACCAGCGGTGCACTGACAGGAGAAGTCCTTTCGTTCACCGCGGCTGCTGGCAGGTGTTTTTCATCTAAATAATTTTAGCTGCAGGCACCAGGATACCGGTAATAAAAGCGAACATATTCCGTCGGCAGGTTTCAGGATTTTAAGTTAATTTAGGAGTGATCACAGCGCTGTGTCATCTGCGATGTGTCTGTCTCACGGCCAGCTGCCAGGTTTGATTAATACTTTGTAATAAATACATGAATAAAGCACAGTCATACTCAGTTTTGCCCCCGCTGTATTTTTAAATACGCAGTAGAGCTATTTAAAGGTAGTAGAGGACATGTACCTGTATATAAAAAACGCGCCCTATAGTCCGGTGCGCCTTATGTGTGTGTTAAATACAGAAATGGGACACATAACTGAGAGTGCGCCTTTTAGTACGGTGCGCCTTATGGTCGTGAAAATACGGTACCTTAAAAAAATAAATTGAATGACAGAATTATATAGCATTAACAAAAATTAATTGACCTTAAAAAAGCCACTAAAAAGAAGACTCGATGCTCTCTCACATTTTTTAGCACAACTTGCAAAGTATAAAGATGGGTAACTTTGTTCTTATTCTGCTTTGAAAAACAAAATTTGTACTCTGTGTACTTTTTTAACCAATATTTGTGTCAAACATCAATGTAAAAAAAAATTAAAAAATACCAGGACTGCATAGTTTATTTTTTGTTAAACTTAAATTCTGTTTGATTTTTTACTAATAGTATAGAAACATGAATTAGCTTTCTTCATTCAGCTTTATAGTGGATCCATAATGAATATATCATGATGCATACCATTTGTTTGCTTTAAAGGGTAGAATTGGAGACATTGGGATACAAGGACCACCTGGGCCACCAGGACCAGAGGTAGGAACTGAATCGGATATCATGTTAATGACATGTTACATAAGCAGCTTTAGATGTCTGCTGTTTATATTTAACAACAGTGTTTAAGCTTTTTGTAATAAAAGTAATTAAACACATTTTTATATTCTCCCCGATACATTCCCTTAAAAATTTTTAAGTATTTTTTTTATTTCATTTTATTGAATTAAGGGCTGCACAGTAGGGCAGTGGGTAGCACTGCTGCCTTGCAGCAAGAAGGTGCCAGGTTCGATTATGGGCACATTGTCTTTCTGCAAGGAGTTAGCATGTTCTCCCTTTGCATGTGTGGGTTCTCTGCGGGTACTCCAGCCTCCTCTCACAGTCCAAAAACGTGGTTGTTAGGTTAATTGGCTTCTTTAAATTCTCCTTTAGTGTGAGTGTCTGTGTGAATGGTTGTTTCTCCTGTTTGTCTCTGTGTAGCCCTGCGATAGGCTGGCGACCTGTGCAGGGTGTACCCAGCTTCTCGCCCATTGACTGCTCTAGATAGGCACCAGCACCCCTCACAAACCCACCAGGGATAAGAGTGACAGAAAATGGATGGATGGATGGATGGATGGATGGATGGATGGATGGATGGATGGATGGATGGATGGATGGATGGATGGATGGATGAAATAATTAGAGTAAATGTTTCCTATAGGGTAATATTTAGAAATGGATATCAACTGCGCTAAAAATGTCTGCTTTTTTGCAACAAAAAAAAATGTTTACACGAGCATTTGTCCTTTGCTTGTATACAAGTTTAATTTTAGAATAAAAGAAAATTTTAATATGTGATATGTGTTAACCAGAACACAGTCTACCTTGTGAAGTGAGAATTCAGTTGTTTCAAAAAGAAATTTTTTTTCTGGGTTCACATATAAACCGCTGTTTAACATATTAAGTTTGGTAAATCTTCACGGTTGTATTTTTGTGTTGGAACATAAAAAAATGAATTTGCTAGAAAAAAATGCTAGAGACCTAAAAGCATTGCGAAGATTTAAAAGGCAAATTGATCTTAGGTACATGCAAAATCACATTTTAATTTAAACTGCAATCAGTATCATATCTTCAGTCCCACTCTTCATTTATTTGTGATTAGGCAGATTTAATTTAATTTCAATGCAGTAAGAACATGTAATGTTCTGAACTATTAAAATATTAATCAGTTACTGTACATTTCAGGTTTTTAGACATTTTGTTTTTCCCCTGTTAGCTCAGGGAAACATAGAATAAGCAAGTTTCTGATGACCTGAGGGATCTACGTGATCATACTTATAACATAGAAATGTATTTCTGTCAAGGGTAAATTCTGGAACTGGGTGTAACACAAAAGTCAGTAACTAAACTAAAAGATGATGTCAGTAGAAAAAATATAGTTTATTCACAATTTGCAGAGGTCACAAAAAAAAACAGCAAAGCTTTAAGCCTCAGAGTCTCCAAGGCCAAAACAACCCCCCACCCACCCACCCCCGCACACACACACACACACACACACACACACACACACACACACACACACACACACACACACACACACACAAACAAAATACTTTCTAACACAGAAATGAAAAGAACATATAATCCTGCTGGACTCCCTGGCTAACCACGAAACAAGGAGCAAACAGTTAAACAAAAATGGCAGAGAACCCCTACCTGCTTCCACTGTGATCAGAAAAACAAAAAAATTAGTCAGCCAATTGTTCAACGTGAACACACAGTAACACTCAGCTCATAGACAAGATCACTTCAGATTAAGGCCCATTGTATAAGAGAAAAAAGGGGCATGACATCTCAGGGTTGAAGCTCTTTATGAGGTGGCTGACGAGCTTCAACACATTGCAGCTTTAACAGCCAGGTAGACCTCAAACACAAAGAGAGAGCTCTCTCATGAAGAGAGCTCCTAGAGGTCAGTGACCATAACATGAAGTATCTTTGGGTCCTGTACATCACTAAGGAGAGAATGGAGCAGGAGATCGATAGACGGATCAGTGTGGCTGCTTCTATAATCTGTTCTGTTCTCGTAAAGAAAGAGCTGTGCGGATGGTTCATCAGAAGCAGCTGAAATTAGCTTCCTCCGAAGTGTGGCTATGCACTTCATTAGAGATGGGGTGAGGAGTTTGGTCATTTGGCCCAGAGTATAGTAGCTTCTCGTCCTGATCAAGAGGAGTCCGTTGAGGTGGCTCAGATATCTTTTTCAGATGCCCCCAGGGCACCTCCCTCCAGAGATGTTCTACCAGGAGGAGGCCCAGGGGATGGCCAAGGACACACCAGAAGGACTATAGTGCCTTCACCATTGCTGCTCAACAGCCTTGGTCTTTTGAAAGCCCGAGTGGCTTTCTCATACACATTTACCTGGATAAATTCAGTTTGCCAGAAGTTTACTTTCCTGGGGCTTTGGGGTCGGTCTCTCTCTGTCTGTCTGTCAGTCTTTCTCTTTCACATACTGTATGTGGCATTAATAAGGCATTACTGCCACCAACTGGGATGGAATCCACTGTCTAAGCTTCTACTTGATATAGATCTATGCTTATATGACATAAATAATCATTTTGACTAAAACATTATCAGTTTATGCTGTAGATGTATGAAATCAAAGAAAACAACTGTGTAAATCAGTTCTTTTGAGGTCCTTCTAAATAGATCACATATTTAAAAGACAACTCTTACCAGATGCAGGTTAATGGAAAATAAACTTAAATTAAATCCCTAAAGTTAGGGATTTACATATAGCAGGTTGGCACTGGAGGTAAAGGGAGAATCAATTGTGAGTTCCCATTTCACACTGAACTGAAGGAGTAGTTTAGTTTCTCTCTGACTGTTTGTTGCAGTACTTCCAGAGTAATAGGAAAGTACATTGATGAATTATCTAGGATTCCTATTAACTGTGTAATAGGAATCCTGGGGCTTAAATCCTGGGGATTTCAGTGTATTAGGGGCTTATGTCTTTTAGCTGGTCTTGGACTGCCTCTGATTTCCCGAAGCAGAGCTGGAGGAGATGTCTATGGAGAGGAAAGTCTGGGAGTCTCTGCTGAGACTGCGGTCCAGGTCAAATGGAAGACGACAAATATAAAAATAGTCCCAAACATAAAGCCAAGGACACCTCTTATTAAAAGTATATCTGTGGAAATTGCTCAGTCAATAATCGTACTTATTTTTGTCTCATTTCAGGCTTAACGCTTATATTTATATGTGGATTAATAAATTATAAATTGGTTGCATGTGTAGATCACATGGGATGCTGTTGAAATAGTGTAAGAATTTTATGTCAATGGCCCCATTATAATATGTAGAATAAGAACATAGAGGTGTTCAGCATTCTTTTTATTGTGGTTCAGCATATCAGTTCCAGCACGTTGTTCAGGAAGCAGCCAGCTCCCCAGCTGTTTTAGCAGTTGACTGCATTTGGAATGCCAAGGTAGTAAATATTCTGGGTGTGGACAAAGCATCTGCATAGCATGGATATAATTGGCAAAACATTTGAAGAACACTTATGCATGTTAAATCGTAACAGTGGAACATATATGGGACATATTTGGAGTCCCTGGGTTGCAGGGACATATGCCAAGATAATTTTTCCAACAAGTTCAAAAGGTTCATCAGGTCGATTTAGCAGAATATCACATCATGCTACAGTATGAGACACATACAAAATAACAATGCTAAATACTGTGGAATGATATTATGGAACACAAAATCCATATATAAAAAACCTTTTTAACCAGTCAAGTGTGTGAGTGATTACAAAAAAGCATATACACTATATTGCCAAAAGTATTTGCTCACCTGCCTTGACTCACATATGAGCTTAAGTGACATCCCGTTCCTAATCCATAGGGTTCAATATGACGTCGGTCCACCCTTTGCAGCTAGAACAGCTTCAACTCTTCTGGGAAGGCTGTCCACAAGGTTTAGGAGTGTGTTTATGGGAATTTTTGACCATTCTTCCAGAAGCGCATTTGTGAGGTCGCACACTGATGTTGGACGAGAAGGCCTGGCTCTCAGTCTCCGCTCTAATTCATCCCAAAGGTGTTCTATCGGGTTGAGGTCAGGACTCTGTGCAGGCCAGTCAAGTTCATCCACACCAGACTCTGTCATCCATGTCTTTATGGACCTTGCTTTGTGCACTGGTGCACAGTCATGTTGGAAGAGGAAGGGGCCAGCTCCAAACTGTTCCCACAAAGTTGGGAGCATGGAATTGTCCAAAATGTCTTGGTATGCTGAAGCATTCAGAGTTCCTTTCACTGGAACAAAGGGGCCAAGCCCAGCTCCTGAAAAACAACCCCACACCATAATCCCCCCTCCACCAAACTTTACACTTGGCACAATGCAGTCAGACAAGTACCGTTCTCCTGGCAACCGCCAAACCCAGACCCGTCCATCAGATTGCCAGATGGAGAAGCGCGATTCGTCACTCCAGAGAACGCGTCTCCACTGCTCTAGAGTCCAGTGGCGGCGTGCTTTACACCACCGCATCCGACGCTTTGCATTGCACTTGGTGATGTATGGCTTGGATGCAGCTGCTCGCCCATGGAAACCCATTCCATGAAGCTCTCTGCGCACTGTTCTTGAGCTACATGAAGTTTGGAGGTCTGTAGTGATTGACTCTGCAGAAAGTTGGCGACCTCTTCGCACTATGCGCGTCAGCATCCGCTGACCCCGCTCCGTCAGTTTACGTGGCCTACCACTTCGTGGCTGAGTTGCTGTCGTTCCCAAACACTTCCATTTTCTTATAATACAGCTGACAGTTGACTGTGGAATATTTAGGAGCGAGGAAATTTCACGACTGGATTTGTTGCACAGGTGGCATCCTATCACAGTTCCACGCTGGAATTCACTGAGCTCCTGAGAGCGACCCATTCTTTCACAAATGTTTGTAAAAACAGTCTGCATGCCTAGGTGCTTGAATTTATACACCTGTGGCCATGGAAGTGATTGGAACACCTGATTCCAATAATTTGGATGGGTGAGCAAATACTTTTGGCAATATAGTGTATGTGTACTGTTAACCGATTTTAGCATCTATGCTACTAACATAAATATAAATATATATGTACAAAAAAAGTAACAGTGCAGCATCAATATCTTTAATCACTTTTATTATTCTTGAAAGGGCTTTCCTGGAGACATTGGTGTACCAGGCCCCAATGGCCCACCAGGACCAAAGGTAGTCACTTTTAGATGATTTGCAAATTTTAACATTAAGCTTGTACTTTTTAAACATTTGACTGTGTTTTAGGGTTTACAAGGTGCGAGAGGACCCCAAGGCCCGCCAGGCCCAAAAGGAGTACAGGTGAGATTATTCAGAACTCACTAGTTAATATACAGTTGTGCTTGAAAGTTTACATACCCTTCAGCTACAGAAAAATGAGCTGGCAGTAAAATAAATAAAAAGTAATAATAAATAAAGATAATAGAAAATGGAAATCGTCACATTGAATTTTAAACATGCCTAATGGAGATCCTGAACAAAAATGTTGTTGACACAGGGAAAATCTTATCTTTGAGGCAATCATTGTAATCAGATGTGTCGGGGACAGTTTATTTTTTAGGATAATTTTTTTTAAACAAAATTCAAAATCAATATTTTATTTTACTAAATTATAATTTAGTAAATTTCCATTTATTATTACTTTTTCAGTTTTGTGTTATTTGAATTACTGTGTGAAATTATAATTTTTGTTAATGGGAGGATAAGTAAACTTTCAAGAGCAACTGTGCATCAGGTCATATAGATATCTGCTGTGTTTCACTGCGAATGGAAAATACCGGCATGATTACACTAAAGCTAGATCAATTACTATGGTACCTGTCATATTGGAATTTGTCACCTCTTAAGTTGTTGCAGCTTACTGTAAATCTGAGTGGAAACATTTTTTCCACTGTAAGACCGCAGGGCATGTTCCACCAGGTGAGGTTTTGATTTTGAATTAGAACCAAACAAATGTAAGCTTCTTTTTTTCCCAGTCCTGGAAAAGTGAGCAGAAGCCTTTGGAAGGGTTATAGCACACACATATGCAAAAAAATGTTTTCTTTCTTTTTTTGCTGTGTGAAAAGCATTGTATTTCCGTACATTCACTAAGTTGTTGAGTTTGCCAACACCTGTCAAATTCAGATGTACTAGTTGTAACTAAATTGTAGGTATTCCCTTTCACTTCTGTGATGCTTTTCTACTTTGGTTTATTTAGAATTCCTTACCAGATTTACAAAATGTCCTGGAGGATTTTTTCTTATACTGAGTTTGGCTCTTAGATCTTAATACATTTACTTATTGGAAACAGGGGATGACAACTTTATTCTTTGAGTTGGCATCAAGTCAGTGTGAATTACAGCATTTTATCATGTAACATTGTGTCATTTGAAACAAAAAAAGAACAAGTAATACCAGTTTTTTGTTTATTAAACCATAATCAGGAATCAGATAAAGCATTATCAGATTATTTTTTTATACAAAATGAAAAAAAGAGATCATGAGTGCTATTGGCCTAACCCAGAAACTTATGAATAAGTGGATGGATATGCTGGCAAACAGGTCATCTTGGGGTGTTATAATTAGAGATATATAGGACACTGGCCCACGTTATCCAAAAAGACTCCAGATAAGGTTATTGGGCGAGCAACGGTTAACATGAAGATAAGTTGGTTAAAAAAAAGCTTACATCCAGGTTCAGCAAGCTGTTTGTAGCAAGAATAGAAACATATTTCTCAACATAATTTCTTAAAACCAAAAAAGTATACAAAAATATTTATTTTTGTTCTAAACAAAAATATAAAACTGGCTCAATGTACACCGATGTCATTAGTACTGCAGATGTAATTATTTTCAATATTTTTAATAGTGGAGAATACAAGTGTTACAGGACATGTGTATTTCTTTATATTTTCTGAAACGCTTCTGTTCTTTAATTATAATAATGTCCATAGCATAAGATAAAGATAATGGTTCCCTGTTTCTGCAGGGTGATGAAGGTCCTCTCGGCCCTCCTGGCGGCATTGGTACAACTGTAAGAATTTTCCTCTCAATATGCATATGAATGTATTAGCAATTGACATCTTGCATGCAATAATCTCTGTTTCTGTTGATCAATGATTGTTATAAAGGGGAGGTCCGGGAGAAAAGGCCATGAAGGTGAGCCTGGACCTGATGGCCTACCGGTAGGTTTTTTTTCTACATCCTTTTTGCATCTTTGTTTTTTCTTTAGGGGGGTTATGAGAAGTTGTTAGTGAATATTTGATTATGGTATTGATCTGCTTGTCTATAGTCATTGAGCATGACATCCAAATACGACCAATAGAATTATCATCCATTTCAGAGATTTTTAGAAAAAAGTTACACCTTGCTGGTGTCAGGTTTGGTGGAGGATTGACAAGAGGATCCAAATGCAGACTGAAGCTAAAGGAGATTACTTGAAGATTTAGTAACCAAAAGTTCAACAGAAGCGATTCCACAAAATCCACAAAAACTGAGAACCAGTAATACTTACAAAAAGGGGGCAAAGAAATGACGACAAACCAATCAAGAGTGACTGAGCAGGAGGAGGATATATGGCAGAGAGAAACAAAGACCAGGCTAATTAGCAGATTGGGAGCAGGTGTGAACAGATGCAAGAAGGGAGCTAGGGGAAAAGAGACCGACACAAGAGGGCAAACAAGAAATATCTGAATACTCAAATACAATAAAAAATAACTAGAACACAAAAATTGAAATAAGACCAAGGAAAACTCAGAGATAAAACTGTTTTAAGGATTGTATGATGTCTTTCACTAGGATGGTGAAAAAATTCCCTTAGACATTTTAGTCTAAGGGAATGTAAAAAAAATATTTGCAGCAGAACAACACAGACAGAACTCAGTTGATGGAAATGAGGTTGGAGAATTTTGATAACCTGTCCTAAATATCAACTCTGTTGCATAACTAATTGTTTTATACTTACAGCTGTCATTGTCATTAACTTGAATGTTCTTTCCATCAGACGACAGGATATTGTAGGGTCATTGTCCGTTTTTTTTTTTTTCTTTATGTTGCTGTGGTAGTAATGATTAATTTTTCTCTAACTGGGCTTGCAGTTGAGGTACAGGAGGTAGACTACCCAAATGACCTACTAAAGACTAGTCCTACTTTAATATGTTTTAACCCAAGTCACAGTAGAAAGTAGTCATTAAAGAAATGGCTCTAAAAAGTGCAGTCGTTTTATCATAACATCTGATTTCATTTAAATGTAAATGATGTAATCAGACAGACAACTTCAACTTGTATTTTAAAGACCAAAAGAAAGAATTAGAAAATGCTAACTTACTTAAAGATATGTTTAAATCGGTAATGCATATATGTTAGGAAAGGAAAAAAGAACTTCCTGCAACAATATCTACAGTTTAATGTTTTTTCAGGTCAAGTTAATCCTGGTGGGTTGTGGTCGGAAATTTTATTTATCTAACAGTAGCAAAACTTCAAAGAAATTTTACTTTAGGAAAGTAAAACTTCTCCTTTTTTATGAAAAAATGTCAAATAAATGGAATTAAATAATTAGAAGAGCTTAATACCCACCTCTGCTTGTCAGTACAGGTCTGATTTCTCTCTGGGAAATGACACTCTGTTGCCAGTTTCTGCAAGCATTGTTTACTTTTGTGCTTTTGTTAAAATTTGCATTTCAAGTCAAACATAATGACCTGTGGTGAACAGAACAGACCTATTCCCTAAACGATATGTGGAAGAACTCTTAAAAACAGAAAAAAAAATCTGTCAGGGCTTGGGATCAAACATGACTCTTGCGATTGGAAGCTGACCTAGTAAGCAGAATCCCACACAGCTATTACACACCTGGAAATATTTATCTCACTAATAACACGTACACATGAGAGTGTTTTCTTTGATTTGTTTCTTTTTTTTTTCATTTTAAAATACATTAATGACAGTGTTTTTTCTTCTGCCAGTAGAAAGTAAGAAATTAACCCTTGCTCTACATTTATCTCCCATCATTAACAGGCTCTCAAGCAATTTTCAGGCTACTAATCTCCTAAGTTCATAAGTCAGAGTTGCTTCTGTTTATCCGGTTCCCAAATCCAATATCAAAAAGAACTATCTATAAAGTTATCCTTGATTTCTGAATAAGAATTGACCCAAACATCAAGTATATGTGTTGTTCATGTTTCTTTCATGAATGAAGCATGTTCTTCTGCACAAATCTATATCATTCTTTTTAGACTATTGTAATCTACCTTTTACGGTTCTGAAATGATCATGAATTTCACACCTGCAAACCATTTAAAATGCAGCAGCAAAACTATATGCTGAAACTAATAAATACTAAAATATCAATTTGGTGTCATACTCCCTACTCTGGGGGATTTCAGCATTTAGTTAAATACATGTCTTTACACTCAGATCTTTAAATAGTCTGGTTCCTAATATCTTTAAGCTTTTAACCAATCACTTTGCTGCTTGTAGGCTTTGATCCCAAGCCAAGAACATCCTGGTTATTCGTCATAAAAGGCTTAAATCTAAAAAACAAAAAACAAAAGGACTTTTAGACTGCTGCTGCTAGACTATGGAAATACTTGCCCAACAAACTTTGTGGATGCTTTTAAAAACAAACTAAAATCTGTTCTGCATAAATAGTCTTTTATTTCATGAACTTATTGTTCTTTTATTATCCTGTTTCTTTTAAACGTGTGTATAACTTGTGCTTTATAGTAAATGTCATCTTGTGTTTTTTTTTCTTTGACAAGTACTTTATAAATAAACGTTACTTACTTTTAAACCCAACCAGTCACTTTAGAATAGTTAGTTGTTTTGTTTTTTCTATCATAATTTTTTCTGCATATTTCGTGGTTGCCTTGATTTTCATCCCCTTAAACTCTTAGACTGTGCAGTAAAGATGGTCTTAATTAGAGGGAAATTATTTCCTCCATGACCGTCATCATGCGGTGCATCATGGAAATTATTCACAGCCCCTTGCAATCCATGTGTGTGTTCTTTTACGCCCTTAATATCCTTTGAGCATACTGTTAGAATAAAAAAAAGGTAGTAAAGATAGTAAGATATATGTTTAACTACAGGTAATAAATAATAAGATTGTTTAATGTTTACTCATTGCAGGGAGAGAAAGGGGACACCGGAGGTGTTGGAAAAATCGGACCACCGGTAAGAAAATCTACCCGACCTCTAATCACTGAATTAAAGTGAAGCTGCTCTATAAGTTGCAGTGAAACTTTCTGGCTTCTTCATGCTTTTTTTTTACCTACCTTTTTCTTACTTGTTATTTTTTTTTATCAAATGCCCTAATTCTTGTCTTTAGAAAAAAATAAAAATCTTATCCCTGCAAAGAAACTGGAACTGTACCGCTTCTCCTTTGTTGAAATTTCCTCAAATACATCTTCTATGAAAACTACAAGAAGACCTGTCCCTCCAGCAGGCCCCTTAATGTTAATATTTGCATTCTAAGGATAAAAGAGGCAACCAATTGGGCCTTGCATGCTGGACTGTGTTGTTGCTCTGCACATATGAGAGACATTAAGCACTAACTGAACAGAGGGCCCTTTGAAGCCAAACAGGAACCATGGCGCTATGCAGTGAGAAAGAAACCCTTAAACATATGTTGGCTCTAATAAATCCCATTACATCACTTTCCAGATAAATGAGATGTGACTGACATCGAGAATGGGTTGATGCATTGAAGCTTTAATCCCTATATCTTCACTAAGTGGTCTTTTATCCTTATATCACCTCTCATAAACCATTTAAAGTGACATTTTCATTGAAGGTTTTCAAGAGCTTAGGACACTTTTGGCCATTTCAGATGTTCTGCTCCAAGTCTCATCCTTCATTTTCTCTTAAAGAACCTAAATATATAGAAAAATGAAAACAGGCTGCTTTGACAAAATCAACTACTCCTCTGACTACATCACCCTGTTTGGATTTGAATGTTGTACTGCTTCTATGAATGTGACACTATTGGTTGAATTAGAACGTCTTTAATCTAGTTAAGTTTTCTTTTCTACCTGACCAGAGTACCTACTGTACCCTAAAATAAGTAGCAGTTGAGCCTCCAGATATAATTGTTGGAACATAAAATACCTTGTTAAACTTTTATGCAGTTATAAGTTTCAAGTTGCCATGTTGTTGTACTTTCTCACCAGATTAAGGGATCTGAGGTCAATAAAGTGTTCTTGTTCCCCTGTCTTGCTGGCTGTATTACATTACCGTCACCCAGTGCTTATTTCAATTCAGGAGGATAATCCTCCTGCAGTGATGATATATGAGGAGTATTTTATAGCTGTCAGGCATTTTGCCAAGTTGATGAATTGCAAAAAGAACAAAGCTTTATAGTGTTTATGCTAGTCGCCTGTTTCTTGTCTGTTAGTTCGTTTCAGTCAAAGACTTTTTTCCCCCCCTTTTCAATATAAACACTCTGGGACACATGGAAAAAAAGTTATTAGACAATGTGAATTAATTATACCACTATGTGAAAGTCGTAAGTCAAACTCTGCAGAAAAAAAAAAAACATTGTAAAGAGAATGGATGCCAAATCAATGCAAGTTTATTTAAACTGGCCTGTAATCAGGTATGTATATAAATGCTGCTGTCCAGACTGAGATCTGTGGGTAGGGGCATATATGAACCTTCTTATGGAGGTTGGTGGCAGTTTTTAGGAAATATAGGTGTCACAAATCTTCAGTTTGTCAGGCGGTAGAAGAAGTACTTTGAGGTTTTCCACAACCTAACTGATATCCATCTTTGGTTAAAGCAGAGACTGGGCGCCTGGAGCCAAACTGATTCATCAACTAGTGTTTAAGTCACCGAAGTGGTAAAAAAAACTACACAGTGGAAAGGTTTCGGGAGTGGATGGATTCTGCCCTGGGTACCTTATCACTCTGGAAGTTGTATGGCTGTCGTGATTGGCATGCCTCTTAAGCACTGTGTGGTGGTTAGTGACAATCCCCCTGGACTGGCAGAGGGAGACTGGAGGGTGTGTTCAAAGTATAGGGGGATCACACTTCTCAGCCTCCTTCGAAAGGCCTATGCCAGGGTGCCAAAGAGGACAGTCTAGCTTCAGGAGAAGCAGAATGGGTTTCATCCCAACCGTAGGACCCTGGGCCAGCTTTACACACTCTGCAGGGTGCATAGGGTTCATAGAAGTTTGCCCAAACAGTTTTCCCTTCTGGTGCCCTGTGGAATACAGAATTAGGGACTTTATACTAGGGTTCCTACTAGTCTCTGTACAAGCAGAGCAGGAGTGTAATCCATTGGATCTGTTCTCAGTACATATTAGACTCCAGCACAGCTACCCTCTGTCAGTGGTCCTTGTCATAGACTTTATGGAAAGGATTTCGAGCCACAGCTAAACGCCAGAGGGGGCCTGGGTTGAGGACCAGCCCATTTCGTGCCTACTTTTTGCAGATTACATGGTTCTGCTGGTTCCCATCTGCAAAGGCCATTGTTCCTGACTAAAAAAGGTGACTTTCCTTTTACCCCTTTACATCAGAGGAGAAACACTGCCTCGAGTGAAGGAGTTTTTGTGGTCCTATTCACAAGCGAGGGAAGAATGTTGAGAGAAAGCAATAGAGGGATTGGTACGGCTAATACTGACAATCAGTCTGTTGTAGTGAAGAGAGAGCTTAGCCAAAAGGCAAAGCTCCCAATTTACCCGTCTGTTTACATTGCTAGCCTAGTCTATGATCTTGAAATCATCACCAAAAGAATGAGATACTGGATACAAGGGGCTGAAATTAGCTCTCTCCACAGGGTGGCCAGGTACCTTTGCAATCCGGGAGAGTCTTTAGAGTAGAGCCATTTCTCCTTCACATTAACTGGAAACAGTTGATGTCGCTTGGACAGGTGTTTCCGATGCCCTCTGGAAAACTCCCTCATTAGGAAGCCCAAGGGATGGCCTAGGTCAAGCTGGAGCGACTATGTCTTCCTGCTTGCCCTGGAAAATTTTAGGCTTACCCCAGAGGAGCTGGAAGAGGTGTATGGGGATCGAAAAGTATGGGAGTCTTTGCTGAGACTACAGCTTATTCCAGTTCTGTATAAGCGGAGGACAACAAGTGACAGTATTCTTCATGTAAAGGAGCTTGGTCCTTGTTGAAAGCTTTCCCAATATTTGCTCTTGTCTTTTTTTACATCACCAATCAGTCTCTGAATTGGCCTAAACATTCTCATAAACCTTTCTAATCTGGTTGTAAATCTCTTGCTAACCAGTATCAGAGGTTTTATAAAACAGATTTAGATCTGTTATTGGTTACTGATGTTACTATACAATTAGTTAGATGTAATATCTTTCACAAATACTATTCTGATGAACAACCCTCAGATGGCTGCTGTCATTGTTAGTAAAAATGTGTTAAAAATAATATCACCTTTTTCCATAGCTATTTAATATTTAAAAAACCTGGGCTATTCATAAGAGGGTTGAAAAGTTTTACTTTAACTCTTACAAACTTGGTCACTGGGGTTATTTTCTTTTCTTATTTTTATCACTTTGACTTGTTGCTAACCTCTAAATTGTTTCTCTTTCGGTGTAAATATGGGCAAAATTAGATTTCGTATAGCAATTTCAACGTCGAGAATCAAGAATCCACCTTTCGTATTCCATTTTCAGAGTTTTTTAAAGTGTTTAACAGAGACGTTAGCACCTCGACGTCGGAGTACACAGAGTGAAGCGAAAAGACTACAACTGTGTAAACAGGCCCCATTTCCGTTTCCGGTGGCAGGGGAATATTGACTATTCCAACAGAACTCAATGGGATTTACAAAATGCTAAATAAAACACTACAGGAACGTTTTTTCTTCACGAAACTTTTTTTGGAACGTCATTGAACAGCGCTGACGACCCGGTGAGTAGCATATTTTAAAAAAAGAACGTTTAAGGTTGTTTTAAGGACATTATCGGACATGCACTATGGAAGCCATTCTGAAGCAGCCAGGGGGGATTCTGCATGAGCCAAAAAGCAGAGACAGGACCAATTGTCAAAATTTTGGTGTCGATCATTCGATTTCATCCTGGACACTACAGAAAATGGGCTAAAAGTGTTAAAAACCGGAATTCTCCTTTAAAGTATTGTCAATAAATAGGCCTGCAGGGATAGTTTTCCTTTAGAGGAAAAGTAAATCATGATTTCATATAGCCTATCCACTTTTAAAAAGCAATACAAAAATCCAAAAAATCCTTATATCTTTTGAGAAATATTAAAAGATTTACAGCACTTGAAGGGTATCAGTGCTCCTCCATTTGGGTTGCCTCTGAAAAACTCATACATAAGAACATAAGAACATAAGAATGTGTTGCTAGGCAACATTTACCTATCAGCACAGGTGAAAGTACAGTCTGGTACTGTGTACGACTAAAAGATCCTGTGCCGTACGCAGTACCAGAAGGAGGAGGACGGCTGTCTGCTATAAAGCCATCTTTCAGAACCTGCCACCACTGGACTTAGGGTCCAAATAGAGCTGCTGGCAATAGGTAGTCTAACATACCACTTAATGGGTGTGTTCAGTTTCAACAGCTGCATTCTCCACTCTACCTGGACTGGGTCCTTTGAGGTCCATGAAAATAAGGAAGCCAAAAGAGTTTGGCTATGTATTCAAACAGGTCGAGCCTTCTGCTCTATAAATTTCTTGAAAAGTCTTGCTCTGATGACAGAGGTCCCCGCTGAACTAAAGAACCTGTCAGAGTATCTTCATAATGGGAAAACCACACTCCCATAGGTATTTGAGATCATGACAATATATATTATATTATATGCATTGAAATTCTCAGTTCATACCCTAGTCAATTTAAGGGAGTGCAGCTAAGAGTTGGCATGCCTCCCAACATTGATGCTGCAAAGTTGGTTCAAGAAGTGGCAGAAAGTTTGAAAGACAGCCCCTTTAGCACTGCAACTAACAAAGCACAGGCAAGTGTCACAACCAACAGAAAAGAGTTTATATACCCCTGCAGAGCACTGCCAAGAATTTACAACTACTTTCACCCCTGCCAGTCAAGACATATCTTGGTTCTCGAATGTAGGATTGGATCTAGAGTGATGATTGTGGCCTTGTCATTAGATAGTATCTCCATGACTCCTCAATCTGCTTTTCCAAAGTGATCAGCCATTAGATTCCATAAACATGGAGGGAGACTGTTTAATGTTGTGACAGTGCAGTGTTGCTAGTTGCTTTAAATCACGTGGTTGGAGAGGAGCTTGTCTTTCTGACAGCAGTGCCAGAAATCCATGCTGGAGTATTCAGCACATCCTCTTCATGATGTGCTGGTCACCCACAGAAGCACCTTCAGTCACAGACTCATTTTACCATGAGTAACTTATAGCCCCTAGTGGCTAAAAGTTATGTGATGTTTATGTTTTGAGAGAAAAATATTTCTTCTCCAATAAATGATTTTTCTTTTTTATATAATTTTATCCAAGGTGGAAATAAGTGTAAATAGTACTCTAGGTATTACATTAGATGTTCCTTAAAATTGTTAGCATTCATTTTATAATTTTTAAAGGGTTTAAAAAGTCGAGTGAAGAGAAGAATAATAATACATGACATAAAATGTACCTTTTTCTGGCTATCATTAGGATTTTTCTAATACTGAGAATCTTCTATCTAATAATTTTATAATTTTGGACGAAACAAATTCACTCAAGACTGACAAACATTTAATTTCAATGTGTTGGAATCCCAGCTTCATGACAGGCTCGGAAGTAACCCTCTGTACTTTCTCCTGACGTGTTTGTGTTTAACACTCTTTCTTGTTCTCTTTTTTCCTCTCCTCCGTCTCTCCAGGGTCCAGTTGGCCTAATTGGGATAGCTGGGGTAATGGGAGTTCCTGGTGAAAAGGTAAGGAGTGTGTTTCTCTGTCATTAGTCTGTCAGGCAGCATCAGCTGCTTGCCTGTCAGCAGCAGACCCCTATAATTAAGCCCACGTTAAAGCAGCCTTGACTTGAAACCCAGGAACACATACTTGTGTAAACACTCAGCACCCTCACATCCACATCAATAACATTATTGTCAAAGCCATGTCCTCATTACAGCCTCTTTACCACTGCCTGTTTTTTTAAAGAAGCATGTTATGTTTCACTATGAAAATTAACATAAGTCGTTTATTTAATTCATATCACATGCAGCTCTCCAATTTAAAGGTGTATTTTGTTTCATCAAATTCCAAAGAAATAACTTAATACTCCATTCCTAGCTTACTAAGCATTTTTGGCTGTGCATCATTTAGTCCTCTCAAGCAACATTTACATTTTGGCTTTCAAATCAATTGTTACCTCCCTCTATCCCAACCTGCTTGCCTTTTCTTTCCTATCCAGAAGGCCCGTGTGTCAGAACATGTTCTTGTGATGAGAAGCCGTCTGCTTGTCAGATTCTTGCTTGTTCTCCAACTCTCCCACAACCCCCCACCCGATTTATTCTGTCAGCACCAGGCATACCCTGACAGCCTACAAATTCTTTTCCCATTCTGCATATTTTTATTCTCCAACACTCTACTTTAGAGACTAAAATTTCTAATTCAACGTTTAATTAAAATTTTCTGCTTACAATAATGAGGGGGGCGTAAAGAAAAGGAGATGGACTTGTACCGTCATTGCATTTACCCTGTTTATGAAAATGCATCATTTCATTAAAAATGGCAGTTGCTTCATTTTTAAATAAGCCGACTGATGTCTTGTGTGTTTTAATACACTTTCATGAAGAGGATTTCAGTATTTAAAACAACCTGAAAGTTTAACCTTAAGAAGTTCTCAATGATCTGGGTAATGATGATTGAGCAGAACAGACTTAAATCAGAGTTAACCGGACATTCGATCAGTTTTTCTGAAAATGTGTCACAGGATATTTAGGAGTCCTTCAATAATTAATTTGCTTTACACTCTATTTTCCATTATTTTAGCTAATTTTGCTCAGAAAACCGTTATTTTTTAGGATTGTTTTAGACTCATTATTTATCAGCACGTCTTTATAAAGGCCTTCAATAGCTTCTGTCTTTACCTAACATAACAAATATTTCTAAATTTGCATTGAAACTCTAAAATCCTCAAAAGATTAATCTGAAAAGACACTTCTTTCATCCACTTTAAAGATTTTGCTTTACAATGCATAAAAAATACCCTTAACTAAAAAAATAAAACATGCAATCTGAAATAATTTTAAACACCAATATATAAAACAGAAATTTAAATAATATCGCTATGTTTTTGTATTTGAGATGATGTATTTTGAATGGGAGGTAAGTAAATAATGAAAAAACAATATTTATTTTTTTTATTTAGTGTATGGTTACCTTTACTATGTCCTGGAACACGTCCATCTCCAGAAACATAATTTCTTTTTTTTTATTTTTGACAGGGTGACCGGGGGCCACCAGGTCCTACAGGTCCTGTTGGAGAAAAGGGGCCCATGGTGAGTTAAGTCACTAAGGATTTTCCAGACATATAATCTAGGTTTTTTTCAGTGCCAGCCATTTTATATTAAGGAAAAAACGCTTTCAGAATGTGTTCAATACTTAAAATCATGCATTAAGCATCAAGATCCATGTTTCCAGTTGCCCTAAGACAGTTAACAATGACAGATTTTTTTTTAAGTAAATATATTTTGTTTATTTTACAACATTAATAGAAAATAAATAGAAATCACCATAGAGTAGAGGGTGTCACTCTTTAAGTAAGGTTGCATTCTTCACTAAAAAAAGGATTTATTGTATGTATAAACTTAGAAAGATGACAGCACTATCCTCTACTTCCAGTATAAGACAAGAAAAAGTAAAATGCTCTGAGAAGAAATGTTATTGTTCAAGTTTTTCATGAAACAGAAAAGCCTTATTCATCAAGTCTGAATACTTTTTTATTTCTTTTTTGTAAAGTCTAAATGTCCCTGTAAACATATATTCAAAAAGCTATAACAGGAAGAATAATGACCAGAAAATGGGGGGTGAACTTTTTCCCAGGATTTTTGCAAATTTACAAACTTTGCAGTTTTTGCGTGAAAGTGATCAGGCCTTTGTTATCATCATAAAATACTTTAGTTTTCTTTCTGTTCAAGATTGGTTGCATAAACCCAAAAGTATTTGTAGAAACAGGATAAGAAGTTATTTTTAAATCATTACCTGACTTGTGGCAGTAAGAAAGTTGTTGGTATAGACATTTTATCTACAAATAAACACATAAAAGATAAGAATATGTATTGCTGCAGAGTGTATGGTGTCAGCTGCAGAGTTGTACAAGTCTTTGTGAGTGGCTGATTTTTTTTTCCCACACTATCTCAGGATTTTGGATTATTGCCATGTCTGGGGTTCTGGACTAAAGTACTGACCTCTCTGGCTGTTAAAGTGGCTCACAAACTAAATAATGGGTGAAAGAGAAGGGGATTAACTTGATGGTTTAGTGTAACTACAGTTGGAGAATTTATATATTCGGTTTACGAAAATTAAAGGTGCAACTGCCAGTTTCATTTTTCAGGGAATTTAGCCAATTTGGGAGCTTTTAAATGTTGGGAAATGATTGCTTTACAGATGTCTGTGTTAATTAACTGTATAATATTGAGAAGCACTGCTCAGCCTTTAGGGCACCATGGAAGAGAAATAAATAAAAATCTTTGTTATATAAGACACCGTGCTTAAAGGTTTTGCTACCTCTTTAATTCCAAAAACGTTCCAAAACAATCCACTGCATTTTGTTTCCAAGACGTTTGGCTTCCCATTCAGGAAGCATTTTCGATTCAAAATGTCAAAAATGCTGTTGAGTTTGAGGCTTTATAGAGTGAACCAAAAAATAAACATTCCCCCTGACGACCTTTCAGAGACATAGACAGGTATCGGATATTGCAGGCTAACAAAGAACCTTGACAACTGCCCATTCCTAAGGGGCGGATCCGCTCGTTCGGTTTAATCTACATGTTTTTTAAGCCAAAAAAAGTCTTTCTTTTTATTCCACTCTATAAAGCCTTGAACTCAACGCTATTTCTGACGTTTTTAATTGAAAAAGCTTCCTGAATGGGAAGCGAAATGTCTTGAAAACAAAGTCTAGTGGATTTTTTTTTTTTTACTTTTTTGGAATGACTATGACCTTGATGACTGAGAATCTTCACCAGCGAACCTGTTCAATTGATTGATTGATTGACTTTATTGATCTCACAATGGAAGTATTTAGTCAGAGTCACAGTTTCTTATCTGCCTGTCTATTTTTGTATTTTTGTATGTTTTGTAATAGGGTTACCCAGGATCACCGGGAACTCCTGGGGATATTGGCATGCAAGGTTTACCTGTAAGTGTTATCTATTAAAAATGGAAGCTTAACTGCTCTTGATTTTCAAACAGGTCTGTCTTGCTAAAGAAACAATAATATACAGTGCATGTTTTATGCAGCCACTGTGGCTTGAACAATAATTCGAATATTTTAAAATTATACTCATGTTTGCCCATTGGGCAAAGCAGATTCCTTTCCTCCTTGGGATGCAGCAAAAACACCAAATTTGTCTTCAAGCATATTAAGTTAGAGCTGGAAATGCTTAATCATATAACATTCAGACTGACATTGAAACCTACCACATTTTTTAGATCTTACTATGTATTGCTCTTAGTATGTATTTTTTGTGATGTTGGAAAACTGTTTTGTTTAACAGGGTCCACAGGGACAGAGGGGCAGTCCAGGAATCGCTGGGCCTAAAGGGAGAAGGGTAGGACTATCGCCTGAACATGTCTTTCTCTACTATTGAAATGTCCCTCTTTACATCTAAAGATGTAAAAAAAAATAGAAACAAATTTGAGTTATTATGGAACACAGCGCAGTTTAAGTTACAGTTTCATATTTAGAATAAAACTAAATCACAAAAACAGGAGTTTGGTTTATCTTTTCTTCTTGGACCTAATGTCTTTTAGTTCCATTTTAAATGGGTTTATTTATTTTACTCAGATGTAAAATACATGAGTGGGGTGCGTGTCGGTTGACAGGAAAATGACCCCTACAGAAGGAGAAATAGAATTGTCTTATTCTTGATATAATTATTTTATTTTATTAGACTTGGATAGTATTTCCAATTATTTATATATATGGCATAGAATGAATAAAGAAATTGAAATACTTTGGAACTAACATACCAAATATGCTTCAGTTGCATTTAAAATCCTAGCATTTTAAACAGTTTCTAGGACTTGCATTTAACATGTTATTGCTAATTTAGTCAGTTGGTCAGCAGATTCTCAGACTGGACACAAATTACATTGATCAAAATGCATATTTTAAGGTCACATAAAAAAGGACGTTTAGACGAAAAGGAGATCAGTTGTGTATCAGAGCTTTGCAATTCACTGTATCATCATAGCAGGAATTTCTAATATTGTCCAGCTCCATCACAGACACAAGGAAACAAACAAAGGGAAGAATTGTAACAAATGTTCTAAATGTTTAAATTTTGTTTCAAGAAAAAAAAAGGTAAGATTCAGTAATGTTGAAAACTTGTTTTTGAACAAGTTATATATCTAAGAATGGGATAACAGTAATTTTTCAATAATTTTATAACCTAAAATTTATAGAAAAGATTAATAGAATGTGGGATTCGGTTTAGATGATAGGTTCTGAGATTTGGGTAAATTGTTTTACTTTAGAAGGGAAAATTACATCTAATGGCACCTCAGTGTATTTTTTACTTCACAGTGCTCCACTTTATTAACCTCTGTATAATTTTTAAGTATGTTGCTAATTATTAAAGTAAAAACAAATTATGTATTGCAGGGGCCCAGGGGTCCAGATGGCGCAACAGGAGAACCAGGACCTGAGGGCTCCAAGGTAAACAATAACTAGATTCTGTTCTGAAAAGGAGAGAAATCATGTAATTAAAAAAATATATATTATTAAATTGGTTATCACGCAGGGAGTTCTATGTAAGTTATGTAGTTATAAGATGCATAGATGCAGTTGTATTTCTTTATGTGTCCGATTTGAGAGATCTCTTTATACCTTTTGTAATGATGATTTACTGATGCTTTTAAACATGGCCTTGAAACCCACCTTTTTAGGAGAGATTTTAATGGAACTCTTCCCTTTTTTTTATCTTTTATTGTCTTTGATTATTTTCTCTTTTCTTTTACGTTTTATTTTTCATGCTCTCCATGTAAGGCTTTTTATTTAGCACTTACTGTCATGATTTTACAAAAATGACATGATTTAACAAAAGTGACTGCTCAACCGGAACTTAAAAGTGAGGGGAAGGCACCGCGATTAGTTCAGGCTCAGTGGGAAAATAGATTCGTGAACTTGGAGAAGAGGATTTGGTTGCTGACTCACGTTTCCAGGGAAGTTGTTGAATCTTTGACCCCAGTCTGTACAGTATGCTGTAGTTCCAGTGTTTGTCTGATTCAGTGGAGGGCGGAACAGGGTTTACCCAGAAAGCGGTTGTTTGTAGGTGAACGGAGAAACTGACTGCCACTCAGATTTCCTGTGGTACTTGAACGGGTCATAATGGAGATGAATCCCTTTCTCAGTGTAAAGCTCAAACGATGGCTCTGTTCGAAAACCTAGGACGCATCCTTAGAAGACCGGATTCGAAGGCCGATTACGTCATAGCGCGGCGCCGAGGTCTGGTCGGATTCCAAGACTCCTCGTTATGCGGCCTTAAAATGCGTCCTTCCTTTAGCCCGATTTGAAGGACGGGTCTGATGTATCCTCGGTATTCTTGGATATCCCAGGATTCATTGCGAGACCAAGCAAGCTGTGATCAGAGTAAAGGTTTCTTGGTGCCGAACAGTGGTGAAAATTGGAAGTTCAGTTTAATATAATACAAGTCATTTAATAGTTCCGTCTGAGATTAATGAAAAATAGTTGTTTTAATGGTTATTGAGTCAGATATGTGGCGGTAATGTTTGATTTTTCTAAAGGTGTTTATCTGTTACTGTGTAAATGGGTTTGGCTGGAATTTAAGGACAGATTCTAATAGATCTGCAGGGTGGGGACTATAAATCTGATAGGATTTTTATCTTTTTATTGCTGTTTTGCACAATATGCTTAACTACATATTTTTTGTTGTTGAATATTAGAGATTTTGCAGATATATTTTTTATAAATACATTGTTTGATTTACTTATATATTTCTACCCCTTTTATAGAATAGAACATCCCTTTATTGTCCCAAAAACCCAAAGTTACAGCAGCAGAAAGATTATTGAAAATGGTCACACAAATGTGGACCTTAGAAAAATGTATAAGAATAACATAATACGAAAGAGTTAAAATATAAACAATACAATACAGTAAAGTGTTTTAACAATATAAAACTGTAGAATTAATAACCAATATGCAGCTATGGACATTTTTACAGTAATGGATATTCGAAAATAGCAGCAACATCAGAGATGTGCAGAATGACAGCAGCATGTTATTTAACTGACTAAAGTTTCTATCATTACATTTGATTTTATTTGTTCCTGCTCCCGGCTGTTGGAACATTTATTCCATTCTGGATTCTTGTGAGTGTAGTCTTTGTTCACTTCACAATAAAAAAGAAATAAATAAACAGTTTTGAAAACTTCTGTATTCATTCTTTTCCTGCTTTGTGTGTCAACGTTTACGGTTGCTAAGCAACAGAGCATACGGCGGTAAAACCCGTCGAAGGGTAGACCTGGTCGAATTCACAGCCTAAACTCTTCCGGTCTCCTTATTTTCAAGGACTTCGAAGGATCCAGTCTAGGTAGACCGCGTCCTTGGAGGACACGTCCTAGGTTTTCGAACAGAGCCGATCTCTTGGGGAAAGTGGATCCAAACCTCCTGTTTGAACCCCAGCTCAGTTTGAAGCTCATTTGATCCTTCCAGGGAGAGAAGGTCGGAAAAATCAAGTTTGCAGGATGACTTCCTGCCGAGAGGCAAAAGATAAACAATGTTAAAACTCAGGTTAAAAAGAACTGAGTTTGACTCAGCAAAACTCAGCTTGGCTAGAGTACCCAAAACTGGCAAACACTCTGGCGTCGAGGTAGTGGCAGTCAGCAGGAAGGAAACCATCAGCAGGTGTGTGAGGAGGCGGACCAGAACCAGGCGCCTCCTGGTGGAGGAAGGGAGACAAACACAGAACACAAACACACAGACAGGAGTCCTGACACTTACCTGTTTTACTATGTAGCACTTTGGGATTTGTTTAAATATAATGTGCATTACAAGTCCAAAGTATTATTATTATTATTATTGAAAAAAATGTTTTTAAGCTATAAATACTGAGCTATATATATTCTTTTCTAGGGTGAAAAGGGTGATTCTGGAACAAAAGGAGAACCAGGATTCATAGTAAGTATTTATTAAATAAACATTTTTTTCTTCCATATTTAAAGAGGTAAAATACTTTGCTTAGATAACAGAATATTTTACATATTTTGGCTGCATATTGAAAAAAAGGAAAACAAATATGACAATTTTGATGGAACTAATATTATAGCTATAGCACATTGTCCCCCCAAAAAAACCTTATACTCCTATGGTATATATGCTGCATCAGGTTTTACAAGGATCTAAATTGATTTGAATCTAAGATCAGATAAAATGAAAAGTAAATAACGAAAACAAAAAACAAGGAGACTGCACCTTATATTTTGGTATAAACTAAGGTAAAAATTAGAAAAAAAAAACATTTGAAAAACATTTCCATTCCAGTAAGGACTAGTAGCATCCAGGTGCTGCTCAAGTTTTTAGAACGTATGATACTGAGGTCCTGATAAAGGCAGGAGTGTTGGCAGTTTGTGAGTTTGAAATGTAACAGCGGATGATGTAATAGTGCCAAGAAGGAGAGACAGAGAAGCAATTATTAGTAATCAATCTGTGAGGTCTATTCCTGCCATTTTCAAACCATCTTAGTAATCTTGGAGTTATTTGGCTTTAATTCACACAAACAAGTTTAGGGAAAAAAAGTTGAACATGTAATCATAAAAACATTGTATTGATCATTTATATTAGGAGTTAAAGGGTGATGGTTTGTTCGGACCTAAAGTAATTTTTATATGAAAGCATTCTTGAATCAAATAGCTTAAGGCTGGCTAAAGCAGTACATTCAAGTAGCTATGTTACATAAGGGAAAGAGGCTTCCATTTTTACATCGTCATTTATTCAAATATAAAAGCTGTTATAACTAAAGGAGATTCTACAAGCTATTAAATCATGGGTTGTGCACCTGATGGAAAAAATGTACCAGCAATTTGTTTTGAATAAACCACTTTACAAATGGTAGGTATTTAACTCTGCATATTCTAATCCTTGTGTTTGGTTATTAGAATATGATATGCAAAATCACAAAGGCCCACACGCAAAAAAAGTTTGTGCCCACAGTTCCAATCATTTTACCCTAATCATTTTACACCTTGTTTAATTGCCAGTTTTGCACATGCTATCCAGGGTTTTTATACAAACAACCCCTTCAAAGATTAGGCCCTTAAAGTTAGACTTCAGTAATATTAAGCTGAGGACATTATCATACCTTACTCTATATTCATGTAAAAAACGTAACAGGAAATATTTTTATTATTTGTATAGTTTTTGTAAATCTCACATTTGATCATTTTGTTTTATTAAACTGAAAAATGTATTATTTAATGCTACAGTTTACTGGTAAATTGAATATTTGAATTGTGTATTGGTAACATAAATGACAAAATGTATTTACTAATTTCATGGTACTTTTATTTTCTTTCATGCCAAATGTACATTTACTGAAAGTATTTGATTAAATATGTTTTGGTATTTATGTGATACCTCAGTGATCACATCACAATGATTGTAATAACTCCCCACTTTGGGATCCACTGCTGTAGACTAGTCTGGCCAGCCTGACTGACATAATGCTTCCCACAGCATATCAGTCTGGAAAGGAGCAAATAGAGTCTGATTTAAAGGTGGGACTAAAGCAGTCGGCAGTAGGAGGTTAGAACCAATCAGATAACAGCAGATATGACGCATAAGACATCTTTTTCTAAAATAAAAGCTCTTACCCCATTTGAGAAATGGTTAAGGGCATCATTAAAACATTACTCTGATGCAGCTGCAGTTGTAACTGTTTTGGGTGCAGAAAAGCTGTGTATTATGGGGCTTCCTGCTGCCCTGTGATTGGTCTGGCCTGTTGAAGACTGGGGAGCCTAAGCCTTACCAGACAGGCTCTTTATTGCACCCCAAGTTAGACTCACCTAACATGGGCAGACCAGGGTAGCTCTAAACTGAAGTGATCTTTTAAAATACTTCTCAGAGAATAAATCTAAACCACTTTACTCTGTATTACCTTATTGGTATGTACTTAAGACAGGGAAAAATTATCTGCTTTCAAATAAATATACCAAAGAGTTACAGGAATAGATTTTATTTCTCTTCTTATTTTGCATGTCTAGGGAAGCATTAGCTTTATCATTTTACATTGTATCTAAAAGTACAGTTATTTGTGTATATGATTTTCATCATCTTCTGAACGTGGGTAAATGTTTTAACATCCCAAATTTAGGATCTCTCTGCAATCTTTCTGTTTTATCACAGCGAACCAACTTGACCTGATTTAAACCGTGTTTTAATCTGTTTCCATTTTGGTTTTTTACCTTCAAAGGGCAAAGCTGGCGTTCCCGGAGAAAGAGGGCTTCCTGGAAAGCCCGTAAGTAATGTTCAACCTTTCTATTTTTTAGCAAAAATTATTCACTCTGAGGCTTTAATCACCACCCACACTGTCACTATAGCTACAGCGGGGGAAAAAACACTCATAAAGCTCATCCCTGTCCTTTTTTCCCTTGCTGTAAAATCCCAGTTTATCATGATTTAAGAGTTGCTTCAATCTTCTCCTCCAGGTTGGAGGTTCTAATAAAAGAGAACCTGCTGGTGCCTCTGAGCATGTCGACAAAAGTTCACATATTCTCTCTGTTCTCTGTCCCTTAGCCGTGGGCTTTTCCATGCTTTTTTTGTTGTTGTTGTTTTTTGTTGTTAGCACACCATGCTAGTGTAATAAAAGTGTCTCTACATGCCAGAAAAGATTGTTAATTGTTAAAGACAAATGTTACTCATAAACTTCTCTAAAGTCACTGACATACCCTTACTTATTTTGTACAACCATAGAACACTGCCCCAATCCAAGAATGACATAAGCAATTTTCCCTCTAATTTTTCATTTGTCTGGGCATTCACACAAACCCCCTGAGTACACTGAGGATCTCTGTGAGGAACATCTGATATGCACGCTGTGGCCACACACTATAATTAAACAAAAGAAAACAGTTTCATTATGTATGTAGTATGCTATATGTAGGAGTCCTGTTTCAGCTATGGCGAGTGTTGTGCTCTGGACATAAATTAGACATTTAACCTTTCAGATATAACTCTTTGTTCACATTAAAACATTCCCATTTTGCACAATGAAATGTGTGCTGAAGCCTGTGCTAAAGTATAAATTCATATAACTCTCTAATCACACAATTTTGTTTTTTGCGTTTCTACCGATATAAATTATATAATAGTTAAAACATGATTAATATCCATGAACAAAATATAAATAAATCTCAGTAGAACATAAACAAATGATGTAAGTTGTATCTATTTTTGACATCCTTCTCATTTTTCCAATGGTGTCCAAATATGCCACTTTAAGATGCTTTCTGAATGCTGGTTTGATAGGAGTCATTAAACTAAATTTTTTTTTTCACAATAAGCACTGGATGCTTGAAATGTACCGCAAAGATTTCCTTTACCTCCTCACATCTGAGGGGAGCAGCCACCCTATCTGAGAATGTGCTGAATGACCCCTGTTTACATTGTTGCTTCATTATAAACTTCAGTTACCAGAAAATAAAGTCAAACAGAGCATTGCGCTATGTGGGGAACAGGTGTGTCTTTAACTGTGTGCATGTTTGATAGAAGGGCTGTTACAAACCAGTGAGTGTCATTGTTCTGGAATCCATAAATAAATATAAACATTCTTCTTCCTGTTAGGTTGTTTATTTATGCGCAAGTAGTTCAGTGATGCACTGATTAAGGACATTTGCTGAACTTTTTTAAAGGGACACTTCATTTAATTAAACATATGCATCCAAATTCAACTCTTAAATGTATTTACTTTTAATATAAAACTGATTTAATAGTGATATTTGAAACAGTAAACCAGAAGCAGAACCATATGCAGTGCTTAAAACTATAGTAAGTCAGCTGTACAGTTTATAGATTTTCATTTATTGGCTGGATTTGCAGCTTCTGCTGTTTTTTTTGTTTTGTTTTTTTTTTACCATTAATACATAAATCTTGCTTTCCTTGCTTTTAAAAATGTTAACTCCTTCCTCAGCCTTTAGAATATCTTGCAAAAATATTATTCAAAAATATTATTTTAAAGTAGTTAAAGCAGAGTAGCTTTGGTGGCCAAGCTTTAAACAAGAAACATTTACATCTTATAGAAAACCATAAACTACCCCGCTCTGAGACTCTGGTATGATGTGCGTGTCTTATTGTGGAGTTATGGCGCCATCATGTGTTGGATAATAGCTTCTGTAAAACATAACAAGAAATTTTGATTATCTCTGGCATTTTGAAATGTTCATGGTAATTTCGACTGTAAAGTTGGAACATTGTATTTTCGGATTGTATTACACAGAGTTATAAATTTCCACACTGGCTCTTGTTTATCTAAAACTTTATTTGCAACACTAACTATTTTCTGTTTTCTGTATGTTATTTAACCCCTCCTTTACCCCTTTCTAGTGAATGGGACATCCTAAATTCCCTTAGGATCTTGGGGAAATATAGACAGTTAACAGTTTATTGGAGCTTTTTCCAGCAATCAAAATGAGTACTTTGAAATTGGACATTTGTGTTATTTGCAAGAAAAAAAAAAAAAAAGAAAAAAAAATGACATTTTAGACTTTTGCCATAGTTTCTCGAGGAAATTATAAAAAAAAAAATAGAGTTTTTCTTAAGCTAAAAGTTATAAAGAAATCTAATCTAGTCATTTTTTTTATTTTTATTTTTTGCCCAAGTGGGATTTTCTTTGATTAGTGTAAGTCCTTTATAAGCCGCCTGAGGAGAGGATAAAAAAAAAGAGAAAAAAGCCATCATTACTAAATTGTGACAGAACCGGATTTGCATCCCAATTAACACCTTACTACGACTTTAAAAGAGGAAGGTGCTGATAAGCAAAGATGCATAAAAATGTTACTACAGAAAATTTCCCTTAAATTGTAATGTCAGGTTCAAAACTATCTCTTGAAATAAAAGGGTTAGAATTTAAAGGGTTTGCCTAAAGGAATAAAACACTACCAGTGCACACTAATGTAACTGTTAAGTTTCACCAAAAAAATATCTTAATTATGTTCAAGAATGATTTAAAGCAAAAGGGAGCAGGTTCAGTCCTTTAATTCCACAAAGCTCATGTCTAGTATCATTCAGGTATCAAGATATATAACCCTTTCATGCATAGCACCTATATAAGTGGACAGCTGTTTTAAAGCATTTTGACTGGCAGTCAACCAGAATGACCAAGTACATGGAAAATTCCTCCTAGTATTCTATATTTTGGCACCATTACTGAATACAACACAAAAAAGCAAACCTAAAATAGAAACCATATACAGGTGCTACTCATAAAATTGGAATATAATGACAAATTTTATTATTATTATTATCATTATAAAAAGTTAGACTTGTATATTTTATTAATATTTATTTTTGTCTTTTATGTTCAATTTTTTTTTCATGTGGATAACTGACTAATGGATATCCCAAATTAAGTATCTCAGAAAATTTTAATATTGTGAAAAAGTCCAATATTGAAGAGACCCAGTGTCACACAAATTAGCTGATTAAGTCAAAACTGTAATGATCTCAGGAAGTTGGACCCAGAATTCAAGGCGAGACAGGCACAAAACCCTCTTTCCACTGGCCGCCAGGATACAGGACAAGAACCTGGTTTAAACTTAACAGACAGTCTAACAGAAAACAAATAATGATCTGGCCCCGAATGCTCAGGCTGAACAGAATGTAAACCAAAGGAAACAGGTGAGAGAAATAAATGTTAATTGAGGCAGGGAGGGAAATGACAGGTGAAAGAAATAACTAATTAAGGAAGAGCAAACAGGCCAGATCATGACAGAAATTAAGGAAGAGCAAACATGCCAGATCATGACAAAAACACCTGCAAAGGACTTTAAACTGTCATTCAATTTAGTTCTGTTGGCTGAACAATCATGAGGAAGACTGCTGACTTGACAAATGTCCAAAAGACATTTTTCACAAGGAGGACACGATGCAAATTCTCATTTCTAAAGAGGCTGGCTATTCAGTGAGCTCTATTAGTCAGGTTTCACTTTTCTAATGGAATTACTTAAAAAAAAAAAAGCTTTTTCATGATATTGCAATATGAGCAGCACCACCATATGAGGTAATGGTTTTTCCCTCCTAATCTTTGTTGATGTCTTTATAGGCTAAAAAACTAATTTTGACACACTTTGTGTTTGGTTCTACAACTGGAGAAAGAGAAATATAAAGAGAAAAAGAAAACCTTGACAAACAATTGCATATAAAACAACATCAATGCAAAAGTAAACTGTACTAATTTAATGACTCGATGAAGTCATCTGCTTATCTGAGAAAGGAAACCAATCTTATTTTATGATCTGATGAAATTGTCTCTGGGGATGGTATGTTCTAAATTTGATGCAATATAACAGAACTGAGTAATGCAAGATGTATTTAGCGGCAACCACAGCTCAAAATGCAGCATTTCTGTATATATTGAGCATCTGTAAGCACCTATATCCAAACCTGTTCGTCTATTTTAAAGTGCGCTTGTGTAAATAATTTTCTACACAATGATGTTTAACGGCAGGTGTGAGTGACCACCATCCCACCCGCCAAGACCTAAAGCAGGCACAGGAGATCAGAGCCCTAGACATCTTAAGGTCCCAGCAACAGTTTCAGTGGACAAAAAGGAAATACTGCATGTATAAAAAGATTTAATCCAGAATTAATGTACTGTTGTTTTAAATTAGATGTCTTTATGTTGACAGTAAGATGTTTGGGTTCAACAAACATATAGTGTGGGTTATCACAGGTTTTACATTACATATGTGTTACCGTGAAAATATTACTGGACACAGTAATAGCCCTCAACCACCACTGATGAAAGCCAGTTTTTTTGTTTTGTTTTGTTTTCTAAATTCTTAAAAGTGTGACCACATTAGTATATGTTTTGTTTTTTGTTTTTTCAGGGTAAGCCAGGTATTCCAGGGGGCACTGGTGAGAGGGGACCTCAAGGGGAACCAGTAAGTACACAAATCTTTGGCAAGGATGCCTTTCTTTAGGGGCCCTGTCAAACCTTGTCAAAACCTTCTATGAATTTTTAAAATTTCGGGCGTATACATAGCATATATTTATAATGAGTCCAGAACTTATGTCCAACGACAGCCTAACTTATACATAATGCATGGCAGTGGGCATTACGAAGCATCAGTTAAAGCTGCAATGCACTCAGAGGCGCCCGGTCTGCATAAAAAGATGCCTTTGATCGCGGTATTAACCTAGCTGCTGTTTAGTGCCCGCACCAAAAAAGAGTAAAGAAAAAGAAAGAAGGAAAAGAAGCGAGAAGGTTAAGGTTATTGGTAGTGTAATGATTCCCCCGGCAGTAGCTGCCACCTGCTCACTGCCAGTGTGACACTGACACAACCTGTGCAAAATCTTCCTGACTGTAGGAAAGTGCAAGATGACAGGAGGAAAGTAGCTGTGTGGAAAAATGAAAATGAAAGATGAATGTACCAAACTTAACAAAAAATGCCGTATTGAATTTTACACGGCTCTTTTAAATGAGCTGGTTTATCCATTCATTCTTTCTGAAATGGAATGTTTATTGTGACTTATCAGTTCAATTCTCTTAACATGATCTTTTTCAAGAAAAGAAACGCAACAAGTTTTCTATGATTTAAAGTTGGTTCCTTTGGGAAAAATAAAGCAAAGATTGTTTTTTGATACATTTTAAAGCTAACCTAAAAAATAAAAAAATAAACCTTCCATATTATATAGGTTAACTTATTGAGATCCAAGATCTCATTTACAAGAGGGATCTGTCTTGATAAAAGCTAACAAAATTACAATATATTATTTGTACTGTGAATGTTAGTGTCCAAAAATTCGCCCATACCCCTAAATCCCTCAATCACTATAAAGAGGGGGGACTATATAGTGGACTTTATAGTGAACTCAGTTAACTGACTGTCGGACAAATGATAACTATTTTTTGCTCCCTGTTGGTCACGTAACTCCGTCTCCCTGCACGTTGCTTGGGCCATTTTTTTGTTCTTTATCGCCTCCAAAAAAATTAATGTTTCATGAGGAGAGATTTCACAATGCATCCCAGGATATATCTGCTCACTACACACCAGTCAACCAGCTTGTCTCTATCTCTAATGACTGCAGATAAAATCTGAAAAATAAAACGCAAACTTCTATAAGTCATAAGGCCTGGAGCATAGGAAAAACCTTATTCATATTCTAGAATCACCAATAAGCACAAATGATAATCTGAAATGTTTTTATAAAAGATAAAGGGTCCAATAATTGTTTCATTGTGTGCTACTTACTTTCCTTTTTATACCTGAATGCTGCCAAACATTATTGGATTAGTCTCTAAATGTTTGATATTCCTGGAAATATACCAACTGCTCAGGGGTATAAAGCGTGTCTTACACAGTCACTGGTATGTTTTAGGGTGGAAACATCCTGAAAGCCTAGAGGCTCTGTTAATTTTATGAGTCTTATCTCATTTTTGGGAAACTGTTCAGCATCTTTTCATAGAAGTTCTCAGTTTTTAAGTTCCTTTTTTTATTTATTTTATTTACGTTATGTGTGTCTGTATGATCTATAAGTTAAAAATGTATTATTAATCAAAATATTTTAAAGATATTAAATTATATTTTTTTACTGGTTTTTCTGTTTCTTAGGGACCTAAAGGGCCCACTGGGGAGCCAGGACCTAGTGGAGAGCAGGGACTTGAAGTATTTTAATTGGATTTTTTATTATTAATCATCAGCCTATTATCAAATGATATTGGCTCAAGTAGACACATTAATATTATGGGGTATTTCCTTTCTTTTTTCAATTCTTTAAGGGTATTCCAGGCAAAGAGGGAGGACCAGGTGCCATTGGAGAGCCAGGTTTAAAGGTCAGGAGAATCTTGCATCATATTTACAGCTAAAACTGATAAATGCAAAACATTCCCATTTGAAGAGCAAATTTTGTTCGCTCTTAAGAAAACATTGAGTCTAACTAAAAAAATATATATTTTTTGTGTCTTGTCTTTACTGTAGGGTGACATTGGGCTTCCAGGGGCTGAAGGGGAACAGGGACAGGAGGGAATCCGAGTGAGTGATTGAAATAATATGCTTTTTTTCTTTTTTATGTCTGTTTTTTATATTTCCCCCTCCTGTGTCGGAGTGCACCTTATACAGGACTTCACAAAAGTGAGCACATCCTTGATAATTTTTTAGCTATTTAATTTTATATCACAACACTGAAAAAATGCCATTTTAATACATTGTAAAGTATTTTATGTACATGTAGGTCATATGTTCCCTCAAAAACAGCACGGTTATTAATGTTTGCACATGTGGTTGTGAAAGTAAGTCAACCTTTTTGTTGAAATGTCCACATTGTGCCCTTTGTGTCACAATTTTGTGCTGCAGTCTTTACTCTCCTGAGCATCAAGTTCACTAGAGCTTCACAGTTCGCCGCTGGAATTATCTGTACATAATCAACTGATGACATGGATTCTTGAAAAAAAGTCTTCTTTATAGTGGAAAAACTTTCATGCCTGGAACTTAATGTCATCTTGTAAATGCTCCTATGTATGCATAATGTCAATAAATAAATACGTATTCTGGTTTCAAAGCCGGTGGATGTTTATGGAGAGAATTTTGTTTCAAAATAGATTTGCATTTGTAATGTGAGACTAGTCTTTTTTGGAAATGGTAAAAAAAACTTTTGTTCATAAATGGTAAATGGCCTGTACTTATATAGCGCTTTTTCTGATGGTGGCAAACTACATTGTAGCCTCAGCTTCCCTGGGTTTCACTGACAGAAGGGAGGCAGCCGTACATTGGGGCCACCAGTCCCTCCAACCACCATCATTACTCAGTGCCAGAGAAGTGTCTTGCCCAAGGACACAATGGCACTGAAACCCAGAGCTGGGGCTTGAACCCTGCTGGGCAAACTCCTTCTTCCTACTCCACTATCGGCCCCGTAACTTCAAGAATAATAGAGAGTACATATATTTCTTTTAACTAAGGGTTGCTGATGTATCCCCTTTTCCACAGAAAATCATCTTTGTCAGTTCGGCAGATGTATAGAACAAAATCCAGTGGAAAGAAAATGCTAGAATCCAAATAAAACTCAAATGGCCGAGCTTTCCACCAACATTTAAACGCACCATGTACACACAAATCTGGGAGCTCTCGAAAAGGATGAAATGTGTTTTAAAAACATTTTTGCACTCGCAACCGGATGTGAGTGTGTTATGTGATTTGTGTACATGAATTTAACGGTTTATATATGTAGGAACGTTTTGAATTCGGAAATATCAGATTTGTGTGTGTATTTTTATTTTGTATTTATAAATTCATCATGTTTATGTTTTTGAACATACATTTACAAGTTTATCAGGTTATACATGAAATGTCATTAACACAATACAAAAAAATTGCAAATCCAGGTTTACAGAGACAAATCTATTTTAAAACTAAATTCTCTCCATGTTAGAGATGTGATGAGATCTGCATTGGGCTGTAAAGGTCTAGTTGTTGACTAATTACAGACTAAAGATCCTGAAGGGAAGTCCACATAAAAAAAAAAAAAAACGTTTCAGTTTATGTGCCATGATGCTCACAACCCTAACAGGAAATTATTGCAGAATTTATTTACAGTAACTGGAAGTAGAGTCAAAAATGAAGGAGCACTTAAAGCTATTGACAGTATTACCTGGTGTAAGATAGTACATATATCTGCCCTGACTAGTTCCTTTAAAATCAATGTTGATTCTGTTCATGTTCACCCTTTATTGTTATTGTGGCATTATAATTAATTATTTTGTACTTCTTCTCGTTTGGCTCTCTCCCTGTCATTTGTATGGAATGGCACCTACTGTCTCTACTGCTCAACATGTAAAAAAATATCAATTCAATTCAGTTTATTTATATAGGGGGAATTCACAACACATGTATACATAAGGCACTTTACAGAGACAATTAATCCAGATCATAGTCAAATTTATTCAAAGTTTTCTATTCAAGGAAAACCATCTGCATCGACTCATTGACTTAATAGCAAATCCTCACACCAAGCATGCTTGTAGAATATCAGAATTAGATTTTTGCATTGTAGCTGATTAAGGGAAAACATTTCTTTTAAAAAAGGGTTCTTGATTTAGATCGGTGAAGCACATTTTGATTTACTGTGCTTTGTTTACAGGGTCCACCCGGTCGCCCAGGAGAAGATGGCCCTCAGGGGAAAGGTGGAATAAAGGTAATTAAAAAAAAGTTGTTTTGAAGTTTTTTTATGCTACTATGAGTAGAAACAGTATTAATACTAAAATTATTGTTTTAGATTTTTAAGATTGTTTGAGATTTTATTTAAGCATATTCCAAGACCAAAAGCTATATGAAAGTAAGTTTCTCCATCCATCCATCCATCCATCCATCCATCCATCCATCCATCCATCCATCCATCCATCCATCCATCCATCCATCCATCCATCCATCCATCCATCCATCCAAAATAGAACAAAAAAAAATCTAGAAATTAGGAATCTTTGTTTTTTCACCGAGTATTTGGTTTACTCATATTTTTTATGTTTTTTTATTTTAGGGTGAACCCGGTGAGCGTGGGCCCTTTGGGGAGCCGGGGGAAAAAGGACAAGAAGGAGATTCTGGTCCTCAAGGAGCAGCAGGAATACCTGGAAAGCAGGGCTTTCGGGTAAGTTTTATTTTAATGTTTTGTTTTGGGTTTTTAATGGTCTACCAAGGTTTGCGATCAAATAAATATAAAAGAATGTTCAAATGTTTTATTTTATTAATTTTACTTTATAGGGACCAGAAGGAAAACTCGGTCCTCCAGGGAACAGGGGACGCCATGGAAAGAAGGTTAGGGCCATATGTAACTTTATTTAAAGTATAACTTACTGTAAAATCAAACTATTTTTGCAGATTAACTGCATAAACTGGGTTATATTAACCTTACTGCTGTTTTTATTTAAAATTTTCATATGAACCTGTTTAGTTCTGCAATATTTGTCTGAAAACTGTCTCAGTGCTGCACTGGTAAGGTGCAATACCTGCTATTGCAGTTGAATTTTCCTATTGGTTCAAATTGGTACCTTGCAGCCTCCAGTTTTCTACCAGAAGAGACATGTTTTTTGCTTCATCCACCATCTTATAAATGCAGAAACCCATTTTTTCTGTCCTTGCAAATGAAGACCATACCCTCTGCATACCATACTAATGCCATCACAGTGTTTCATTCTTTAGAGAGTACACTCAGAGTTATGTGCAATAGTGTTTGTATTCCAAAAAAAGTTAAAAAACAAACCACTGGACTTTGTTTCCAAGTTTGAAGATGTTTGGCTTCCCATCCAAGAAGCCTTTTCAATTAATATGCAAGAGATAGCATTGATTTGCTTTATACAGTACCCCAACAAAGCCTTGTTTTTTCTTAGACAACATGCAAATTGAAACGGACATGCTCTTCAGTTCACTTTTCACGTTTCACTGAACTTTTTTGGAATGACTATGACCTGGATGACTGAGAATCTTCACCAGCATTAGTTTTTGTAATATAAAGGGTATTGACAAGAGGCTCTAATCAGTCTTATCTGAGTAGAGCATCATCTTCAATATAATTGTGATGTCCTTTTTTTAGAATCTAACCCTGCATCAATTTATTTTATCCTCAATAAAATGAGAAAAAGCTCAAGGGGTATGAATCACTTTACTGCTGTATGAAAAAAAGGTGTCTGTGTTCAGAGGAAGAGCTTCTTTTTTATTCCATCCTGTTTCATTTTTGTTCCTACCATGAACTGAGTCTTTGGATCTTTGCAGGGGGAGATGGGTCCTCCTGGTCTTGTTGGTGAGATCGGTTCTCGTGGGGACATCGGCCAACCAGGCGAGCCAGGGCTGAAAGGTGCCCGGGGAACTCGAGGGCCACCCGTTAGTTCCTATTTTCTTCTGTTTTACTTCTTACTTTGGATTGCCTTAATGTCAAATTGAATTATTAAGAGAATTCATTAATAAGGGAAACAATATCCCAGGATCTGTGTGAAAAGTAGAAAAAAATTAATTGATTAATTGGATTGTCATTATAGTTAAATGAAATAAAAGAGAAGTTTCAATCATGTCAATCATTTTTTGCAGGGTCGACCAGGAGCCATGGGGGTTGAAGGACAGCCTGGACTGCCAGGATATCCAGTACATTTTTCCACGTTTGTTATATAAGAGAACTTGTTTTCAAATTCATTATTTTTACAGATAACATGCTGTAATAATAAAAACACTATTCAGCCATTGCATTATTTTTAGCTGAGAATACAAGTCCTGAAATGATAACATTTATGTTTTTTTTTATTAGATAGAGTATTTTTTTTATATGGAACAGCTAGTGTTAATATTTTGTCAGCTTTTTACAATTTTAGTTTTGAATGATCTTCAGATTATGTATAAAAATAACTTTTGCCTCTTTAGGGGCACCCTGGCAAACCTGGTCCGATTGGACCACCAGGACCCAAAGGTGAAAAGGTAATATGATTTAAATAAGCCTTCTTAATGAAAATGCATGAGTCAAAAATTTGGAGTTTTTTATTCAAACAGTTTCTCTTTATTACCACTGCCGGAAAATTCTTTGAGACTGCAGGTGACGACCTTTTTTTACAAGAGAACACCTTGAGTCTACTAGGCCGTTACCAAATCAAAGGGGTTCTATTTTAACGAATTTAAAATAGAAAAGATCTTTGAAATTATTAAACATATTTTTATTATTTGCTCGATAATCCTTTATAAATTTGCACTGTGTAGTTTTAAAATATAAAAGGAAAAGCACCTGAACGACAAAAGTGTGTCCAAACTTTTGACTATTTAAGCTTTTTTTTTATATTAAAAGTGCTTTCTATAAATGTTGCTTTAAATTGTTGTATTGATTGCTTGGCTGAACTAGATCAATGCATATTTCATATTGTGTTCTTTGGATGCATCCCAGGGCTATCCTGGCGAGGACAATACGACTCCAGGACCACCAGGGCCCTTAGGTGAACCAGTAGGTCTTGCTTTCCTTCAAACTCTGCAATTCTTTTTTTAATGCCATATAAAAAAAAGGTTTTACGCAATAAAGTTTTTTTTTTTTTTTTGCTTGAGAAGAGAATGTTTTTTTGTTTATTTTTGCGTTGCATTGCATTCATTGTTCCTGGCATTGACTGCTACAATCTTTTAGAAAATCCATCTTCATTTGACAACAGCAAATTGTCAATACAAGGCCTCTCACCACAATTCTTAGACTAGCATTGAAAGGGTACTATATTACACATTAGAGGGACTTGAGCGTAAACATGTTTTATATCACTGGAATTACGATTATAATATATTTCTAAGATTGAACATAAGTGATCTCACAATGGAGAAATTTATTTCTGCATTTAAACCATCCCCTTGGGGAGCAGTGGGCTGCCATTGTGCAGCCCCTGGGGGAGCACATTGGAGGTAGTGGGATTCGAACCGAGTACTTGCAACCTTCTCAGAGCATAAGCACACTGCTCTAACCCACTAGACCAACACTCCCCAAACTATAAGAGCCTTACTATGCGATTGATAAACAGTGGCCTTATTTTCTAGGATTTAAAGTTTGGACTGTTAGTATTAAAGTTGGAATCCCTTTTTTATTAAAGCTAGAAAAAATGCATATATAAGAAATACGTTTTAATTTTAAGTAGCGATACAACACAGGAAAAGCAAGCCTTTATCTTTCACAGACTTTTATATGCTTGCATTAATGTTTACTCAGGGGCCTCCAGGAGAGCGTGGAGAACGCGGAGAGCCAGGAGACGAAGGATACATGGTAGGTAAAACCATGAAAACAATGTATTTCATGCTGTGATTCAGAGTATATGGCAGGGCTAACGCAAACAGTAAAACATTTTTTTGCCTTTTATTTCCATTGGAAGGTTTGCACATTAAATTCAAGCATGAAAGTCCATTGAGAAACTTTGTTTCATGAATTATTGAATTTGAATAGATTTTGAACATGTTACCACTGGTTCTTTATGCTGCAAGGTAATAGCGGAAACCTAAGTTTAACAAAGTTTAGAGTTTGGAATAATATTTTCTGAGTAATATTTAACATGTTATTACAGATGTTTTTTTTTTTAGTTTTTCAAACATTTTCCTAAGATTTATTAGAATTACTTCTGCAGTTACCACAGTTGTCTTACTGTACTACTAGAAAGTAGTTAAAAAAGTTAAAAAAGCTTATAGTTGTTTAACTTCTGTTTTTCAGGGTCACATTGGTATTTCTGGAGCTCGAGGAAGAGTAGGACCACCAGGTCCGCCGGTGAGTCAACAAACTCCTCCGTTTTAAATTCCCTCTTTATATTATCACATGAAGATAACATTTTTGCTTTCTTGTATGTGTTTTTGTTCTTGCACGGTGAAGGGACAACCTGGTCAGCCTGGAGAAGCTGGTGTTAAAGGAGAAAAAGGACCTCCAGTGAGTCATTACACAAACGCCTCTTAGCTACAAATTAAAAGCGTAACATTTCTAACACGAAAATAAACAACATGAATATGAAATGAAAAACTGTTTTCCAAGTCACACAATAGTATTGAATAAGCAGTTATAGTAGGTGACTGTTGCTTGCCACAAAAAAAGTACAGTTTGATTTTTTTTTTTTTTTTTTTTTTTTAGTTTTTAGGTTGCGTTCATCAGTTTTTTCTAAAGGTCTTACCAGCTTAAATAGATATTAGACTGATTGTGGCTCATTAACATTTTACCATATTCCGAGGATGTCAATAATTTTTTATAAAGTGGTTATGGTTAAGATCTGCATTTAACAGCATCCAATTTGCTGGCATAGGATCAGATTAAACTTCATTATCCAAATTTGATGAACAAGAAAGAATACTCTTCCAAACAAAAACAAAAAAAGTCAATGTGTAAAAACAAAAATGTAAATGATAGGCAATAGTATGGGACTACATGTTGGATCATCCATTCACTCATCTCAAACAAAGGAAAATCAAATAGATTTTCCATCATAAAGCATTTATGATCTGGAGCATAGTATGCTTATTCTTGCTCTGCTTTAATGTTTAAACTTCCCCTGAAACTAGTTATGATTTTTTCGTTTGATGCCCAAAGGGTTACTTGAGTCTAATCACCAACCTTTTCCTCAGCGCTTCACAACTTCCTTGTTCTCTAATTGCAAAATATTTTTCTTGGGTTAAAAAAAACAAAACAGTTAAAACTGTTATTATTTTTCCATCATGTTGCATAGACACTTTCTATAAACGTTGGCTTTGGATGTTTACTACTCCACATGTAACATAGTTGGCGTCAATAAGAATCTAGATTGCGTAACGAATTATACCAGTTTACTTGTTACATTTTCCTTTTGGCTTTGGGGCAGTCTGAGGTTTTGCTCCATGTTTTTAGAGACAACATCTGCAGCCATCTGTTAGTACTCCTCATAGTTTAGTCTAACATAAAATGCTTGAGACTTTTTCTGGTGTTTATACTGTTTCAAATTAACGGCTTTGGTTGACTACATATGTTAGAAACCTCTTAAGCTATAAACAGCAAGATTAGACGTACTCATAATCATGTCTTGTAATAGTGGGATATTTCTGTGGCATGTGTTGGTACTCAAACCTCATATGCGTTTGTTTCATTTAACCAAATGCAATCTGAGAGGACTGGCCCCCATCGCAACCCTGACAAAGGGTTGGTTGGTTGGTTGGTTGGTTGGTTGGTTGGTTGGTTGGTTGGTTGGTTGGTTGGTTGGTTGGTTGGTTGGTTGGTTGGTTGGTTGGTTGGTTGGATGGATGGATGGATGGATGGATGGATGGATGGATGGATGGATGGATGGATGGATGGATGGATGGATGGATGGATGGGCAATCTGAGAGAAGGAATCCTTTACAGATGTTTATTCCATCTTTGAATAAAATGAGTTGGTTGACAGACTTGTAATCAACAATAACTTTGTGGAGATTCACAAATATTTTCTGAAATGTCCTTTGTGCCTTACTTTTCCTTTTATTTGTGTTGTAGGGCTCAGCTGGAAGGAAAGGAGCGAGGGGCCTGAATGGAGCTCCTGGTGCTGAAGTAAGAGTCACATTAGATGGTTTACAGATTTACTTAAGTGTTTACAAGAAAATAATTTAACTATTGATGTTGAAAAAGGAGACTCTGCATACTTTTACTCGTCTAGGAGGTATTTATCTATATAAATTGCTCATACCTTTGTAAATCAGAAACTCCTCAATGTAGCTACTTAGAAATAATTGAGAAAGGTAACTCCCACCTTGCCTGAAGTAAGGTACTTTTTTTGTAGAATTAAGCCTAAATTGACTTTGCCTGTTTCAAAAGCATATTTCCATGTAATAATACTTTCCACTCTGTCAAAAAGCTGGTCTGTCTTACCAATAAATCAAACACAAATTGACTTTTTCCACTAAAGCATGGAATGAGATCCTGTAGCATAGTGTTTCTCAACCTTCTTTGACTTGCAACAACTATTGAACAGTTCTCGTTTGACTCAGCTTTGGAATCAGTTTTGGAAGAATTAGACTTGGGTTTTTGGGAAATGTCAGCAGGATGAGGCTCTACGCTCATTCATTTTTGAGAAGGACGTATTCGCCGTTTTACTGACAGGCTGTTTGTTTACACTCCCACACCAGCTTTCTGTCGCGCATACTATTGGCACACACAGCGGCCAATAGGCAAAGACAACGGGTTGTTCTCATCAACAATCTTAGGATGTCTCATTCATTGGGGCCAGACTAAATTACACATTTCATCTCAAACTTAGTCTGTTTTATCAGGCTACACAAAAGCTGGATCGCAAATAATTTGCAGTATATTGCCTAATATATGAAGATCTCACTTCACAACATCCATGTATACATTCTTAGCCAAAAAAAAAAAAAATGTCTATTTTGGGGTGATGACTGAAATAAATATAAAAGGAAATGAAAGTTGTCCTTCTCCTGATCTGGTTTCTGACAACTGTGTTCATTTGTGTTGTGGAACCTGCTGGAAAAACAGTATCCATATTGAGTACCTGAATAAAAAGGAATAAATAAATAAATCGATAGATTTATTAAATCAGTTCCCTGGCATATGCAGAAGCCTTTGTATAGGCTGCAATCTTTTTTTTTTTTTGAAAAACCCAAATATCCAGAATGCCAAAAAAACAACTGGAAGTCAGAAATGATGTTCCGTCACAGTTTATATATTTGACTCAGCATCATCCAAAGATACTGTTAATCCAAAATAGCTTTTTGCTTGAGATATTGAAAATTTTTATTGAACAGTTTTAAAGCAAGGGCTATTAGATAAATTAGAGATATCAATAATGAGAAATAATGCACTTTTTGTGACACAGTCTTGCAAAAGCCATGAACCTGAAATAACATCAAAGGATGATATCATTCTCCAGGGCCCAGCTGGTTTACCAGGACTTAGGGGACTTAAGGGTTATCCTGGGCCAGATGGCCCGCCAGGACTGATGGGGTTACAAGGCCTACCAGGAAAACAAGGAAAACAGGTAACAGAGGCATTTTTTTAATATTTTTTTATATGGTTTTGCACTGTATGTGTTTTAGATTTCAGAACAACTGCAACCTGAGAGGACTGATAGCAATGTTGCTCGCATTTAGGCATATTTATCTGCATGTTTTTATACAGTGTGCGAAATACCTATCAATATTTGGGGGGGGTCCCCATCTCCCGATTGTTGCGCAATACCAATATACATTTTTTCAATATGCAGTAGGCCTATAACATTTTAAAGTCAAAGTCAGCTTTAATGTCAATTCTTCAGATTCACCAGACATACAAGGACTGGAGAGGACGTTTCTCATTCACCAACAGTGAAACAGATAAAGTGCACAGGCACAACAGATAATATCAGTTCCTAATACTAAAATTTAAACATTCAATTTCACAATAAAATTTAAAATGTACAATAATATAAAATATGCAATACTTATGCTAGTGCAAAAAGGCAGATGGTAATGGCAGCAGAAAAATTATTATTATTATTACCAATTATGTAAGATATAGCATTTGTAACAGTAACAGTGCAAATAAATATAAATAAATATAGTATTAATAGTAGTGCAGGAGACAGTTTGTCCAGAGTGATTTTTTTTTTGAGAGGGGCTCAGCTTCCTGACAGCTTGGTGGATGAAGTTTTCTGTGAATCTGGTGGAGCGGGCAAAAGCCTGAATAGACAGTCAGTCTATGAAAACACACACATGCACAAAGACTGTCTGTCTCGTCTGTCTGTCTCTCTCTTTCATGCACGCACATGTCCTGCGTGTCCAGGTCCATTGAGATCCACAAACAGGAGTGAAGACCTGCTGTCTTCATGCAATCTGTTCCGCGTTGCCCGTGTCATTCAACTGCGGAAAAGTGCATGGCTAATTTGCATACGCGAGCAGGATTGACTGGCTCCACTCGGCAAAAAACAGAACATATTTGTGAATAAAGGTTTTGAATTTTAATACTGCACATGTTGAGCTTAAAAACATTTTAGTGACCATTAGTGACAAAAAAATATTTTATTTTAAATTTTTTTGACATAATTTAAGACCCGCTTTAAATTTTGCTTTTGAGGCTTTCAGGGGGTCTCATGGGTTAATCGGGGGGTCGAGCCCCCCCCCGGACCCCCTGTATTTCGCACTCTGTTTTTACACAAGTTGAGTTTTGAAATACATAGATAAATCAGACAAAGACACATACATATAAAGTTCAAAACAGATTTTGTTTCGGTTTTTCAGTATGATTTGTTTCCCCTCTTCTACACCTATAGGGTCAGAGAGGCTTGCTGGGAGAAGAGGGGCCTGCTGGACGTCCAGGTCCCAGGGGAGAAATCGGACTGCCTGGAGTACCTGGAGAAAGAGGACCATCTGGTCTGAAGGTAAAATAAAAATAAGATGGAAAAAATAATAATAATTAATTTGAAGTTGAAATTGTATTTAAAATTGACACTGTTTGAAATAAATTACATCTAATGATGATTTAGGGAGAACTTGGCCTGCCTGGAGAAAGGGGAGTTCCTGGAAACAAAGGGATGAAGGGGGCTGGAGGTGACCAAGGCAAGAAAGGTGATCCAGGACCTAAAGGGCAGCCAGTGAGTGCATCATTATTCCTTTTTGCCCTCTTATGTGTTTATACTTGCATGATAGCCATTTAGATGTCAAGAATATCTGTTATTTAAGGATGCCAATAGTGGACGCAAAAAGCAAAAGTAATTAGAAAAGTAAATAGGGTTATTCTTTAAAGATACAACAAAATAAAATATATCAAGGCACAAACCTTTTGAAAGCCAAGATTAAAAAAACCCACAAAAAAACAAGTTAGCACCTTAAAGTAACAGTGTGTAATTTTGGGCAAACTCTAATGATCAGACCACCCTGCCTCTCCCTTCCTTTTTAAATTAAAATGGTAGACAGAGAAAATAATGTTGGCAAAGGATGAAGCAGGGAACTCCCTTAAGAGATTTGTGAGTGGCTTTTAAGAAATAAATGTTAAAGGTATAGAAGACGATATTTTATTTCCGGTTTGATCATCTAAATAAGTGGTCCTGGTAATTGTCAATCTTTTTTTCCCCCTTTTCTTTCATTACACTGTCACAAGTACAGAGCAACGAAATGATCTCTCTTCATTTAGCCCATCCCCTTAGGAAGCAGTGGGCTGCCACTGTGCGGCACCAAGGGAGCAGTTTGGGTTAAGGGTCTTTGCTCAGGGACCCAGGGTGGCAGTCTGTGGAAGTGGGGCTTGAACTCAGAACCTCTGCATTCCAAGTGCAATGCCCTCGTCCCTTTAACTATCTTTTCTGTGCATGTGCACTTTCGGGCGTAAATCAGTGGGGAGCTATGGTTTCAGACGGTCATTGAGGCTCACCTTTTTCATCGTGGTTCTTTGAAAATGATGGAGGGTTGTGAGAGAAAAAGTATCTACAAAGTGTATGAGAAGAAGAGAAAGGCCTCAGAAGAGGTAGATATATCCCGGAATGCTTTGTGCTGTCCCACTGTCGCTATAGCACCTAAAAACAAAGATGGAGCAGGCACTGTGCAGTGGAGAATGAGTTGCGTTACCAGCGGGGAGTAAAATTCAGTGATCATCTGTCTGAACAGTCAGTTATCTGAGTTCACTATAAAGTTCATTATATAGTCCCCACTCTATATAGCGATTGAGGGATTTAGGGGTTAGCACAGACGTTCGAGGCACAGTAAGCTTGTATCAGCTATGAGAACAGCAACTTTTCAACAGAGTGTGCATGAGGAGAGATGAACTTGTGCATGCTCTCTCACGCCTTTAATAGGCGTTCCCTCTCTGGAGCAGGTACAGGGTTTTGCATGTAGTGGAGAGGGTGGGTCTTTAAAAAAATTCATCTTTCTCCCTGAGCTAGCTGTAGTAAGCTGCCACCTCAACTTCTGTGGTTCCTTAGTCACAGAGGGAAGCATAGCTACTGCTAATACTTTGTCAGTTCTGTGCTGCCGTAGCGCAAAGATGTCTGCCTCCTCAAATGGGAATCGACCCCTATGTAATTATTGATAGCCATTCTTATTCTAAGAGTAATAAAACTAAACATGCATATGGATATGGATTTCTGTCAGTAAATCCCTGTAATTGTTTCACACTGTACCTTTAAGACAGTTTTAGGAGGTAAAACCAAGCAAAACAAAAGGAAAAAACCAAGTCAACTAAAATACTTTATGTAGATTAATAATTTCTTCCTGAAAGTTGAAAATGTGTTACAGTTTTAGGTTCATATCCTTACAGGGAGAAAATACAAATCAAAAACAAATCCCAAGCTCACAAAAATAAAGAACAGAAGAAATGTGATCTGAATAATAATTTTAACAGCAAAATCCACCAAACATACCACATTCATTTGGTCAAAATGATACCATCCGTGGAATGTTCTTGTTGAGCTGGATTATAAGAATGTTTCTCTCCTTCAACTTCTCTCCAAAAATAGCTTCAGGGTATATGTAACTGATATTCATTTGGGTAAAATATCTGTGCCTGATGTGTTTCCAGCCTGGGTACAGCAACAAATAATTAGGACCAGACCTGAAATGGAAACATTCCATCTGGAAAGTTATGTAAGAGCTTCCTGCTCCAACGTGCTTAAAAAAAAAAGAGGTGCTTTAATTATGTAACCTTTCCTTAAAAGGGGGAGAGAGAAGAAATAATATTCAGTCCCTAACACCACTCTTTTGAATCGCTATCTCCAGTAACATTTCTGAAACAGAGGGAAGTCCTGTGCCCCTGGGCTAGATTCCTTACCACCTCTTAGTGAATGTAGTTTCCCAGCCAACAGTGCTGGTTTGGAAATGGAGCTGTCCAAAGGATGTGAAATAGTCTCTGTACAAACATGCCGGTTGAAACACCTGGAAAGCAGACAGTCCTCAGACACAGAAAAAGACGCAGACATTCCTCCTGAAAGAATGTGTCTTGAATCCTGTGTGAGTTTGTGTTTCATCATTCTGACCCAGTCGCAAAAGACATGAAGACTACTGCTATTTGCAAGATATTGTATGTGAGAAACACATTGAAGAATAAACAAAAAGACACAAACTCATAAACATTATCCATGTTCTTGCTTCTTTCATATTCATGTTTGAAGTCATAATAACAACACTGTATCTCTAGGGAGAGCCTGGAGATTTGGGAATGATTGGTTTACACGGCTTTCCTGGACTCAAAGTAAGAAACATTTCAGTTGTGCGATAAAAGCATATTATGAAAAATAAAGTTCGAAAAACATGTATGTTATTTGTATTTTTTCTGTAAACAGGGCCCGGACGGTGACTTGGGAATGAGAGGCATCCCTGGCCCTAAAGGTCCTGCGGGTTCCTTGGTAAGTTATAATAATATATGAATTTTGAGTCTTCTGTTAATTTGATACAATATCAATACTTGTTTGTGAAATAAGTAGGGCTGCTTTTTCAAATGTAGTTTTAAATGATCAGTGTCATACCCCTACTGAACTAAAAAAAAAACATTGATATATTTTGTTAAAGTATTGTTGTCACCCAATGCAACCTCTGCTTCTTGCTTGTTATTTTTCAGATGTGTGTCAGGATTTACTGTCAGCCAACTATTTCAACAAAATATTGTTTTATTATTTGATTTGTGTAATGTAATTTGCAATTAAACAATGACATTTATAGCTAAACTTATGAAGAAGCACAGCTTGTTTTGTGGTTTTGGTTTGCAGACAGTAACCTGGAACTGCACAGAAAATTGTCACAATCTAATTTTCAATTAGACGTATCAAAAGAGAGAGTAGACATGGCAGCTCTGATGGCCCACAGTAACATGCTTATTTTACTGTGTAAGACTGTCTGAGTCTTACACAGTAAAATTGGCAGAAGCCGCTGCACAAACTACACCACTGACCATCACCAGCATTCAAACCAAAGGAAGTGTCTTGCCCAAGGACACACCAACCAAGACAGACAAAGCAGGGGTTGAAACGGAAAATAAACAGTTTCAGGAAAAACTTATATTGCCCCAATATCTGTTAGTGTTTATGTACATTTTCTCTTTCCATCTTTCAGGGATTTGCTGGACCTGTAGGCCCTGAGGGAATGATTGGTCCATTCGGCAAACCTGTATGTTTTAACTTCCATAAAGTCATTGCTACACATGTTAAGCATTGTGTATTTTGAAAGGTGTGTTATTGAGCTATCTTGTTTGTGCTGCTTTAGGGCCCAAGGGGTCCAAAAGGAAACAGTGGAGAAATGGTGAGTATAATGAGATTGTGTCAGTTTCTATATATTTGTAATTTGAAGACAGATAAAAGTAGAGATAGTGGTAGTTCCTATGGCTTTTATAAAGTACACTCGCTAGAATTGTAGCTCTTACTAAATAAACCTCAGTCTCTTAAATACACATTACTTAGGAAATTGCTTGTCCTTTATTTTCTTAGTATTCCACATACTTTAACCACATACTTCTAGCACTGGTAGCCATAGACCCTTTGTATAATGGTACCACCATGCTATATATTTATACATCATTCACTATACTTGGTAAAGTGCTGTTCAAGTAACACTGTATTACCCTTGACCAAAGTATAAATGTCATTTGAGTTATATTAAATGATTTACAGATCAGTGTACAGGAATGTAGTGTGAACCAATGCTCTTTGGGGGCTGCCCTCTTAAGATTTAAACTATGCAGCTTTAAAGGGGCGGATCCATTTCTAAAACTGATATAAAACTTACCTGATCAGACCTGCATGGATCCCTGATGTAGAATTCAATCTAGGGGTGAATATGTCCCTGAATTTAAACTTCTCAATCTGCTGTTCCAAAGTGGTCCGCTATCAGAGTCCAAAGCGCAGAGAAAGACTTTTTTTTGGACATTGCAGTGTGTCCAGTTGCCCTTTAAGTTTCATAGCCTCACTTCGACCACTCCAAATATACTAATTGTCATAAACCGTATTGGCTTAATGGTTTTATGTGTTGCCAACTGGAAATTAGTTGTGCTTGAAGAACAGTGACTATTATTTTTTTTAACCTGTTCTACTTTTTGAATAGCTCCTGCCAGGTCCACTATGGGCTTTTTGCTAAACAACATGATAAATTTTAATTAATTCAAGGGGAATTTTTGTCAGATGATCTCAATTTAGAAACCTGTTTTCCAACAGGAAAGTGATTGCAAACACACATAAAATCAAAACAAACAGATTATCAAACATTTGCATCTCTCATAAACCATTAGACTGGTTTTATTCGTACCTTAGAGGTCACAGTCACTCTGGCCAACTCAAGTTATTCAGTTTTTTCTCAAATTCTGCCTCAGTACCTTTAGGAGTAGAGCTTTCTCTCATTTTGTCTCTCATTGGACATCCATAATATTGACTCTACATTTGTTTCAATCCAAATTCGAAAAACTCATTTTCAAGTCTGTTTTTTGTGATTTTAAACATTTATTGATGATGTTTTGCTTTTTTGTTGTGGTTTTTACCTCATTTTTAAAGTGACCTTGTGTTTTTGGAGATGTGTTTCTAAATAAAGTGTATTGTTATTATTATTATTACTCATCAAAACGGGTTTAGTGATAAAAAAAACAGGCTCTAGTCATACCAACATTGAAGCTTATAGTGGAGGCCTGTCTGAAATCTGGACTGCATCTAAAACTATGTACCCAGCTCTTGCTTGTGGAATTATGTTTTGCATTAGTCCATATTCCAAAAAGAAACGCTCCAAAACATAACTGAAAGCTTGAAGTCAATTTGGCACACTGGAAAAAATCTAAACCTAGATGACATTTCTTCTTAAAATAAGTGCATTTGTTCTTGGATTGAGGAGTTAAAATAAAAATTTTGCCATTGGAGCAAGACAATTTACGCTTTAAATAAGAAAACCCTATTGCATAGTCTTATTTCAAGCGCATATTATCTAATTATCTTATTTTAAAAGTAAAAATACTCATTCCATTGCCACACTATCTCATTTACCTACTCAGATGAAGGGTAAAAACACTTATTTTAAGACATTTTTACTTATTTCTAGATCGTTTTTCTAGTGCATTGATGAAAATTATTGTTTTTAAAAACTTTGTATTTTATGGTCCATTTTTAGGGTCCTCAAGGACCGCTTGGAAGTCCAGGACCACAGGTAAGCGTTAACTTTAATATTGCATATCGACCAAACAAACATTGCAAAGTAAATGTAACAATTAAAAGATTTCAGCCTGTGTGTTAATGCCCATTAAAAAAGGAAGTTTTATTTTCAAAGATCTAGTGTATCTAGTGTGTTATTTTTCTAAGTCAGTGTCTTCTGGTAGTGCCAATACATACAAAAGATAGCATAAAACAATAGACTTAAACAGAAACTGACCTAATTTGATCTTTTTTTTTTACCTCTAATTAATTTTGTTTTGCTTTTCCTTCGTCCTTAGGGCCCCCCAGGGCCCCCTGGCCCCACGGTAAGTGTTATGTGCCTCGATAGTTTATAACAGATTTGTTTCCGAAAGCCTTTAGAAAAGCCTCCAAATGTGTTTCAATATGAATGTGACTGATCATGTTGGTTTTAAATCTACAGAGATACATTTATGATGACTCAGATGACGATGCTGCCCTCAGGACAGAGGTAACTCTACAGAGGCTTAGCAATAGATAAGATTGGTTTGGATTGCTTTTAATAAATATATAAAAAAAATATTTTCATATAGATTATACTCTAATATTGATATATTTTAAATAATATATTTCAATTAATACTGATGTGTATACTTCATAGAAACCCAAGATTCCATTATTTAGAAAATTATGGTATTACAAGGGAAAGATTTGTAAGGACAATTGGTTAAGACTATACAGTATATTAAGTTATACATTTTTGTGGTGTTTGCATGTATTACTTCAGTAATGTAGCGTAGAATGGAGGAAATTGGCTTTGGCTCTGCTGAGGTGTTGGGTAGCTCTAGGACCATTCCTCTCCTTGTTTGCTTGTTGATTCTCGTGTCCCTCATCTTCCTCTAGACAAGATTATCTGTTAAGTTTTTCCCCTGACTTAATGTGCTAAACAATATAGAAAGGTCTGCAAAGCAGGCTTAGGAGATCTTTGGCAAAGGGGGCAGGTTCATAGTCACAGCAGTCTCCTCAAATTTAGGCTGCTATAACTCTTAATTGAAAAACTGTGCAAAAGCCTTTGAAAGCCATGAAATATTTTGAAAAAAAAAAAACTGTCAGAGAGGATGTAGAAAGAAAAATGTGTCGTGCCTCCAGATCATAGACCGTATTGACCCACTAGCCAATATCTCAGAAAAATAGCAAAATCCCCAACAACAAACCACCATTCCATAAAAACTTTCACTCACTCCTCCCCTGGGATTTCCCCCTAACTTCAAATAAAAAATATCTTTATTATCCCACTGCAGAGAAATAATTGTTGGAAGATTGAACCTTTGCTGTTGCAGCTCTGTGGCTTTGTCAGTTAGAAAACACATAAGTTTCCCTACATTAAAAAAAAAAATTAAAACTGTTACCATGAGACATGTGAACATTTGTGTCTGCAATTACTACTGTGCCTGCAACTCCTGTAAGCAACTGTGCTTACAGGAGATCCATGTGTAACAGTCCCAATTTTATTATGGTTACCGTACACATTTATCATCACAATAGAAATCAATTCAATGAAGGTAGTGTGTCCTGTTAGATCAACTGTAACATCAATGGGATGTGCATAACTTTGGGTTCCCTTTAACTGTTTATATTCTAGAATTTTCTTTATTGTCTTTGTTCATCTGTTTTCGATACTGTATGTCTTTTATACAGTATGCGTTACCTGTGTAGTATCAGTTTGTAAGTTTTTTTTTTTTTGTGTTCCTTTTAATCTTTGTATGACAGAAACCTCTCAGGTGTGTCTGCAGATGAAAATTATCCCTAGGCTATAATCTGGCATATTAAAATATGTTTTTTTTCCACAGAGCAGTGCTCTTCTTCTCAATTAAATTATGAAATCAAAGGTTACATATATACAGCTGAAACCGTCTGTTTTAAAGATTTGATTATTCATAAGTTTGACCACAGCCCCTTGCATTTTTTATTGAAGCGTGCTTCATGAGGCTGTTATTTAAAAACACATTAATAATGAAGGTCTTTAAATCCTATTATTCTGGTGTTTGACTGCTTTTCCTCCCCTCCATAACCAGGCTTTTCAGAATATTGAAATGAGCTTGCCGCACCAAAATATGGAGATACTTAAGACCCTGCGTTACCTGAGTGGCGTGATTGAGAGCATCAAGAAGCCTCTTGGCACAAAGGAAAATCCTGCTCGTGTCTGTAAAGACCTCCTGGACTGTCGGCACTTACAACTCAAAGATGGTGAGTTTCTTGCGGCACACGTTAAAGAGATTGAATTTTTCAACAAAACAAAACAAAAGGTGGAGAGGTGTGTTTAGGTCAATGTTTGCTCTCTGCCTCAAGCAGCAGAGTTCTGGTCCCTCGTGCATTTTTCATGGTTGGACTAAGCGGTAGATGATGGGTAGATAGATTGAGGCCATTTTTGAAATGATGTGGGTGCTGCTTTGATTTATCATGGTGTGGAAAGAAGCTTGACAGATTTGTCTCAATTCAAACATTTACTTTTGTTTGTAAGCTATGGATCGGACAGAAAGAACAAGATCCCAGATAGTACCTTAAATTAGCTTTATCTGTACCGTGGCTGGACTCCGTCTTTGAGATGAGGTTAGGAGCTTTTTGTATAGCCACTAATCAAGAGATCTTCCTTTGGATATTTTTTTAATCTATGTGGGGAAGCCACAGAGCAGTTCTGAAGTTCCCTAGATGGGTTATATGTCCTTTCTGGCATTACAAGTACAGTTTATCCTTTTCTATGAGCCAGCTGCCCCTTCATATTAAACAGGCTTCAACTCTGGGTGCTTTTAAAGATATAGTGGAGGATTTTCGCTAATTTTTGAATAGACCCCCCCCTATAAAAAAAAAATCTTATGCACAACGCTGTACCCGCTCCAGAGAGGGAACGCCTATTAAACGCGTGCAAGAGCATGCAGGAGCCTTTTCTCCTCGTGCACCCTCTGTTTAAAAGTTGTTGTTTGCATTGCTCCTACAAGCTTACTTCCCAAAAGAAGATTTGCAATTTTTCCACAATGAAAACTCACCACCGGTAAGTGAAAATGGGGAAAAGCACATAGGACAGCCTTACGTAAACATATGCCCAGAATGATTGACATTTAGGAGGACCACTTATTTTGATGATCCACCCAGGAAAAGAACATCCTCCACTATACTTTTAAGGCTCTTCTTAAAAAACATTTGTGCTGAATGGCTTTAAATACAGCATAAGGGCTTATCTTAAGGGCTTTTAACATTTAATTTAAGGTTGTAATTTGTTCCTTTTGTGCATAGCACTTTGGACAAAGGCAGCTGCTCTTAAATATATTTTAATGTCTTTGATTCGCTTGGATTTAAGCCTTTCTTTTGGACAGACACCCTTCATTTATATTAGCTATGCAGAAAACTATGGATGGAATTGATGGACCAATGTTAAAAATGCATTGTGGATGTAAATGTTGCATCATTGTGTTTCTGAATTTTTCTTTTGGACTTTCAGGTTGGTTCTGGATCGATCCAAACCTTGGCTGTACTTCCGATGCCTTCAAGGTCTTCTGCAACTTTACTGGAGGTGGACAGACTTGTTTGCACCCAGTGGCTTCCAATAAGGTATGAGGGAAGAATTTAATCAGTCAACATATCAATAGAAATTACATTTCATAACTTTACAACATTAAAATCAACATAAATATTCATTAAAAATGTTTGCTATTAAATTATCAACAAATTGTTTTAAGTTTAAAAGACGTTTAGAAAATAGATGTCTTCCCATTATGTTTGTGCATATGATATCACTGTCATCCTCTCTGTTCCTCTCCCATAGCTGGAATTTGGGGTCGGGAAAGTCCAGATGAAGTTTCTTCATTTATTGAGTTCTGAAGCAAGCCAAAATATCACGTTTCACTGTCTGAGCGATCCGGTCAACAACACCAAAGACAAATTCAGCTCCACTGGATCCATGCAAAGAGATGAATCTAAACCCCGGTTTATTGGTTGGAATAGACATGTAAACCCTGACACACTACTTGAACCCACTCTGATTCAGGATGAGTGCAAGGTAATGAGCTGGATAGAAAGAACCTCCGATATCAGGACTAAACACATATGACTTTAGGTCTTTTCTTCAACTTTTATCATTTTAATACAGAGGATAAAGTTTTTATAGCTTTATATTATAATATAGATCTTTGGTAGCTAACAAAATTATTGTGGAGCAAATAAGTTGCTATATTTGAAGATACAAAGTCGAGACATCTTATGCTGCGCCTCCATACTCTTTGGTTTAACTGTAAATAATTGGAATTTTTATTCCAATAGCATTTCATTTAGAGTATTAAACATTTATCCAGTAGGTACAGAGATTCTGTCAGTAAATAATTGTTTTTCATATATATAAAGAAACTGGTTCCATGGTTTATGGCACCATGGTGTAAAAATTTTTTAAAAAGATGTAATGTTTTCAATACCAAGAAGGTATTTGTATAGAAGTGAATGGCTCTTTCATCACAAACGTAAACATGTGGAGATTTAATACAAGCTACTTTATTTACATTAGGATTTGGTGAAATAAGACCTAAATTTGGCTGTTTGATTAGCCCGGCCAGTAAAACCTACCGGACCAATCACAAAGCTGATAAATATTTCAATTAAGCCATTTTAAATGTCCAGAAAGAGCTGTTTTTATTGGCTGCTGTTTGGGCTTTTTTTTTTAAATAAAATATCGGTGACATCTGTACTAATCTAATTGGTTCTAAGCAGATAGGTCCTGATAAGTCCTCCCTTTAAAATCGGTCTCTGCCTGCTCTTTTCCTGAATAATATACTGTATACACAGAATAAATTAGTCTGGCTGCCCAGTAAAGGTGTGCACGGTGAGAAACAAAGGACGATTATGTGGAAAAAGGGGCTTGTGCATGATGTTAATGGTGGGGCAGCAGGTTAACAGACGCCGGCTCTTTTTTTTTTCATTATCAGCAAAATGTTGTTAAATTAAATGTTGCATCAAATGTTGTATTTTTCCAAATGCTATTGTGATTTTATTATTTGGACAGGGTTTATTTTTCCAGCCTGAACACTTGTCTATGTGTCTTTGTGCATGTATAGTTATATCTAATCTTTGTAAGTTCTACAAAAACATGAAAAACCCTCAAGATGAAAAACTAAATATATGCTTTTATGTTTCAGATTCAAGATGGCAGCTGGCACCAGTCACATTTCTTCTTCCACTCTCAGGACAGTCGTCGGTTACCTGTTGTAGAAATCCAGGAATTTCCTCCTTTAAAGCTTCACTATCAGCAACACATAGAAATTGGTCCTGTCTGCTTCCTCTGACCCCAACGTGGTTCTTTAACCAACTTATGAACAACACAAGTCCAAAGACGCTCAAACACACCTTCCTTTAAAAGAGACGCTTCCTCAGTTAGAATAAAGGACTGGTTCCAGGGAGCTGGGTGTTTTTTTAATCAACAGAGTTATTGAGACTTTGTGAGAGTAATTAATTCCAGGTGCTGATAACTTATACTTGGTGAAACATTCATGCTAGCCAGGCCAAAGGAGAACTGTGCTTACAGATGTTTATAATCCCAGTGTAAACTACAGTTAGTCCCCAAACAGGGGGAAGCATCTCCCAACATAGCAGCCTATCTAAATTCCTAACCTTAAACAAAAAGCAGAGGCCGCACCATCTTATGCAGGATTCAGACCAGAAGGAACATGCCAGGATTCTTCCCTCGGCACTGTCTTTACTACAGTGTATAAAAGTGCAATGGTTTGTGAATCCTATTTGACTGCTCTTAAATACAGAGGCCCACCTGTGGCAGTATTTTACCAGCCCTGTCTTTTTCTGTCTGTTGGACTCCGACATCTTGGCAAATAGTGCTCTACCTCTACCCGGTTATTTGCCTTTGTCTCCTAGACTAGTCGCTACTGTCAAATAGTCTTTAACTTTGTGTGTATGTACCGGTTACATCAAGATTTGTTTTGTGTGTTATACGAGTACTTATGTTGATTTGGTCCTTTTTAATTTATGAACCAATTTTTGATACCCAACACATTTTGTTTAGCTTTTTTCTTTTTGGTTGGTCCCTGAACTTACCATTGGTGCTGCAACAAACAACGAGTCATCAATATTTCCTGTGTATATATTGTCAACTTATTTTTTATTTATAATCTTTTTTTTTTATTCATATTGTTGTAGGATGGTAAGTTATATTCTCAGATGAACTGTTTGGCCGATCACAACTCGGTTATTTATGTCTACACGGTACATTTGAGAGTTCACTCCTTCGACTGTTTGTCAAAATGTTTGTCACATTCAAAGCTGGGTTGCTAACTGGCAGCTATATTTGGCCAGAGTCAAACAGTCCAATATACTTAAGTTATATTACCTTCGCTGAAAGTGTTTTCTAAAGTTTATGGAGGGTAACAGTGGTTGGAAAACTGTAAATAAAAACTTGACAAATAAATAAAGGATACATTTTAACACAGATGGTTTGCTGCTGTTTTTGGAAACATATATATTATATATATGATTGATAGAGACTGTTAAAATGAATAGCAGATCCTCTGCACCTCGTCTGAAAAGGTATCGAAAGAAGTGTTTTTTGCAGACTTTGTTCTGTCTTGTAGGAAAATCAAAAACCTAAATAGGTCTTAATAAAATTGGTGTTTCACCCCACATGGCTTTGAAACTTTGTGTTTTAATTAAGCAAATGATGCACTACGAGGAGTTCTAGTTATACATTCATATATAAATAATATGCCTCATCCTATCGTCCACATTTAAATCCACCCATCAATCAATCTGTCCATTCTTCCCTAGTATTCATATTTCTGCTAGCTCTGTTTAAAAAAAACATTCCTGTCAAATATAAACCATATCTTTATTGTACTTACAGAGTATCAACTCATTTTTCGTTATATTGTGAACTTTTATAATTAAACATTACATAAGAAAAGTTTCTGGGATTAAAAAAGCTATATATATATATATTATTTTATTTATTTTATTTTTTTTAAGGTGAGAAATGAAGGGGAGGGGCTAGTATTAACACCACCCTAGATAACCTGGTTACATTTATCCATACTCCTTAAATAGAAATATCTTTGCCCCAGTATGTAATTTGAATTTCCTCTAATTCCAGTGTTTGCCTCGTGGGTTAGAGCAGTATATTTGTGATCTTACAAGTTTGTAAGCAACCGGTTTGATCCCCAAAGCCTGCTTGATGGCTCCCTGAGCATGACCCTTAACCCCGCAGCGCTCTCAGCTGCACAATGGGGGGTGGGTCAAATGCAGAGACTGAGGCCCCGTCCACACGAAGACGAACCCTGGCCTAAACGCACAAATTTTTCACCAAACCAGCCTCTCATCCACACGAAGCCGGCGTTTCGGGGGTCTGTAAACGATCTTTTTTTTATTCAGCCTTCAGAGTGGGAAGATTTCGAAACGCCGTTTTCGCGTTTCCATCTTTACGCTCTAACTGCATTTTTTTTTTTTACACGCATGCGTCATAGCGTCGCCTCTAAACACGCATGCGCGACCAGTATCACAACAACAATGGCGCCGTTGCTGCTAATGCTACTCACCCTGCTGTCGGGCTTACAACAGAATCTTCTTATTCTGGAATATCTCCAGGAAGAACAGAGCAATATCGACGACATAGTTCAGCACCTGAATTTGACTTAACCACGAAAATGGACCCGCAGGGCAACCATGTATAAATATTAGTGCGCATGCCCAACATGTCGTCGCTTATTTTTGCTTTGGCACCACAGCGCCACTTACAGGCCTGGCATACATTTTGCAGCGTTTTCATGCATTCGTGTGGACGCTCACATTTATTTTACGGCAAACGTTTTGGAAAATATCAGCGTTTCGTGTTCGTTTTGACTTCGTGTGGACGGGGCCTGAATTTCCCCATTGTGGGACAACTTTACAATTTATGTTTTGTTTTTTGTTTTTTCATTTGATTAACCCAAAGTAATGTTTAACCGGTCTAACAAAACATTTTTAGTGGCCCCTTCCAGGAAAAGCTATGGTACAGAGAAATTTCCAATGTATTTCCAAATAGAGCAGGGCCCTGCAACCTGTGGCTCCAGAGCTGCAAGTCGCTCTTTGGATCCTTCACAATGGCTCTTTATACTGGTTAAAGATGATTAAAAAAAACTAACCAATGGTTTTGAATAAAGTAAAATAACAGTCTTAGTTTTTTAAAGAAAATTTTAACTGCAATTTTACAACAGAATGTCAATAAATAATAATAATCATCTATTCTTTCTTGTTATTAGATCGGAAAGTTTTTTTAAAATATCATTTTCCACCAGTAATTTTATACAAAAGAAGATTTATTAAATGTTTTCTGTTTTTTCTTAATTTAAAACCTAAAAATACAAAAAAAAAATTATTAAGGTGTTTCATAAAAAGGTCCTGTAATATTTGCTATTCCTTAAAGATGTTTTACGTGAAACTAAAACATTTCCACTTGAGGAGTTCTGGATAGAACTTACTGACAGATGAAAAACTTTACAATTTTGGTATATTTCCTGCTCTACGTGGGTTCCTCTGTCAGCTAAAGGCATGTTTTAGAGTCTATATACTGCATTTAGTGATCATCTATTACTTAATTAGTTGGCAATTATTTCAATAATCGATTAATCATGATTAATCAGAATAATTGTTTCAGCCCTTTTGGCTACATACAACAATCTGTGTCTTCATTAGTCTGTTTTAGACTAAGCAGAGATAGAAAGAAGCCTTTCTTTGAGAAGAAAAACCTCCATGCCCAGGTGAAACTTTGATCACCCTTTGCCTGTAGAAAAAAAATGTGCAAGAAAACAAACTTATATTTATAGGTCGAAATTTCTAATAACATTTTTGGTGTAAAAACATTTATCAAAGTATCATGTCATCAAAGTAAAACGTGGGCTGCACCAACATATCTCAGGACTTTATTTCACAGCAGGAAATGGGGTGTTAATCAAGATGCATGAAAATATGAACATTTTCAAATACTGACACATGATAACACAAACAATTCAGGCTGCTACTAGAAAGATAGGATTTAAAGATGAGGAGGATTGGATGACCCGAAGCACGCATCTAAATCAACATAAAATGTATTTAAACCAGATCTAAAGAATGCTGTTTGCAGAACATACTTTTGAAACAGATCAGATGCACAAAGCCAATATCAAAGACTGCCATCAAAAGATACATTAAGTTTAAGTAGTTTGATTGCATGCACACTGATACAGCCAAGTTATATTGATATATAGGTTTTTTGTGTTTTTTTCTTTTTTGCTGTATGTTTTCCATTTGTACTTTAACTGATAAACAGATCATTGGATCAGATTAAAGATTAAAGATTGAAAAGGTTGTGAAATCATCTGTAAACACAAGATTTTAACAGAGGTGTGTCATTTTTTTTATTTGCTCTACATGAACAATGGCTCAAAAGTGGCAAAAAAGTATAAATCTGACTTAACAATTGCCTTGAAATCCACCTGAGCGCAAACAGATAAAATAAAAATTTCCTGTGGTAACTCTCAGGCAACACAAACAAAAATCAACTAGTCAATAACTTAATGGGTGGATGTGTAGTGCCGTACAGTGCTTTCACTTACACACTCTTTCTGGTATGAAAGAATGTGATTATCATGAGTTTGAGAACACATCAGACAACCTCACCTGGACTGTAAAGACTACCTCACTTGTCAAAAGGGCAGAGAGGCCCTGTTCTCCCTGCTGCACTCTGGGAAGCGGCTTCACAGCATTCGATGCCGGTCCAGCAGATTCGAAACAGCTTCTTCCCCACCACCATCACACTGCTAAACTGTTGAAAAAAATCTAAATCATGTCACGGACTCCCCACCACACTGATAACACCAAACCAAAATACTGCATATTTGCACCATATAATGCTCTGAACTTCCATATCAATGCGTTTTTCACTGCTAAGCTGCTACTCATTTACTGTCTGACAGCTGTACAAAACAAAATATAGTTTTTTATGCACTCTGTGTGTAGAAAATGGCAATAAAAGTTGTCAAAGTCAAAGCTTATAAATAAAGGGTAAATAAAACAAATAGATTGAAAGCAACAAGTCCTTGTCTGCTTTGTCTGGGAATAGATAAAGAGGATGAAAGTTGTCTTAATCGCTCCAGCAAAGTGTCTGCCTACTCTGGCTGTGAGATATTTATTGAATATGATGGAGAGACAGAGAGAAACTGCCTCTTTGTTTCATTTGTTTATAACATTGGTGCTCTGTAGCATTTAAAGCCCAGTCTTTCTTTTAAGTCCTGTTTCATTTAACTTGAGCTATTAAGTCCATGAAGAGTCATTGCCACTATAAACGTTTCAATATTTTCCAAACACCCCGTTAACACGTCAACTTTTGCAGTCAGTTCATACATAACCCTTTATAGGGCAGTTACTGTTTTTGATCACTTTCAAATGGAGTCCCCCCATCCTTCAGTGAGGTCTACGTAGAAGCACAAGATCTATATCCAGCCATCCAGCAAAGATGCTGCTACATAGCTGTACATCTTATTTTGGTGTTTGACCAATTAGATGAGCCCTTGAATGATATTTTACCTACTGTAAATTAAGCTGAAAAAAGTTAACAAGTTTAAAAAAAAGATAAAAAGATTATTAAAAAATTAAGTTAAAAAGTTAATAAGCCTAGTTAACAATTATATTTAGGTTTGTAAACTAAAAAATGTAAGTGGCAGTTTCATTAATAATGCCTTTCACTCTCAATGTTTTTCATGAATTTCTTATAGAAGAAATATTAAAATGTATATTAATACATATTTTTTTAATGTTACAAAGGCAATAAGGTCTTGCCCTGGATTCTAATAACACTATTGGCTTGAAATTTTGATTTTCAAAGCACTGGGTGCACTATAAAGGGTTAAACTTGGGATCATTGTAGTTTCGCCTTCAGACACAAGGCGGCAGAAATGAGCGGACTTCTCAACCGGAAGTTGTTTCCACGTGCCGCTCGGAAGGAAACCGGTTTGTTTTGATGCCGCCAGCAGCTTAAAGAACGTGTATCCCTTACTTTTTTCCTGTTATTCGCTTAGGACTGTTATAGGAAATGAATGAGATATCCGCCATGGATGGCCAAATTGACAGCTACTGTCCAGAGGAGGAGAAAAAAGTGTCAAAACGAAAGATTTCCCTCTCGAAGTAAGTCGATTAACAGGCACCTTAGTCCACGTTGAAGATTTTTATTCGAGCAGTTTTTTATTTTACGGTGTTTATAAAATGTCGAACTATTAAATATGAGTGTGTACTTATATTTCACTTAACTCGTTATGTATTTATGTAATAACCAGACCTTTTGCTGAAAAGTTAGTGCTCCTTCCATCTCTTCATCAGTGACGGTTCTAGACCCGGTTTACAGGGGGCCCATGATTTCTTGGGGCCACTGAAATCAGTGTGACAAAAAGGGGAATAGTTTATTATAAATAATATATTAACAGAGCTACTTAACAGTTTGGATGCAATGAGTTAAGTTAAATTTTAACTTAAGTTAGTTAAACTAAAATTTAATGTTGTTCCATTTGAAAATTTGTGTTTTTTGCTAAAAAAATATCAATTTTACTTTACCTAAAATTAAGATTCCTTTAGAATGTGAAAAGAGTAAGTGAAATTAATAGTTGCTAAATGAATATCTATTCAAAGACAGAATAAAAACTAGCAAGGCGACAAATATGAGTGTTAAATTTTGGTTTTAAGTAGCATTTATCAGAATAATAAATTTACATCCTGTCTCAATACAACTAAAACTATCACCTTGATTTTTTTAAATCATAATTACCATAATTGCAATAAAGACAGTGCATATTATCCATAGGAATGATTTTATTACCATGTCTTCAGTATAGGGGCCACAATGGGGCCCTTGTTGGCCCCTGTCTAAAACTATTCATGCTCTTCCTCTAAATGGTAATGGAAACATTATAGCTCAGTGATTTTAAGCCAATTTGTCACGTTTGTTTTTTATGTCTCTTTGTGTTTCTTTAATTAATGTGTTTAAATTTATATTTTAAAAAATACGCAGTTTTATGATTGATCTATAATCTGTTGTATCTGGTTTAGATGTGGAGTTTGTGGATCAGATGAAGCGAAGTATCGTTGTCCTGCCTGCTTCAAACACACCTGCAGGTGAGTGATTTTCATACGGTTATGGATCAGTTTCATCAGCAAACAATAGTTTTTCTAGTCAAATTTTTTTTTTTCTATTTTACAAAGGTATTTCAATTGGCAAACAATTTAAGACCAACCTGAAGCTGAAACAGACATGGTTTAAAGAGATTAAAAATACTATTGAGGCATAAGAAGGCATCAGATTCTCAGGGTAGGTTAATCCGGGTCACAAATACCACTATTTAGTTTGGTTGTTGTTGATGTAAAGTTGGCATGTATTTAAGGAATTTAAACAATGTTGGTTATCATATGATATGATATATTTTTTATAAACATTGGTTCTAACTGTTCATGGTCAGAACCCAACATTTTCTCCAAGTTACCTTTATTTTATTAATTTATTTATTCAAGCTTTATGGGTCCCATATCATGCTTTTTTAGGTCATCCAATGTCAGATATAGGCACTAAATGAAGAACTATTGCCTTTGACACTGTGAAAAATGTGTTAGTTATGAAATACTACTGGGTCTGTTTTATCTATTTGGAAAAAATTAGCTTTTTCTGTGATGCCATTTCTCACTTTCTTCGTTCCCCCATTTAGTTTCTGAAGGTTTCGCGCATTATGTTGTCTTCCCTTTGTGTCTCAGGAAAATCAAATTAATATCTCATGTCGTTTGCTTCATACCTGCATTTTACTGCGCTCATTTAGCATATTTAAGCAGACTTTGAATGTCTTCTTCTAAGTTTTAAACCGCTGATTTTCCTTGCATATAACAGGGCTTAATTGCCACTTACGGTAAGATTGTGAAAACACAAGAGTCCTGATTGATTTTCTTTGACCTGCTGTCCACTAATTTATAACCCACCAGTTTAAAACAGGTGATCTGTTGTATTTATTTACTCACATTTTGAATTTGATATAGAGAGATAAAACTGTTACATGAAGAGTAGTCCTGTTTCCTACAAAAAAAATCGTATTTATTTCAGTAGTAATAAGTAACACTAGTAAAAAATATGGAAAATTTGTTTGAATATATTCTCTGGTTGATCTACCTTGGCTTATATGTACAGTGGGGCAAAAAAGTATTTAGTCAGCCACCAATAGTGCAAGTTCTCCCACTTAAAAAGATGAGAGTGGTCGATAATTTTCATCATAGATATACCTCAACTATGAGAGACAAAATGAGAAAAAAAAATCCAGAAAATCACATTGTCTGATTTTTAAAGAATTTATTTGCAAAATATGGTGGAAAATAAGTATTTGGTCAGTTACAAACAAGCAAGATTTCTGGCTCTCACAGACCTGTAACTTCTTCTGTAAGAGGCTCCTCTGTCCTCCACTCGTTACCTTCATTAATGGCACCTGTTTGAACCCGTTATCAGTATAAAAGACACCTGTCCACAACCTCAAACAGTCACACTCTAAACTCCACCATGGCCAAAACTAGAGAGCTGTCAAAGGACACCCGAAACAAAATTATAGACCTGCACCAGGCTGGGAAGTCTGAATCTGCAATAGGTAAACAGCTTGGTGTGAAGAAATCAACTGTGGGATCAATTATTAGAAAATGGAAAACATACAAGACCACTGATAATCTTCCTCCATCTGGGGCTCCACGCAAGATCTCACCCCGTGGGGTCAAAATGATCACAAGAACGGTGAGTAAAAATCCCAGAACCACTCGGGGGGACCTAGTGAATGACCTGCAGAGAGCTGGGACCAAAGTAACAAAGGCTACCATCAGTAACACACTACACCGCCAGGGACTCAAATCCTGCACTGCCAGACGTGTCCCCCTGCTTAAGCCAGTACATGTCAAGGCCGTCTCAAGTTTGCTAGAGAGCATTTGGATGATCCAGACGATGACTGGGAGAATATCATATGGTCAGATGAAACCAAAGTAGAACTTTTTGGTAAAAACTCTACTCGTCGTGTTTGGAGGAGAGAGAATGCTGAGTTGCATCCAAAGAACACCATGCCTACAGTGAAGCATGGGGGTGGAAACATCATGCTTTGGGGCTGTTTTTCTGCTAAGGGACCAGGACAACTGATCCGTGTGAAGGAAAGAATTAATGGGGCCATGTATCGTCAAATTTTGAGTGAAAACCTCCTTCCATCAGCAAGGGCATTGAAGATGAAACGTGGCTGGGTCTTTCAGCATGACAATGATCCCAAACACACCGCCCGGGTAACGAAGGAGTGGCTTCGTAAGAAGCATTTCAAGGTCCTGGAGTGGCCTAGCCAGTTTCCAGATCTCAACCCCATAGAAAATCTTTGGAGGGAGTTGAAAGTCCGTGTTGCCCAGCGACAGCCCCAGAACATCACTGCTCTAGAGGAGATCTGCATGGAGGAATGGGCCAAAATACCAGCAACAGTGTGTGAAAACCTTGTGAAGACTTACAGAAAATGTTTGATCTCTGTCATTGCCAACAAAGGGTATAAAACAAAGTATTGAGATGAACTTTTGTTATTGACCAAATACTTATTTTCCACCATATTTTGCAAATAAATTCTTTAAAAATCAGACAATGTGATTTTGGGGATTTTTTTTTCTCATTTTGTCTCTCATAGTTGAGGTATATCTATGATGAAAATTACCGGCCTCTTTCATCTTTTTAAGTGGGAGAACTTGCACTATTGGTGGCTGACTAAATACTTTTTTGCCCCACTGTATATGTTAGCATTTTTTTTTTTATTGTTTTGATGATCCAACATTAGGCATGCTTACTGGTGCCTCTGTTTTTAGCTGCAGTGACTTAACTTAGAGTGCATTTCTCCTTAAGATGTTCCATAATCTTTGTGGAATAAAAAAAACCCCAAAAAACATCCTGAATCAGAAATCCTTAATTTTTTGTGATATATCCTTCTGCAGTACAACTTCCAAACTGTTACGTATGCGCCTTTCCTTTCAATGGCGTTGATGGACTAGATCCCATTGGGAAAAAACGCTTTGGCATCCTCTTATCACACATTTGATTAAAGGATAAACTGCATACTAGATTTTTATTTTATTTTTTTTTACTTGAAAAGCCCAGCTGAAACATTTTCAAACATATCCTAATTTTAATCGGGGTAAGCATCAAAATACTCATATAATGCGAACCTGTATGGCTGCTAAAGGGATTGATAGTTATTTCTAATATCAGGAAAACATATAGTATGTGTCAATATTAGGGATGCACAATATAATCGGCCCCCTATCGGTATCGGCCTGTATCGGGCATAAAACTGAATATCGGACATCGGCCGATCAGCTTCTGAGCTTCTGAGTTTCTAAAGTGTAAAAAAAAAAAAAAAAAATACTACTTCTTCTTCCTCAAAAACTTCATTTTTACAGACTTAAAAACTTCTAAAGATGAGGGAAAAATATTGATACATTAAAATATCACAATATCTTCATATGCTGAAATATTGCCATTTAAAAACACCAGATCAATCTCTTTTACTAATGAAATATTGCTCGTTATGCTACGAAATCCCCCGAAAATTCACGAAATTTTGCCATATATCGATCTATTTTACTAACAAAATCTCACAAGAATTTGCAAAATATCACAAGAGCTTGTTACCGCGTTTTTAAAAATCTATTTGATATCAGCATATGAAAATATATTTGAGTATATTATTTTTCAAAGTGTCAGAAATGGATAACAAAACTACTTATTTTTGTCCAGCTTTAACATCAGTATCGATATCAGTAAAATAGATCGACACCGTGTTTTTAAAAATCGATTTGATATCAGCATACGAAAATATATTTGAGTATATTATTTTTCAAAGTGTCAGAAATGGATAACTGCTATTTTCAATGACTACTTATTTTTGTCCAGCTTTAACATCAGTATCGATATCGGTTATCAGCTACATGAGTTATAAAATACCGGCATATCGGATATCGGCCAAAATCCCAATATCGTGCATCCCTAGTTAATATTGCTGAGTGTAAACACACAAGTAATACAAAGGAAAAAACAATTTACCCTGCTATGGTTTCAAAGAAAGCAAGGGCCTCACATATTTACATTTTTTTCTTTTTTTTTATTAATGACCTTCCACCCCACAACCTCTTGACCTTTAAAAATGTGTATGCCACAATGAACATAATAAAGATATAAGAGCTTGGGTGCACAACCTTGAATAATAATATGAGAGTTTTTCATTGTAATGCCAATTCTTCGCAATATGCATAATGCATACAGTGATATTACAATAACATTAAATTAGAGATATTTTGTGTTTCTCTTGCAATTATGAAACAATTCTACATTCTAAAAAATCGTTGCATGACCACTTAGTCGGCACTCAGATTATAGAAATTTACTTCTAAACAGTGACTTGACTCTAGTACTAACTCAAAAAAGAGACGTTGGTATCTTTGAAGTTGCAGAGTGTTTGTGAGTTCTACACCATCAGTAAAAAAATATGAGCTCTATTTACAATAAGGCGAAATCTGAGCATCCCACTAATATATTCCTGCGCTACATGATCGAAAAAAATCCCATTCATTACCTTCTAATTAGTTCCAAACTGTTTTTTTAACATGGCAGCATAAAAGGCCGTATAAGACCCACCATGACAGCAGCTTAAAATACATTGAATATCTTCATCAAAATATGGCAAAGATCAGACCAAAGCTTTTATATAAAAAAAAAATTTAAACTTCTTACAGTTTTTGTCAATTATTGTTATAGAGTAACCTCTAGACTATGTACTTTCTGTTTTACTGCAAATAAAACTTCCTACCTTCACTAGGAATGAAAGCCATGAAATAGAAGAACATATTTATTGTCTTCACCATGAAAGAGCCTCATTGGACATGCATAACAGCAGACTTTTAAAGTGCTGCACTTCTCTGCGAAGAAATCTAAGATTTACGATCCACCCCTGGCTGTTATTGTTTTGAACTCCATGTGCTTTGCTTTGATTCATTTCCACTAGCGAACTGCCAATAGCATTGATTCATAATCTGTTCCTAGAGGTCTGTGGAAGCTGAAGTATTTATGACCCAGCTTTTAATTACAAAATGTCACTGCAGAGGTCATACCTGAAAGTTTCATTTGTCCCAACAGTCCCACCAAAACGTCCTTCCCGTTTTCTCCTCGATGCCTGTTGGGTTTGGGAACTGTTCAGCATTCCTTATTACACAGTTTTCTAAGGATACAGTCTCTGTTTGACCCGAGGCTTTTAAAGTCTGAACACAGTCTGTTGTACTAGAACTTACCCCCTACCACTAACATACGTACACACACACAAATGCACACTATTCTTATGGGGACTTTGCACTGAATTTCCATTCATATAGCATTAATTTATGTGGCGTAAACCTGACTTTTACTCCAAGAAGAGAGCTTCTCCTCATGGAGACCTGTTGTTGGTCCCCGCAACTACCTATAAGTCCCCCTAATGCTTCATATTTTGCTAAAAAGAGTTCCCCACAATTTCCCCACATCTTGACTCATAACTGTGTCAAGATGTTTTAAAATATGTTTCATAGTTTTTAAAAATATCTGCACCATTGGGTTTCTTTTTGATAGTACTTAGAATTTTCAGTGCCAAATGTGAGATTGCAGAACCAAGCCTTAAGCAACCTGTTCTGGGTATTGCATTTTTTAATATCAACAAAATGTATTTGTGTTGTCGAATAATTTTTAATTCAAATCACATTGTTGATTTAAAGCTTTGACATTCCCAATCCGATTTTACCAAATCCTCGTTAGGTTTTTTTCTCTGCGATTAAATAAAAAAAAATAAAAAAAATGAGCATGATTCCAAGTGTTTTTTTTTTGTTTTTTTTTTACCCTTTTACTTTAATTGCTCATTGAAAGTTTTTAAAGCAGGACCAGAGGCAACATCTTGCAGTGTGCTTGAGAGAGTAGTCACAGTAAAACAATATCAGTCCTCATTCAAATCTGCAGAGGGAAAGTTTGGTTTTGTTTATACTGTTAAATTAAGCACCACTGATATGTAAACGATCAGACAACAGCACAGTTTGAGAACCAGTTTCAGGCCGTTGTGGTCTGAAACCCAGAATGTTTCTCTCAATAATCCAATATCTGCTTTTTGTTTATTCATTTTCCAGTTTGCTGTGTGTGAAGAAACACAAGGATGACTCAGGATGCAGTGGTGTAAGGGATAAAACGGCATTTGTCACGCTGTCACACTTCGACGAAATGACACTTCTTAGTGGTGAGAATCTTCTTTAAAACTTCTTTTTTAATAGTATTCACACCACTTTAATAACAGTGGAATAAAAACGATAAATTAGTTGCAGTTTAATGCCTGAATGAACTGTTAAGACTCCTAATAAAGCTTTGACTCCATTTTATAAAGGAGTATCACAGCAGAGGAGGCCGACCCCAAATGTATATTACAATTTCAAATAGCTCTTAGATAAAACATTTTAAAAGTACATGTGTTCTTCTACTGAATTCATACGCCACTATATCAGTCTATCGCATAGAATCCCATTGAAATATACTTTTGTAAATTGTTATTAGCAGTTAGTAATTGTTCTTAGACTCAGACAAACTTGTTTTTCATTTTGTATGGAGTGTATACAAAATAAAATTTTGTGTTGTTCAGCTCTCATGACATTTCCATTTCTTAAAGTGCAGCAGTGATGAAATGTAAATAGTGTGGGAGAGAAAAACCATGCAAAACATGGTTCTTGTTGAATGGGTTGGACTCTCCTTAAAGGTCCAAACCCTGTATGACCTTTCTTGTTCTTCAGCAAGAGTTTTCTGAAGTCACTCTAAGGCCTAAAACCCAGATCACATTAGAGAGTTCTTTTTTTATTGTTTGCAGATCTGTTTTTCTCCATGTGCCCTGCATATTTAGTGAGCCTCTGTTCCTGGCAGAACTCTCCATGAACTGATCTGTGTGTTAAATGGCTTTTAATGAGGCCTCATTTTCTTGGGAAAATGACCTTCATTTCCACGCTTAATAAGCACCAGTTGCAAATCCACCAAAATTGCACTTCTCTGCTCAGCTTTTGGTTTATCTCTTTAATGTTTGCCTGCAATCTAGATTACAGGTTTCTGGAAGACACTGGCAGATTTGCTGATGGTGCCACCAGAGACAATCTCATCCAGACGCCACGTACAACTTTGAAAGTAAGTCTGTGATTTAGGATTTACACACACCAAGCTCCCACTCTTCCTTCTTACAGTTACGAGCAGTAAAGATGTAAAAAGGTTGTAAAACAGTTACAATAGAAATAACTTATGACTATATGTCTTGTAAGTTTCTTTATTTTTGTTACCCTTATTTATTAATCTCTGTATTCCTTGCCCTCTTGTTTATTGACATGAATTGACACAGGTGCTAATTTCTTTAAACAATTCATCAAAAAGAGGAAAACGAAGCATACAGATGTGTTATTTACCAGAAAGTTACTACAGGGAAAAAAGTCTGTTTTCCAAAGCAATAACTATAAAGGTGAAAGAGATTAAATAAGGCTTCAAAGCTCACTGAAACATTGAGGGACATCTTAAAGTCCTCAAGTCCACCATAATACTTCTATTTTTATTTTATTTTTTACTAGGAGTAAAGAGAGGAAGTATTTAAAGTAAAATGTCTTTTTTTTTTTTTTTAGATTTGTTGCAAATGTAAACTTCAGATTTAACCTGAAAGCAGAAATCTTTAGATTGTTACTACAATTGCAGCAGGGTTTGTGTGGGGGACCTTATAAAATCTGAAATGGTCATATAAGTTAATACAACTAAAGGTTTCACTTGATCTTTTTCAGGGATTGCACCAAAGTCTGTCTGGTTAAAAAATAAAAGTATTACAGAGCAGAAAGACAACATCCCATAACGTTTGTTTTTAGTTTAGGAGGTTTAAAGGTTTCCATTTTACAATTTCTGGAACTTTTTTTCATGCAACATCTGTGTTTTATTTCCCAGTGCAGAGGCAAATAAATGCTGAACTGAAATTAACATTAAATAATGTTTATGGGATGTTGTTGTAGATTTTCCTCATAAACTGTAACCTGTGTTGGCATAACTGACAACCTTATTCCTGTTTACACAGTTGTTGCCTGAGTAGCAATAATTTAATCTCCCTTGTGATGTCCAAACTCACAAAATGTTACGTTCTAGTAGGAACTGTGGCAGAAAAATGGCTGTCTGACTGTTTAGATTGCAGCCAGTTAAATATTGCTATGACCTAAACGTAAGTGAAAGTATCATAAACTCTGGTCTGTTTGTTGCACTATTTTCCTGATATGATATCGATGTATTTTATGCTCTGTTGAACAGGCAAAGAAGCTGGCCGCCCATGCTCGAAAGATGAACATTACCCTGAGGTTTCTCCCTGTCACCTTCACCAAGAGCAAAGAAAACTCCACCTTCTTTCTTACCAAGTGAGGAAAACGGTCATTAAAAAAACTGATAGTCAGTTTAGCTGACACATAGATACATATTAACGCTGAAACAATTAATCATATTCATTGTGATTAATCGATTATTGAAATAATCTGCCGCTAAATTAGTAAATTTCTATATAGAGATTCTAAAACATGCCATAATCTGTTAGAAGATCCCACAATAAACAGTGATTATACCAAAATTCCAACATTTTGCATTAAAGATGAAATATTTTTTTATTTTGTCCATCAATATGCTCTATCCTGAAAAATCACCAGGTTTAAATTCTGCCTAAAATAGTCTTAAAGGAATGTTTGCTATCTGATTATTAATCGAATCATTGAAAAAAATATTGGGCGGATTAATCGGATTAAATGGCAAAATGATTATTAGTTGCATCACTAATAAATTTAACCAATATTACAACAGGAAACTTTTAAGACTCTCCCTCTCTATCCTCTATGCTACTTTATCTCTTTGGGTTTTTAATGTTTAACCAAATCTTTTCTGTATTTAGATGAGATAATATTTTTAATGAACTTTCTACAGATGTCATTTTATAACAGAGGAACCAGATAGTCTACTAAACGTATAACAAAGATTACATTGCTGCAGCACCATTAAGGTATTCAGTCACGCTGATGAAGTCCAGATCCATGTGTTGTTTAGCCACAGGATGGCACTGTTGTTAAGCCGTCGACACTGCCCTCAGAGAGCTTTTACAGACGCTGATCTTTCAATGTCTAAAAATCTAAGTCAGGTTGTGTAATTAAGCACTCATTAATATTATTAGTTGGTATAATTTTCTTATTTTAAGTGTTCTTGATCTTTTTGACCAAATTAGTTTCCTTAAAAAGAAGGTTTTTAGTCTGTGGTGGTTTTATGCCATCTTAGTTTGCACTGTAAAGGACAGCTGTGACCCCTAATCACCAGGAAGCATATCATAGATAAGACATTATATTTCCTTAATGATATTTTAATCATAATGTTCAGAGTAAAGATATTCTTCTTCTTTTCTTTTTTTTTGGTACATTTTATATTGAAATTGATGCCCAGGGTTCCATATTAATTAAGCTGCTATGGACCTGTTCACTATTAGAAAGAATGACTGAAAGCTGTAAGCTGCACAATCTTGTTGTTCACTGAAATTCTATTGGAGTGAAACAACTCTTGGCTTTCATTAGTTGCATCTTTGGCTAGCCTAACACTGCTGTAGGCTAACAGGACCTCTAGGCTCTGTATCAGTAGACTTGTCTTATGGCATCTTGCCCTAACTACTTCATCTAATTGAAGTAGGTAGATAATTAAAGTGCAAATTAAGTGGTTAACCAAACTTTTGAGCCCATTTCCCCTATGACTCAAGCTGTATTAAGGAGAGAAAAGGCAGTTTTGGAGCTGAGGTTCTGATTATCCCTGCTACTCTACAGAACACCAGTTGTGGAGACCTTTGAGTATGGCTAGCTGGCGGTCCAAGGGACAGCCGGCTTCAGCCTGAAGCTGCTCTGAGTGTTTTTAAGTTCACCGCCTATAAGCTGGGCTTTACTGACCGGCCAACACACTCTGACAGCGGGTCATCAGCAACAATCAGCTGTAATGACAGGCAAAAAAAACACATTGAGCAGACAGATAAGAGCCATTTAAAGTTATGTTGGCAGGTATTAATCATCAATCATGCCCCTAACAAAAAAAAAGTTCTCAAACTTTATCCCCATTTGAGCCTCTTAATAACTCACTTTTTTTATAGCTCATAAAGCAGCCATTAGAATGGATATTTCTATGGAGCTCAATTCAATTCAGTTTGATTACATAGCGGCAATTCACAATACATGTCATCTCAGGGCACTTTAGAGATCATACAGTCAAATTGATTTTAAAATTTTCTATCTAAGGAAAATCCGTTGATTACATTGACTCTCTGCAAATCCTCATACCAAGCATACTTGTTGTAACAGTGGAGAGGAATAACTTCCCTTTAACAGGTAGAAACTTTCAGCAGAATCAAGCTAAGTGTGAGTGGCCATCTGCCGAGGCCAACTGGGGTTTAAGGAGATAGAAGCAGACATATAGAAAGAAGCAGAGATAAAAAGGGAACCAGCTCCTTTAGCAGCCCCGTCCAGGAAACACACAGGGTCCCTTAGCGAAAGCTATCACAGCAGATCCAAACCTTTAAAAAAAATGGTCTATTTCTTACAGTGATTCCTCGTTTCCAATGCAGACAGTCAGGTCATCCTAAGGTTCGTGCTCTCCCTCACTGACTCACAAACTTTATTACTGCAATGTGTTTACTGGTTTCTAAAATGTTTCTGCTCGGAGGTCCTTCAGGGACAGCATGACCACCTCCAGAATGTCCACCTCTCGGCACAGTAATCTAAAGGTTCAAACCAAATTGGTAATGCCGCCGTGCAGTACCCGAGGTCGGCCTCCTCAAAGCAGATAGACTCCATCACAATGGGCTTTGGTGAACAGCAGCTACAACAGGTACTGTTGCAAGCCAGCTCAGCCCAAAACACATGTGCACCGGTGTCAGAAATCCCACTGTTTTGTATCCGTATGTCATTGTTTACCCGCAATCTGTGACATGCTAGCAGTCTGCGCTTGCGCTCTGATAGAGGTAAGGCGGCTTGTCTGGCAGGCAGGATAGTGACAAAAAAGAGGTCAACAGCTGTCTCTTCTCTCCTTACTTGGGCTCGAGTCCCACGCCAAATTAGCTCAAAAGCTTTCAGCTTCGTCTTCACTCATGTTAAATTTCTTAAGAGTTTTACAGCTGTGACGTATCGCTGGTATTTCCAATGTATCCAACTGCATCCAGAAACCCTGTGACATCACCGCTTGGAGTACTGCAACATAATGGAACCCTTGCCAAAAAATGTATGAACAATGCTGCGTTTTTTCTTTTACGTTTATATTTTTCACATTTGTAATACCATTTTTGACAATAGTAAGACTCAGTCTTGTAATTTAAGTTAGTTTGGTTAACTGTTTCATTTCCACTTTCAGCATTTTTTATGAACAGATCCAGATATGTCATGATATGGTAAGACTGAGGCTTTCTACTGTGTTGACAATTACAGATTTCTTAAAGTTGTACAGAAGTCATATTTAAATTTCAAATCATTTTGGCTTAAACATGTATATAAATGTACTCTTTATCAGACGATATTGTCCCAAATGTCCAAAAAAAATACTGTCTTAAAATCTGTGTTTTGTTTTTTCCCCCCGTTATTTTATACAGGCCAGTTAGTTATATGTCAGCTTGTACACCTAAATCATATACCAATGGCCATCTGTCAATCAAATCTTTTTGGTCATAGCATCTTGATTCATATGTTGCAGCCAATATACACAACGGTTAAATAAGAAATAAGAATCAATTTACTTTACCATTGAGTTACATCCCAGTGTTCACGGGGATGGACGTCTGTGTCTTCGGCAGGCGTAGAGCTAACAGAACTGACAGCGTTGCGAGGCAAGGACTCAAACATGTACAGCTGTAAGCCTTCTACACCAAACCAAGCTTCTGCCGCCCTGGCGTCCTCTTCCACAACAACTTCGTCCCTGCTTTCCTCCTCTAAATAAAAAATGTATGGCAGAGGAGACTCATCCACGACCTCCTACACAAAACTCTCCTCTTCTTGCATGTTTTTGCTGTCCATAGCGTTACTTGACAGTGTCGTTGTGCTACTTGGTCCAAATGTAATTTCCCATTGGAAACCTACTTGCTCTAAGTGGCTAACTGGTTAGCAAGATGCTTCCGAGACACTGGCCACAACCAAACTTGGTTGCGAACCTTACGCCACAACACATCCCGCCCCCTTGATAATCGACCAATCGAATTCACTTGTGTAAAGTCAAGCACCACTCAGGAGAATTCGGAACTGCAACCGTTGGAACAGCCACTTAACTTTGACTTTAATTCCTAGTTTGAGCAGTTAAACTGATTAGGGCTGGGCAATATGGCCTAAAAATAAAATCCCAGATTTCCCCCCAACTTATTAACTTCCACTTGATCGCTGGCACTCCATTGTACATATTTACTTTAAACACAGCAGTACACCTAAATAACACCGGTTGAACTTTTACCAATATAGACATGCTATACATCCTTAAAAAGCTTAGATTCTCCACAATTCCACCACCAAGTTCATTTTATGGACACTATGAGCACCAAAGTACAAATAATAAAGATATAGCAGCGTATTAAATCAGAATTTAAAAAAAATAAAGCTTCGACGTTGTACCTTTGAAGCGATCCCGAGGCCGTATTATGTTCTATTTGTCCATAAGGCTCCACAGATAAAAATTTATCCAGCATATTCATAATCAAAACATTCCATGATGTGAGAATCACCACATAAAGCCATTTATTTTTTTTAACCGTTGCACTTTGCATTGTCTTTGTACTTAATTGTGCTATACAAAAAAATTGCCTTGCCTTGCTATCAGAAAAGTCCCATCCTTATAGCTAACCATCTTGTTAATTACCCCAACTTCTACCAACATTTCCGGTTGACATTTGGTCCAAGGTTTTAATCATATTAATAAACCACATCTTCTCTCCGCAGTATATATTGGCACCATGTCTTTAGGTATGTGCAAAGCAACCGCTTCAGTGATTGTTTTCCACCCTGCTCTTTTCCTCTCATATGCGATGCTTTGTGCAAAAGTTTAGGCTATGGTTGGCTGTTTCATAGCATCGTTAGTTGGTTTGTACGGGGTTGTCCGGAGAGACTGGCATTTTCATATTCCGCTGGATGGCTCTGTTTAAGATGCAGAAAAAAGGTTTGTGGTGCTGCTGCCTTTAAGTGCGACGGCTTGTTGCAGCGTGGGGTTTCTGGCTCCACGTCTGTTGCAGCAAACCCAAACCTAGGGATGATTTTTTTTCCCTTTTTCAGGACTACCTTCCCACTCTCCTCGGTAGCCATGATGTCGCTTGCCGAACTGGACCGTGGGAATAATATTCCAGATACAGAAGCTCCTGGGAGCCAAAATTGTGATTTACAAAACATTTTTTTTCTTTTTTTCTCAAATTGCCCTAAAAATTTTTTTTTGAATTAATTCATTTAATTGATTTTTTTGCTCAGGCCTAATACTGATGTCCTGTTACTGTCTCCTGCTAACCTTCTACGCCTTATTAATGTTTCGATTGAGGCTAATTGCCATTCTCCCTTATTTGGAGAATGGCATAAATATCGTTTATGGAACTTCCTCTTATGTTTTATAGTCTAAAATACAGTCACAATGCTAAATAGTGAAAGCTTTCTTAATTAGGTTTTACCATTTTGCCTCAGCTTTTCCCATCTTTCTCTGTCTTTGTAACGTCCCACAATTGTTCCCAGCAACTTATGATTTAACTGTTCTCATTTAAATAGTTTGACTTTAAAAGCTTTATTTCAGAATATAGCAGAAGGTTCCAGCACCATCTGCTCCATATTTTACCATGTTCAGCAAATTGATGAATGTGGTAGAAAGTAATTATGGGATGATTGTGAAGTTTTTGGTTTTTCTTAAAAGATTTGCCACCTGGAAACTGAGTAAGGATGCCATAATTGCACAAGCAGAAAACAGAATATGCCTAATGCCTTTGTTGAACTGGAATCCGAGGAGGCTTTGGTACCCAGCTGTTTGTTTAGTCTGCTTAAATGTACAGTGTCTGACAGAAGTTTCTTCTCCACAAGAGGCTTTCATTCACTGGCCAGCAAATGAACATCCAGTCTGGGAGAGAAAGGTAGACGATTATTAGCCTGGGATCATGTGAGAATGTGCTTGAGAATGTACAAAGTACATAATATAAGAAGCAGATGTGGGATGTGTGTGACTGCAGCTGTTTAGCGACATACTCCTGCTACGTGCTTTTGCTGCCAGAAGAAGATCGATACTGACAAACAGCTGACCGTAGGGCTTTCATGTCTCACGATTGTGTGTGTATATGTGAGTTTGTGTCCTATTAAATAGTACAAGATGACAATGCATCTGCTCTTATTTTACTTTTTTTACCAGCATCTAACTTTCAAAAAAGGTTTTATAAACCATACCAAGATTTACAAAAGTCACAGACTGGCTCCCAGTCCAGCCTTTGGAGGGTAAGTATATAATCGCTAGCATTTGGCAGAACATTGGGAGTAGTTGTGTTAGGTTGGAATTATTTTTTTTTCTGACTCAGCCTGGCATAGCTGGGGATTTTCCCTCATAGACAGCCTTAGTGGACCCGACAACACATTCCAGCAGCACTAACTGTGGATAATAACTAAGCATATTTCTATAATAACTTGAGATAATTAGCAATATGAGCTGCTGTGGTTTTGTGGGCCTCATATTATTTCCCTACATATTGGAAATCAGGCTCAATTAACTATGCGCTGTGGGCCAGAAGGAAACTTATTTTGTTTCCAGTTATTGACAGGTGTTGAACACCACCATGCTATTAGTAGTGAAAGAAAAGAGCTCCATTTGAAGAAAGATTATGGTTCACCAACTTTCTTTTTGCACACAAAAATGTACAGTGAAATATCATCACAGCATTCAAAAGATCCTGTCTGTGGTAGAGATGCATCACTACGATACCCAGATGGGATATCATCTCTGATACTAACTAATTAACTGGATCAGATAGATGACTGATCAATGCTAATGCAGCCATTTGTTTTGCGTTAATATCTTAGAAATATAGCTTTAGCAAAATACTAGCTTCAGGTAACTGCTAAAGTTTATTTAGAATATGTGTTTGTGGAACACTTTACATTGAAGTGTTATTTCTTTTTACTGCTAATGTACACTTTATTTATTAATGTGAAATATATTTATATCCAAATTTATTTAAGTGTTCAGACTTTATGCATTCATTTCGGTTTCTTAATTAGAAACATGTTATTGCATTAAAGAAATGTAAGCAATCAATTGCATTTTCTTATATACATACTAAAATCCCAAGCTAGAACCTTTATACTTGCCTTTCTCTTGTGTACCTGGAAATCTGAAACACAAGCGGCATCACAGGTGTTGGTCCACTGAGGATATCATAGCTTAAAAACCATGGCTTGATCCGAATACCTCTAATCGGTATGAACATCTAATGCCAAGATGTTGCTTGGACCCTTAGCTTACCTTAAGAATCCCCCTTAAAATTGCAATTATTTCCTACACAAGTTTGTGTGAGAAATAATTGGATTGCTTAACCAAAAAATACAAGGTGGCTCTCCCCTGATCTGTTCAGCATCCTTTTGTTTGGTATCCCTTTAAAAGCAGCACGAAAAACCAGCAGACCTTCCGCCTTAGAAAAATTTGTGGGACCTGGCACCTGTTTCTCTTCCTCTTCATTTCAAAACTCGTTCGAGATAAACAAAATGTTTATCTGAAACTTTCTTCATTGCTAACAACTTCGACACTGAAGAGTGTTGTTATTACAACTTACAAGCATTCAGATATAGTGTTTTCGCTTTTTGCAAAAAGCTCAGTCAGGCCAGGTCAGGAAGAAAATCATCCAAGTCCTGTCACAAACTTATTTATTGCTGCATACTTAAGACATGCATTGCGTGCTAAAATGATAATCATGGATCTAAGAACAAGAAGATCGAGATAAAAACTAGTTAAATAGGCTTGTTTTTCAAGTTTTTAAAAAGTAAAAAGCACTAAATCCTGATTTAAGCAACGTTTTGCAAACCATTGCGCCCTTTCTAAGCATTATGCCATACCTTATGTCTGATTGCCAGTGTAATTTGTCAAACTATCACCAACGCTCTAGTCAATTTGAAATGTACTGCATCATTAAATGAACATTTCTTGCCCAAGGAACACTTACTGCCATTCACTTCATGGCATGGCTCCTGTATTTGCAATGGAAATACTGTATACAAGGCCAGAAACGCAACATGTGGGAAGAATGACTTCACCAGAAAGCATCTTATATCTTCACTGGCAAGCAGGTTAGCATGTTTAATGCTAAATCGTGCTGTTTCGGCATTTCTCTCAAGTAAAGAAAAAATATATCTGATTTGTAATTATCCCTTGAAATGGGAATGCTGTCTGGGCTCACGTGCAAAATATTACATCCAAAACCCTTTTTGGCACCTCTATTAGACCAATTAATGCAGTTTGAAAGAGGGCTTTAGGTTAGTTTAGTTTTGACATTCATCACAAGTTTTTTTTTTTTTTTTTTTACTTGTGTGCTGGATGAATTACACCATGTGATGGATGACTGCACAAATTGATTAAAGCATAAAAAAAGATCTCTCCCCCAGATTGGCACGCTATGAATATTCATCAGTTCACCCTAATGCACATTACACTCAATTCGACTTTAAACAGTGTTTTTAAGCTCTGGCAGGGCTACATTTTGGTATTTCTAGGCTGATGCAGAGCAGAGTCTCTTAGCTGTTGTTGGAAACACATCACATATCAGTATGGCAAACCATTACCATTATAATTGGCCTGTTGACTACAGTATGCATGGTGCTCTGTCTAACTCAAGCAGGAATGTGTCCATGCTCTGCTAAACAAAGGGAAGAATGCTTAAGTGGGTTGAATTAAAAGATAAAAACAATGTTTTTCTGTTGGTGTTGTTGTTGACTTTGAAGTGTTTTAGATTGGATGACTGTGAAACCCATTCAGGAATGGGCATTAAGGAATCAATACAGGGATTTGGTAAACCTTTCTCAATATTAATCAGAACAAAACTGAAATAATGATTTTTTTTTTAACCAGAGGATGAGAATTTTAAAATTTAGCACACAACTTTAGTCATTACAGCTAAAAACCACAAATCAGGCTCAAAATCTGGGGTCTATTGATGGACTCAAGCCTGAACCTTCACAGGCACATAAACATAGCAATAATTTCAGCCGTCTAACACCTAAAAATAATCTCAGGAAATAAAGGTCTAATGTCTCAGCAGATTATTGAAAAAACAATTCATGAATTCAGCTTAAGAACTGATTACAGCAACAGTGTCTTCACAGCACCATCAGACAGTTGCAGTAAACCCACAATTCAGGTGTATGCATCCTCACTAGAACTAATAAAGTAGTGCAATCTCTCCGGCTCTAAAGTCGTTACACTGACTTCCTGTATACCCAACTTAACTTTAGAACACTCCTGTTTGTCTATAAATTACTGAAAGCAGAGATCACTGCTTTCAATTGAGATCAAAAACCTATTTGTTTGGAGTGGCCTTTGACAATGTAAACATTAATTTAATTTTCTTTTTCTTATCAATAATTTCATAATTTTTTTATAACAACAATATATTTGTAATTCCTGTTCCTATCGATTCTCAAGTTTTGTCTAAATGAAATGGTCTGAGCTTAGTAATGAAAATCAATTTCTTGAACATCTAATTTTGTGGGAGTGTTTCTATAAATTGTCACAGAGTTATTTAAACCAGAATATAGAAATAAAAGTTATGCCTGAATATAACAAAAATGGCAGATCTCAGTGATTGCCTCAAAACTGTCGGTCAACAGAAATTTAGTTCAGGTACATCAGACTTGTTTACTGTTTTTATATATATATATATATATATATATATATATATATATATATATATATATATATATATATATATATATATATATATATATATACACACACCCTTGAAAATATTATTGATCATCGGTAATAAGATTTTGATCTACAAAAAATAATAACAAATGTCGTTACCATGTTATCAACACTTAAATGCACTTCAATGAGCCAAGATTTAACATTCCTCTTTGAGCAACCAGAACACCCTATTTAAAAGCCTTGCAAGCAGCAGAAAGTCTCTCCCAGCACTGATGGCTGGATTACACTAAAGACGGATAGAAAGGAAGGGGTAAATAGTCTAAAATGGTGAATCCCTAAAATTTTTTTGAAGAATCAGATTATCCCGTTCTTCCTTCTAAGTTTTTCAAGGAAAAACGTTTCAAGTTGACTTTTGTTGTTTAAGATTATTTCAAAGGAATTTTCTTTGCCTCTTTTTTGTACATTACAAAACTCTGGCATGTTGAAAGGCGCTTTTGGGTTTTTAAAAGCTGCTGTGTATGAGCTCAAAACACACAGTATTTACAGAAATAAGTTGCTCAGTCAAAGCATTTAAAAAGATTTAAAAAGATCAAGCTCACTTCAGCATGTGTGTTGCATTAATAGTATTTGTTTACACTCTTAAAACCATTTCCTGGCCTTGTTACAATCCTAATTCATTCAAAAAGACTAACTTTCTGTTTGATGAATAATCCCTTTAAAGCAAAAATGTTCTTAAATTGGGCCATTGTAGGTAGCAGACAGCTTATTGCTAAGTATTAAAGGGCTTTCATCATAATCTTTTCATAGCTTTTGCAAAAGTCTTTTTTCTTCCCTGCTTGTATGATTGACCTGTTTCTTATTCATAGCCTAAAGCTGTTTGTCTTGACACTCCTTTAGAGTTCAAATTCTGTTGATGAACTCAGCAGTGTGACCTCTGAATGCAAACCTTCACTTTATGGGCTTCTGTTTCACCCAGGTATGCATTGTGGCCTTACCTGATTAGATTGCAAGCCTCTTTGGGCAAATCCCTCTTCCAAGGAAAGACATAGTTTCCATTTGAAGTAATGACAGAATAATGGTTTCATCACACCTGCTGCTCCGCCCTCTCTATGTATTTGCATGTACAAACATTAACATCTGGAGACATGCACTCTAGGGTGAAATTCTGCTGAAACCAAGCAAACATGGTTGTTTCACCTACTAAAGCGGTATCACCTTGGAATTAGAAAGCATTCCCCTCCCATGTCTGCGTTCACACTGCCAAAATTCCTGCTGTATCTCTTATTACCAACAACAAGTCCTTATGCCCACTCTGACTGACTGAAGTGGGGCTGCAGCTGTTATTATTTAAGTAATCTTTTGATCTGTCGATTACTATTTTTTATTTCTGTTAATCACTTTATCTAAAAAGAGAAAATTCTTGTTAATTGGTATCTTTTAATAAATGAATCATTTGAACTTAAAAAAATAGACATAATTATCAAAAATGTTTAACTTAATTCATTCTCAACATCATTGACTCTGAAATATTTAATTTCTTTATTTATAGATAATAAAAAAGGCAAATCCATCCATCCATCCATCATCTGACACGCTTATCCCGAATGGGGTTGCGAGGGGTGCTGGTGCCTATCTCCAGCAGGCAATGGGCGAGAGGCGGGGTACACCCTGGACAGGTTGCCAGTCCATCGCAGGGCTACACAGAGACAAAAAGGACAAACAACCATTCACACACACTCACACCTAAGGAGAATTTAGACAAGTCATGTGGACATGGACTGTGGGATGAGAACCCACGCATGCTCAGGGAGAACATGCAAACTCCATGCAGAAAGACCCTGGGCAGGGAATCGAACCCAGAACCTTCTTGCTGCAAGGCAGCAGTGCAACCCACTGCTCCACTGAGCAGCCCCAAAAACGTAAATACGTTTTCTTTAAAAATGATGCCGATTGGTATTAGGGCATGCATTATATCTGGACTCTGGAGGAGTGGAGACCCTGGTAAAGCTAATTGATCTCTATATTTGGCAGCAGACCAGACATTGGCACTTTCCAGAATGCATGGTGTCAATTGCAAAGTTGATCCAGGAAGATAATAATCATGTGGAGAGGATTTTTAAGAGTATGGATTGGCCCTATTGGTTACAGTCAAAGGAACTCTTGATTCTTATCTATAACAAGATATTTTGGAAAATATTATGCGCCTTGCTTGCTATGAACCATCGGTTGGCCCCTTTGGGCCCTTTCTGTTTCAACATGGCCGCTCATCACTGCACAGACCAATTAAATTAACATAGATTTCCTAAATCCAACAACTTTCAATCTTCTTCTATCAGTAATAACACTTTGTTTTGATGTCAGATCTGATTGGTACTAGCTGATCGCTGATCATTCAGTCAAGTTGAAATCATTCATGTCTGATCCCCAGTAGAGAGGCACCAATCCGATACCTGGATCGATCCCTGATTTGCTATCAGATATCAGAGATCCAATCCAGTGCAATGGATAACATGGAACTGTTTATCTTTCTTTTTGCTGCTTATTTCTTAATAAATGTAAAATAAATTTAGAATTTCTTACCCTTTTAACAATGTTTATGTCAAGACTAAAGCCTTCACTGATTGATATATGCTCATTCAACGGTTGAATCGGATCAATATCTGATATCAGCCAATATGGTCAGCCCAGGTTCGGAATCGGATTGGATTGGAAAAAAACAGGATCTGTGCAACTATAGTCCCCAGTTAAAAACTAGATTATTTCATCAGTATTTTGTTCCTGCATTTAAATAAAAGAATGATTTTTGGATATAAAAACACACCTGAACATCCACAATACTGTGGATTGTGGCCTAAAGTCCCAAAGATGTTGGAATTTTTTTTCTCTGCATGTTTTTGTCAACACTTTCAACCAAATGATACAATTTGATTTGAGAATTTATGGCCGCTACCAGGAAAGTTTCACTATTTTTATCCTATGAGAGTAAGACGTGATTTTTACCATCTTTAACTTATTTCTATAAATAAAAGGAGCCGCAGATTTAAATTAATAGAATCAAAAGAAATCCTCAAGCCCTGAATCTGTTTTAGGGAGTAAAGAAGCCGTAATAACAAGCCCTCTCATGTGTGCCCTTCAATGATACTTTTTCATTTTTCTGAGGTTTTGTTTGATCTCCATCTCATGCATCAAGGCCTCGCTCCTTATACTTTACAAAATAAATTGTGAATGAGCCAGCTCCATCTTTAAATATAGGAAACTCTGTGGCTTTGGTCAATAAAGTCCTTGTAGTTATGTTCAGTATTTGTTATAAGGTTTGATATTCCTTTTTTTTTTTTTTTTTTTTTTTTAACAAGAGCGAAGTTCTTTTTGGACCAGAAACATTTAGGTTGTTCACTCCATGTTTTAACATATGCCCTCTGTCATCTTCACATTCTGCTGTTATAAATCCTGTGTGTCGGATAACAGGAGAGCATAAAGACGAAGGCTAAGAGTAGACACTGAATTTTGTTGGGATTAGATTTTTTTTTCTACGTTGTCTTTCTTTTATTGAGGGGAAAGTGTAATTCTGCTTAGAATCATTTTTCATTCTAATGTCTTCTGAATTAATTCCAATAAGATGCCAACTAACTAAGATTGTCTTGGCTTTTTCTTTACATTGCTCATTAAAAACGCCACACTACCCTGAAAAACTAGCTTTGTCTAACTCTATGCCCTGTGATGATCATTACCATGTTTTGTGTCCCATTATTCAGTCCATAAAAAGTTTGAAACAGAATAAGAAGTTTGTAATTATTTAGGTAGATTATTGGTGAATGATTTGTTTATACTGCGGTCAGATAAGCATGTTTGTGTTTGATTTTTAGACGAACAAGGAAAGATGGTTTACAGAAAACCAGGCATTAAGAGGAGTCCTTTTTTAAATAAAAAGTGATCCTTTCTGCATCCTTTTTAGGGAAAAGCGATTCCTGTGGCATCTGAAGCTTGTATTCCCTCAGAGCAGCTCAGAGTACAGTCAGAGGAGGTGAGTTATGTATTATTATTCTAATAACATAATTGCAGTTTATCATATGATGGTATTTTGATTTCATTTTGATGCTGTTGACCTCACATTCTCTCTCTGCCTTATGTTTTTTCCTTCTAGGGTGTCTGACGGTCAAACCTTGACCCAGATTTTGACTGCTTATATTCACCCCACAGAGTCTGATCCTGTTGTTCGTCAAAAGTGAGTTTCTACCTTTTCCAATAAAATTAAGCTTGTTGTATTTGCATAGCATCAGTCTATTTTTTATTTATATTATCCACAATATATTCAGTCTGTATATCTTCTTAATTAAAGTCTGGAAAACATATAGCTACATGCATTTTAGGCTTTATGAGTGTAACACTTGGGAAAGGAATTTGAAACAGTGCACACTGTGATTTATCTTAAACCAATATTATGATTTTGAATTTCTTCAAAATTTTCTTTGCACTAACCACAGCATGCAGATGTTTTACTCTATTTTGTTTTTTTTTTAAATGCTAGCTTGTCCAAAGTCCATTGTTGCAGGACTTCCCTTGAAAAACTGCTAAATTCTACTTGCTAAAGAGAAAAAATGGGGGAAAAAAGGTTGAATGGAAGGCTGATCTTCATCATAACATCTACAATCATAGTCACATTTTATTGTAATTTGAAGCTGTTTTCAGATCACAGGCGTCTTGCGAGAATGCCACTACCTGATACTGAGTTTTTCATAGTGGGATATACCTTAAAACCGGCAACCGGCCCATGCCAAAGCACATTAGGGCTCTTTCTCAATGTGTGTACTTTGGCATCCTCGTGTGCTCGTGAAACATCCTCAGCTTCACCCCGAGCACTGTTCCAATTCACAAGAACACAAGACAGAGAAAGGACAAAGTCCCCGGATGTTATTCTTGCCCCTCCCTCTTTACCTAGTAAGCATCAGAGCAGACTAGTCTGTTCTGAAGATTGAAAGCTGTCCCAGAATGCACCACGGCAGCAGCACCTTGCAGAGGAGCACTCACAGAGTATTAAGTTAGAAGTTCTCTCCGTTGTTCTATAAAAGTACATTTTAAGATCATTTGAGGTGAGAACATTAATTAAAAAAATTTTCAAAAGTTAAGAGGGTGGTGGCAACCAGCAGACCTCTGAGGCTAACCGCAGCCAGGGCCAAGCTTAGCCTGTCTGCAGCAGCCTTCTCTCAGCATAGCCGTGTGTGAAGTACCCCTGGCTCTGATGGACATTTTTCTGTTTTATTTGGATAAAAGCTCTTTTGATGAGTCCATATTTGCGTTCTTGTGAATTGACAAACGTCCCCAGGCCTTACTTGCCTCAGCTGAGACTAATGGTCAGGATTCAGCATTTAAAAAAAAAAAAAAAAATCATTGGAAAAAATTTAAATGATGAGAGATTTATATTAAAAACTACGGCTGACGATGAAGAAACACAAAACTCAATCTCTCATTTGTCAGGATTCATGAAGGAGCAGGATTCTTTGTGCACAGACGTGTTTTATACAGGAGGCCCCTGGTTAATATAATCTCTGACGAAGCAAATGATAGAGAGCAGCAGAAAACAGAATCAAAAATGTTCTCTATGGCAAACTGAGGTTAAATTACACGTAGTGGCTTCTAGTGAGTATAAACCTCTTAAGGAGGGAAATTCCCTCATTTAGAAGCTGGATTTTTGGCCTTGGATGTATCGGTCAGGGTAACGGTGCGTGTTTAGGCTTTTCTCATACAGTGAACTCTTTGTGTTGTTTTTCTTTTTATGTCGCCACCTGAAACAGCTTCTATCAGCCTAAGCTATATTCTCATTTTCTTTTTTACTCTTTTAATTCTACTTTTTTAATCGTCTGTCTGTCTGAAAGGGTTCACATCGTTAAATTTGTTCATGTTAAAATTTCCTGCATTGTTATAAATTCTGTTTCAGGTTGAAGATGTATTCCCATCATCCATTTGATGATGTAAAGGTTTTCATGAAAGCAGAGGGGAGAAAGGCTAACTCTGTGAGGTGAGAGACATTTATTCATACTTTTTTGTATCCTACAGAATACCAATCATACAGTGAAAGGCTTTTTTCCCCCTCCGCATTTGCATTCAGGTTATTTATTTTCAGGTTTCCATCTTTTTTTTTTTTTTTTTTTTTCCCCCATTTCCGGATCTGTTAAGTAATCCTCAGAAAGTGGGTGAGAATCGGATCAGTCATCTCACACCCTGTTCGTGTAACTGCACTGACCATTCGATCAATCTTACTAATCTTGAGTGATTAGCTCGGTATGCTTAAAATCAAAATGTGCAGTTTATGGTCATGATATCACTGCTTGTAAATTCCAGCAAACTTACGCAGAGCTTTGGCAAGAACGACCTCTCAGGATAATTTTTTTTCTACTTACCATATTTGGTTTGATAGCAGGATGTTTAAGCTTCATTTTTATCCTAAACCTACCTTACTTGATTGTCTCCAAATCTAAACAGCTTTTTTTCAGGTTTTCTTCCAACTCTGGTTGGTTTTATGCTATTTTTAGGAGATCGGGTAGTTATGACACCCTTTTACCTCCCTCACTGTTAGTTTATTGAGCTGCTTTCCATTTTCCGTGTTGTCACAGAGTGACTGATGATCATAAAATGTTAACTGCAATCACCTTCTGGCCTAAATGAAACAAATGAAACCTTTCCATCCCATTTTTACAGATACTTGATTCCTTTTTTTTTTTTTTGCACCAATGGGATGAGCTGCACCTTACTTCCAGGTTATAAATCGTATTTTATGACTGCATGGTTACAGACATGACTGAAAGATGAGAGTTGATATTTGCCAAGGCTTATCTCAGGGTGTCAAGTTTTACTTAACACTTTAGAACAACATTTCCCTGTTGTGCTGCTCCTTTAAATTGTTACCCATATAATAACAGTCATTACAAGCTGGTCTTTACAAAGAAAAGTTGCTCATTTTCTTATTAAATTATGTCAGACCTATTACATAAATGCCACACTTATATTTCCAGAGAAAACTGATGTATTTCCCCTTTAAATACTGCTGCAGTTTGAAGTATTTTTAATTGGGTTAATGAAATTCTGCTGGTATAAAAATACCGTTTTATTTTTCCCCACAAAAAGGATGCAAGCACAAAATACACCAAGCGCCTTAACTCTTGTGACATAGATTATGTTGAAAGTTTCCTGTTAAATGCTCTTTTTCCACCACGTTGTCAAAACACTATAGTGGATGCGGATCTATGTGCTGTTGAGGCCTTTAGAGCACAGTGAAGTCCTTATTTTGAAGAAATCAGTTTTGAAAGGATTTATGACATTGTGCAGGAATGAGCAACATTGTTTGTTGTCAAGGTTTAGGTGCAAAAATCAAGGTAACCATATATAATCGATAATTATTTGACTGTCAGCATTTGAGAATATTTCTAATTCAATGTTTAATCTGCTGCACAGATCCAGTCATGTTTTTCATTGAATTTCAACATACATAAGAACTTTGAGGTCATCAAAGTATATATTAAAGGGATAAAAAAAAAACAGGTCACTTAATAGCAAAGAGAGAGCATTAAGTCAGTATGTAAACTAATTGAAATATGGTAGACATTACTTAACTAATTCTCACTAATACTGAAAAAATCAGTTTATTTTCTTAAGAGTTGATGCCGGAACAAGTCTGTTAACTGACAATAATATGAAGTAAGCTGGTAAAACAATATACTAAAGATTAAGGAGGTTATTAAACAGTACTTTTATTTAAGATATACCTGAATTGAGAAGAAGTGGTTCGTCATTACAATTCTCACACAGCAGTTCAGTCTGGAGATAAAGGAAAATCCCACTAGCTAGACATGTACTGGCATGAGTAAATATCCTGGATTGAGACACAGCAAGTTTTTGAAATTTAAGTGTTTCAAAACCGCTTAAATTTTCCATTCTGTTTTAAAGTCCTTTTTTTGTTGAGATGCCAGAAAAAAGTGTTTGGGAGTCGATCATTTTCTTTAGCTGCTCCATTATCCTGTTATTGCACACAGCTAGTAGCACTTTAGTTCTTCCCTTTTTTTGAAGAACAAATTTAGATCATTTCACATCTTTTATTAAATCTTATGATTATACTATAAAGCTGTGATAAATAGTTTTAGGTTATTTTACTGTTAGGGTTCGGTTTTTATTCAAATTTCAAAGTTCGATGGATTAATTCAGAAGATTTGGAACCTATTTTTTTGGATTCATTCCTATTTAGTCAGATCTTAAATTGGATATTGGTATTGCTGACATTTTTACACATGGTTTATAGTTATGCAACATATAAATACTAGTAATATATTAACATTAAGAAGGCAATAAAGCAATGATAGTTAACTGCAGATGTAAGGACAAAGGACAATGCTTTTTTAATTGATATTTGGTTATATGAACCAATTATTCTGGAGTTAATATAAGAATCAATTCAGAATTGAAAAATGCATCCATCTAATTTCTGTCACGCTTAGGTTGCTGGTGCCCATCTCCAGCTTTCAATGGATGAGAGGTGGGGTACACCCTAGAAAGGTCGCCAGTCGATTTATTTATTTTTTTCTTTTTTACACAGCCACAAATTTTATGACGCATGTTATCATGTTTTGCTTGGTAAAGATTGAATCCTTATTTAATCCTTAAATATAAGAGGTATAAAAGTGCATTTGGCCTAAAAAAAAAAAACCTTGTAAATATTTTTGTTAGTTTGTGCAGTTTTGTCAAGCCAAATAAATACACTAATATGTTAAAGGCCTGACATACATTCGACAGGCTGTCAAACTTAAAACAAAGCATGATTCATAACAGAAACAACAATACTAAAGGATAGCATTTTATATACTGGAAGTTAATCAAGTAAAGGTACGTTTCATTATAGACAATATCAAAACATTTCTGCTTTTGTTGTTTTTATCATTCCCCAGTCAGGAGTCATAATCTTTCATCTCTTATAAAAGGCACCAGATTATAATCAGCACCAATTTAAGGAACCGCAATTCAAATGGAGTGTTTGATCATAGTTAATCAACTTGGCGTACTTAAAACGGTTCAGTGATACGTTTAGCTCACCAGCCTAGGCAATATGCCATAGTTCATAAGGACAAAATGCGACTTTTTGTGTTGTTTTTATGAAGGTTAAGATTTTCCCCCCCTTTTTTTTTTGCTCCACAAGTAAAGGTTTTACAAGTCACAAGTGCTTTAAAAAAAATTTAATCAGTGCAGAATGATCTAGTCAGAATTTAACTGATGATATATCATGTGTTTTGTTTGTTTATATTGTTGTCCTTTTTGCACAAAAATACATTTTCATGCCTCAAAGTTTGTTTTGAATAATTTTTTTTTTTATCCAAACTGATCAAATTATAGTTTGAAGTCTAAGTTTTTTAGATATTAAACTAGAGATGGACAAATCCATTCCAGGCCAAGTAAGAACTATGAGCTGGACCTCCTAATTAATTTTACTTTACTATCTCTGTCTTCACAAATTGGTCTTTTCCATTAGAACCTCCTGGGGGACAGTATACCCCCACCTACATGTGGGTGGAGTAATGAGAGCAAGCTCCCCTAAAAAGTAAACCAGCCATAATTTGTATGTACCACAATCCATCTTCTAGATTCCTTTGTATTTTTTCATCAGCCACCAATCACAAAAATGTCTGCACCTCATCGTTGGACTGCAGTGTAGATGTCAGTATTAACATTTTCCTAAAAGCTTGAAATATGCTCTGCCACTGTTGCAGGTCTTTAAAGTGTTTTTTTTTTTTTTTTTTTGTTCTTGCTTAGGCTGACTTTGTTTGAATCCAGTAAGTAGGTGCTTAAAAAAGTTGTATAAATACTGTAAGGAAAAAATTAAAATAAAATTAATTTGAGTAGGTACATAAACAAAGCATTAATGCTGGTTGTAATTCCTAAATTCAAAGGCTATTTGTAGCTTTGCATTGAGATAAATTTCTTTCTTACACTCTCCTGTTTACAGCTGTCAGATCAATCTAAATGAACACACCACATATATTTTCTCAAGTAACCATTTAATACGACACCTTCTGGTCTATACAAACTGGATCCCATGGTGAACCAGCCTTTTGGAGGTTAGCAATTCTTCTCCAATGTTTTATTTTTCTATCATGTCTCATAAAATCTTATGTTTAGGGATTTTGCCTAATAATGCATCTAAAGGCATGGCTCTATCTAAACACAATTTTGAAATTGACCTTAGATGCTTACAAAACCATGACATCATCATCTAATGCTGGGAATCCAGTAATCTTAAATGGGAAACATTTCAAACACTCTCAGACAGTCAAGACAAAGCATTTGTCTTGTATGCAATGTATGAAATACTACTTAACCTGAGTTCAACCTTAGGTCAGCTGGAGTTTAACGTAAGAGCTCCTTTGTTCTCCAATATGAATCTGTACTGATGAGTCACCACCAGTTGTTTTTTTTTTTACTGATGAGTTGGATTTATTTAAGAAGTGAATTTTATAAACGATTTCTAATAGCTATTAGCTTTCTTTCTATCATTGTGGGACAGCAAGTCTGGAAGGAATGTTTAGCCTTTGTCTGGACAAGTGAATCAGTGACTGGTATAAATCATCATCTCCCACTTTTCACTTTGGATGCTTAGAGTCTTCCTATCCCATCTGAATTTCCATCAGCAAGATGTTGCATAACACCAAGATGTTTGTTAATGAATATGAATGATCAGGATTAGGATGCATGTCATGGGAATTACTTTACATTAACTTGATGCAGTTACATAAACAGGCTTGGCCACTGATTCGCCTTTCTAATTTAAAGCTGACATCTCAGCCCAAACAAAGTGTTTCAGTTCCAATGCAGGCCAAATCCTTTTGAAAACTGCTTTCTTTAAAGAAAACTCTTAATTAGCCTTGCACTGTTGATTTAATGGAGTCATGGACAGTGGAGGTAACAGCTTCTGGGAGTGGATTTACCACAAAGGGCATGACTGCATGTTGTTGTTGAACGACTGTGTGAAATATCAGCACGGGTCGAGAAAGAAGTTTTTGTAGTTAACTAAACATAGCAGTGTTGGCAGCATCCTCTTACTGGAAACCAGGGCTGTGCATCAAAAGTACCTTTCACACATTCCTGGATGTTTGTTTGTGTTATTTTTTTTATGCATTTTTTCCCCCACTCCTGTGATGAAGAGGATGCCTTCTCCCTTTTTTCCCTGACATCTGCTTTTCCTCTTAGACGGCCAAATCCTACACAGCATCCATGCCTCCTGATGTGTCATATTTACAGAGGTTGTTTTTACATTTCTGGCCTAAAAAAGGAAACACCTGTCTTTACTTTTTTTTTTTTTTTTTGGTTGTGCCACAGCCCTGTGAGACAGGGATGTTTTTGTCCTGCGTAAGCTGAGCTTTCTCTTACATATTTTGTGCAAAACCTTTTCCGAAACTGACTCACTGGCTATTGCCCATCTTGCCCCTAACCTCGTATGTATTTCTGCTTAGCAGATGCTTCCTCATGTCTCCTGATATGTCTGTGTGTTGTTATTGAAATAGTTCTAACTCTACTCTTGTGAATGAACGCATGAAACTTCAAGCAACTCAATAGTGGCATTAATTTCTTTCCTGGAGTTTTTCCACAATAATGATGTTTACATTTGCAAACCCTCTCCAGCAGGAGTTGCTGCTCGCTTTCCATGTTTTCTGTCCTGATCCTTCCACGTAATTTGACCTTGCAGGCCTCGCAGGGCATAAACCAAGTCTTAGAGTTGTCACAGTTGCACTAAAATGATGTTTCGCTGACATCAACGTAATGGCTGAGGAGACTTTTATTGAACACTTTACCTGCTTAATCACTCATACACCTGAGAAACCTGTAAGTTCCAGCTGTTCTTGTTTAAGTGTTCATATCTAGGTTCATTTAGATGCCCCCCCACTATACATTGCTCAGTAACATTCTTAATGTTGTGTAAATCAGCAGTCAGCATGGAAATGGCATTAGTTATACCAGCAATATTAATTACTTAATACTTAATATTATTTAAGTTATAAAGCTTTGCTGTTGTTCCTTGAATATTTTCTGGTTTTAGCATATATTTTATAGTATATTTTAACTAAATTGGCCGTAGATTTGCTAAAAGCTGATGTGCAGCACTTCTACATGTGCAATAAAGTTCCCAGGGTATGGGGGTGCAGGGATTATTCGCTCGACCCCATGTTTAGAGGCTTTGGTTCTTCGATGCGACTGATGCGGCCTGTCGTCCAACTCTCTCTGATCCCCTTTCCGGTCTGCCTACTTTAAAAAATAAGAAAATCAAGGCTACTACAGCCTTACAGACAATCTTAAAAAATAAATACATCTCCCAAATTAGGGAGCTCATTACTCCTTAATCACCTCATTAGAAAGAAATATGATGTTCTCCATTATATGTTGGTGTTAAATGTCCAGTCTACTGTGATGTTTGTGTTCCAGTCCAGCAGGAAGCATGAATTTCAATTATGACAAATATAACCTTCCATACATGCAGAGATTTTGTAAACATTGTTTGAAGGGACCCCAGCATCTTGACAGATGTTTTCTCATTTCGAATCATACAAAAGATTAACATTAATGTTTCCATTTAATGATCTAGTTTTGGTAATTTATCATTTTCCTTATTAGGTGGATCAAAATAGCTTTTAACATTTGCCCTGTCACACCAAGAGGATGTTACTGGCTTTTGAACAGTATTCAGTTTGTAGTTTACTCAGCATCAGGGTGTTCTAGTTTACTATTTATTTAGCATAGTAAGAAGCTTAAAGAAAGTTCCCTTGTTTCTTCCTTTAATGTCATAAAACCTCTGTTTTTAGAGGGAACTTGGCAGAATTTAAGGGGGGAAAACACAAACTTTCCCTGAAGAGAACATTAACGAAGCCTTCTGTTTATTCAACAGAACATTATATAGACACCAGATGTGTGCACGTTCTTGGGCTGCACAGCTGTGTGTGTGTGTGGAAGTGGACAGAGGTTTAATAATCTCATCGACACCCCAGGGAGCCACACTCTGCTTTCTCTAATAGTTGTTTACAAACAGGTTTGTAGAAAGAAAAATGTTATTAGATTTATTTTTAGATTTATTTTAACCATAAACTAAATGCCATGGAACTAATAGGCGCCCTGTAAGCACATTTTTAAATGCAGTTTTCTGTTTTTGATTTGACCTGTTTTTCTTTTACTTTTGAAACACCTTCTTTCTGAATGAATTCCTGCTCACAGCCTTTAAATAAAGTCCATGTCTTTTTTTTATAACTTGCATCATAAACATTATTTATTCCAGGATGAACTTCAAACTTTTAAGGTTTTGTTGGTAAAGTTACTTTTTAACAAATGAATATTCTTCATTTCAGAGCAGCTTCCAAGAATCTTTGAGTGACATTTATAACGAGCATGCTTTAATAAAGTTCCTGAATTCTCCTGCAGGTCGAGGGTTACTTGCAAATGTTTTCATCAGTCTTGTTTTAATGGTTTTGTTTTAATATTCATACTTTGTCTGATCTTTTTCTATATTTAAGCATTATTTTCACCTTTACATGCCTCTCTTATGCATATAAGTCTTGGCTAAATACTACATCTGTCAATTTGGATGATGCCAAAAAAGGATATATGTTATGATGTTGAAAAGGAAAACATTTCATGTCAATTAATTTCTTAATTACCATCTGTAAAACCCTGCACTTTCCATGTTTTCTAATTACGTGTTTTTGTTTTGTTTTTCTGTGCCCGATTCTCCATTGGATTTGACAGGTACCAAGAGCTGGATATTGAGAAAAGCCTAAGGGACAACCTCAGCTACAAAACAATCATAGAATATCCTGTCCTGCATGTTGTTCTCAGAGATCACTGGGAGGACTACCCACTGAAAGGAACAGGTAACAGAATTAAAAGACTATTTTGATATGAAATACGTGGCTCCCCACCCTAATCCCCTGGGAGGTATTTCCGTGTGTTTGGTTTGTTTAGGTTGTGTGTGTGTGATAGCTGAAAAAAGTGCTCCTCCAGGGACCAAAAAATGCTAGAACTGCCTCTGTTATGACTTGTTGTTTTTTCTTTTGCTCTCGTGCTTCTAAGCAAATTAAGTGAATGCAGTTCAATGAGTCAAAACCCAGCAGTCCTAAAACTCCAAACCCACTCGTGTCTGCCAATTCCAACACCATTGTATCATGTCCTTCTTGCTCCTTCTGAGGCACTCTGTTCCCTTATTTTTCTCTATGGCAACATGTTACACCAACGGAAATGAGCGTGTTCTGCTCAGGATCACACACACCAGCTTAACCTCGACAGAAACAGTAGCCAAACAGAGAGTCAAACACAGCTTGCCTTTTCAACAGTGACTTCATGAGTTCTGGAAAGGAGAAAACAGGATATAAGTCTTTGTTTCCCCTCAGTTCTACTTAGTTTCCTCTGCCCCTGAAAAGTTTTAAAGTACAAAGGTGTCAGTCGTGTGAAGGCTACTATACACCATAAAAAGGCTGACTGATTTTCTGGTCTAAACCTAGGAATGGTTTTGTGTGGGGTTCAGTTTAATTTGGTAGATTAAGAATAGAACACAAATCTTGCTTTTAATAAACTGTCAAAACAAACTGTCAAAATGACAAATGAGGTCATTTTTGTCTGAGTGTGTTTTGGGTGATAAGACCCTGGTACCATGTTTTTCTCCTATAAACTTGGCCATAATAACGTCCTGATAATTACACATGCCAAGCTCTGGGAAGCAGGGTAGGAAGTGATAACAAGCAGTAAGATACTGTGGCAGAGGCATATCTGCCAAGGATGAATTCATGGTGAGAGGCCTGCAGTCTATACACAGCATCAGCATAGTTATATTTAACATGAAGAAGCGGAGTCTATGAATAAATAGGGTTGAGTTGATTTTGTGAAACAACATTTTAGCCATTTGCTTGTTTGGTATCTGAGCTCTGTGAAACAAAAGAATGATAAATGATTATTGCGACTTCAACACAGCAATAAATGAAGCGGAGGCTGCAGCCTGGCTTTAGTCAAACCAAAGTATGGTAGTGATTGAGCAAATCCACAGAACAGCCAGTTCTGCTGTACAAAGTACATTTTACTTTGTTTATTAGAAAGATGTTCGATTCAGACTAAATCAATTTTAGATGCCATTTTTACTGCAATTTATCCAAAGCTAAGGTTTAATTGTGACCAGTCAAACTTAAGTCCACCATTAATGACAGTCAGTCTGCAACAGAATGGTCTAAGGTTATTGCCTTTAAAGTTCTCTTTTGGAATAGAAAATAAAGAAGCTGAGTTTTCACTTGTAACAAGTGACACAACCATCATGTTTATGTGCAAAGCTGCATCATCCTCATTGATTTTTATGCATATAATTAGAGATGAAATATTCATCTGCTGCAAAAAAAAAGAATAAAACTGAATTCACTTTAATCTGATACTGATCCAGAAGCTTTTGAAAGAGCTGTTTCCAACCTGCACAGCTGCTTTTTAGCTTCACTGAAAGCTGTTTTATAGGTATCCTTTCCTGGCCTCCAGGTCCAAATACATATACAAATAGATAAATGCACAGCAAATGCAAAAAACTACTGCAAATACAAATAACACTAGAAAACAAAACTAGATTAACACAAAAACAGAGGAAAATGCTGCAATCACAAAAAGTGGAGAAAACCAAACTCCCTGCAAATCTCGCAAATGTCTGCAAACACATAAATGATGCTAATACGTAAAACATGTGCAAAACAAATGCTATTAACAACTGCATCCTAAGAAAATGTACAAACTAGCTCTGGATAATAGAATTGCTCCAGATCACTAGGGGGGGATGACCACAAACTCACAAACCCAAAAAAAGTTCAAATCAGAATTTACCTTTTCTTTCTTTCCTGGTCTGGGCCAGAATCCCATGTATGTTTTATACTAATGGCCTGGTCCACTGACACTGATATGTATTAGTATCTGTTTTGTTTTCTGGTCCTATATCAGTTAATAATCATCTCTCCCTAGTGGTGTAAAGCACTTTTCTTATCTGGAACTAGTTTGCAGCTTTTTCAACTTGCAGTTATTTTGTGACCTGCAGCAATTTTTCTTTGCATGTGTTAGCTGTTAGCATCATTTATATACTTATACTATAAGTGAGTTTTGTGTTTGCATGCATTTCCATGTTGCTACTCTCTTTCTTTTGTGATTGTCACATTTTTCCTTCGCATGTGTTTTCTGTTAATCTGTCTTTTGCCTTTCCACGGCAAATTTTTGTCTTTGCAGGACTTTTTGTATTTGCTGCATATTTGTGTATTTGCAGCCTGTTTGAAACCCTCAGACATTTTAATCTGTGGCCATTGGCTGTCTGACTGCCTCAAAGCACACTGCAGTCAAAGTTCAGTTTTGGTAAAGTTTGACTACAGCGTAGTGCAAGGTTCACCAAGCAAAGTGCATGCACACTATAAACCTGTGGCAGGTTACGCAACGCTACAGATTCAGAGGGCATTGTAGCCAGCGCTGCTTTTGGCCTAAAAACCCATTGACCTAATAACATTTCCCTGGGCTCCTAATGAATATAAAAGATAATTATTCTCAATCACAAATTTACCTTCAGATATGGTAGAATATATATTTAATGCTTTTGCTTTTAACCCTCACTTTTGTGTTTTTATGTGACTCCACTCAGTCAACATAGAATTATAACTGTTTGTAAATTTTATGTTAAAAGGACATATTTTTAATTGTTTTTATTTAATATTATCTTTTACTTAATACAGAATAGCAATAACTCTTCAACATACCATACAGATACAATTCTGCCTTGCTTAACATTTATTTTTTGGTTTCCTGACTTGCATACATTAACTTGAGTAAAAAAGTATTTTATAACCATCTTGCTTTAAAAGTAGTTTTAAAGGCTTTGTTTAGAAAAATGCAGCAATTCTTTCATGTCATTATTCTCCAAATTCACTCTTTAATATTAATCCAAATGGAGCTGTTTTTAAAAAAAATCCCTTGGTTATCTAAGCTTCTTTCCTTAAATTAGGTTTAAAAATTTACACACGTATTGTGCTGTATATTATACCAGATAAAAATAAAATCTTTAACCAGTATAGAAAATTATTGTGTTTAATTTGACAGTGAATCATTGTCAGCTGTTTATAATTGGCTTAATTCAAAATCATTGCGGCTTTAAAACAAAAATAAGCTTAAAAATAAGATAATTGCACTCCCAAAAAGACATTAATGTTAAATTCTTATTATGTCATTAAAGGAGCTCTGCAGGTTAACTTTAAGTATCCATTGTAAGTTTGACAATGAATTGGACATTGAAATTGTTACTCCTAAGCAAAGTTACCTTTATGGGTTTTTTTATGCTTCAGTTGAATAAAACGCATTTTTGGATTTCTTAGTGTTAAGTATTTAATCCCATTTTATATGTAGGACTGCTTTAGCTGTATTTATAGTTTTCTGCATCATTACATTAACATGTCAAACTGATTGTGATATGTAAATGTTTGGCATAAAACCAGACCTACGTGTTAATTACTTACAATCTTTTGTTCTTTTTCTTTGTTTGGGAATGCATTTTGTTTTGCTCCATGTTTTTGTGGCTCATAGAGATTAGTGATCATTTGTACACGTGTACAGACAAGAAACAGTTTTACTGTCTGCTGTTAACACAGAAAAAAAATGTTATTCAGAAGTTGGGTCATGTCGTTTCAGCTCAACCTGTATCGGCCTGCACAAGTTCTGCAACGAGGAATGTTTCTGGGGACCAGGAGGAGGAAGAGGAGGGGGGGCAAGTCCTACAAACACAACAAGGGTCTAAAACTCCAGAGAAAACAGACATTCACACAAGAGCCCAAGACATGACTCCTGAAACAGAGCCACCACTGCAGGAAAAGGCCAAGAGGAGCTTAGGAGTGGAAGAACAAGAGGAGGGAGAGATCATAGACAGCAGTGATGAAGAGGAGGAGAATAGCAGAGAGATTCAGTGTTTAAACAAAGATCTTCCTGGTGATGGAGCTTGTGGAGAAAGTGTTGAAAGTCACAACGACCAGTCTGTTCTGACTCATCATTGTCAGCTTGGAAATGAGTCAGCTGCTGCTTCACTGAGCTGTCAAATGGAAGGATGACATTCAAAGGATACTGTTAACATTGTGATTAAGCACATTTAGAAGGAATGAGTCAAAATGTGCCATTACTCAGCATAATGCAAACGGACTGTTAAAAAATACATTACTAGATAGAACCATGCGTCTGTTTTAAATGTTTTCTCAAATAAAATTGTTTATCAAACGATTTAAGTCCAGATATATGTTCACCTTAAGAAAAAGCAAGAAATTATAGTTTAATTATCAAAGTCATATTTTATAATCAAAGACGGGGAACAAATGATGTTTAGTCATGGTTTTTGATTGTTATAAAATAGCTTCCTTTTAAGATTAAAGAGAACATTCCTTTCTGTTTAGTACTTATTAGGTAATCTTTTCCTGTTTTTTCTTTTTAAGCGAGAAGAATGGCCAAGAATAACCCTCTGGCCTTTGAAGCTTAGAGCATCTCATCTGTGTTTGCTCTGCTTAGATAATTAGGCTCCCTTTTCCATCTACTAATAAAAGTTCATGTTGACATGTTGGATTTTCTGACACCTCTCTGTGTCTACCAGCATGAATGCACTCGCGCATGCAGAGCCTCGATATACTGTTTTCTTGGCTAATGTTAGCTTATTATGACGAGGTGCCAGTAATAACCATCACTCTAGGCCCTCACAGGGGTAGTTTTTTTATGGATGTGTTTTTAAAACCCCTGCTAACCTCTTTTTGACGTTATCCCAGATGGATGGGGCCCTCTTTGATGTCTGGCCTGTGGTGACGCATTTTCCACCCTTTTTTGCAGTCGGTGCGTTAAGCTCCCATATGGTCGCCCTTGCCCCATGAGTGGACTAAGTTTTTAATGCTGCTGCTTTGTAAATTCATGCTCAGCACAGTGGCTTCATGTATTCATGGTGCCGGCTCCCATTATGTCAAGTTACAGCCCCAAAGTTTCATCTGTATACTTAAGTGATAAAAACACAATATAGTCCACAGGTTTAAAATATTAAAAACACAAAATGTGGTTTTCAAAATGTTAAATGGGTTGACATTTTTAAGTGTGTGTGTGTATTCTGTGCTTTCTTGCTACAAGTCATCAGTGTGAAAACAAAAGTTGAGTACTAACCTCTAAAATGTCTGCCTGGCTAACCTGGAAGCCATGCCAGTGGGATTATTAATCGGAGGTAACTCTAGAGGAGCTGCAGGGTATAACAGATTAGGTGAGAGTTTCTTGAAAACATACAAGATGCCGTACGACAGAAAAAAATATCACAAAACATCACACTAAACCAAAGACATCAAACTCCAGACTGGCACTGATGAGAAATTATTGTATTATTTCTTTTCTGATACATTAAATCAGATCAGAGGCCAATGAAAGCCCAATGCTCTAATCCAAGGTCCCTGAACATCTGTTTCTCAGTTGCTTTTTATAGGTTTGTTGAATTACCGCACACTTTATTTTATCTGATCTTTTAACTTTCTGTGTCCATAAAATGACTCAATGAGACCACAAAAAAGCCAGCTTTTTGTTTCTCCTTGCTGTTAAACATAATCCTGGGCTTTTTTTAGTCCATGGCCTGTGAAAGCGTTGGAAATAATGCCTTAGTTTAACTTAATTGTGCTTTGAACTTTTTGAAAGTGGTTTCCACTTGATTTGCCTTTATTTGGTGGCTGAGGCACAATTATGCAGTGTGCAGAACGGGCTGCTATAAAGGGTGTGAGTTTGCTGTGGTGGCCTAAACAACAGATCGGTTAAGCAACAGCGGAGTAACAAAAATTAAGTTTCCAAAAACCAGTTTATCACCCACTTTCACATTTATGAGTCTAAATTAAGAGTCACAGTTGTGTGGGAACAATAGTAATGGTAAAGCATAAAATTCCCAGGCAGCTTTTAAGGGTTTAAATCAACATTTAAATGATGCATTTAGGCTGAGTTGAAAAATAGCAATTGCCTACAGTGTTTGCTGTTACACAAAGTAAAGATATGTTTGGTGGTTACTAAGATAGTATTCTTTTGAAAACCAAGGCATGCTATCGTAGTCACCCTTTCCCAATGTCAGTTGCACATTAAACACTCGTATGGCTTTGCTTTATCTACATAAGAAGATGGAGAAATAAAGAAGAAAACAATTGCTGTTTGTAAATCTGAGCATTCAAAGTCAGCAAAGCATGACTGAGGGTGAGACTTCAGTTATAGAATGGCTCTGGCAGTGGTGCAGGCGTCTCACTGATGAACACCCACATCTAACGGTTCATTCATAGTCATGAATTAAACACTTTCAATAAATCAAAATTCAAGTCAGAAGCAAGCTCTTTCGCATTTAAAGAGACTAAAACAAAGTTAATAAGCTGCCAGCATCTGACTGCAGTGCTGAGAAGCACCAATTAGGAAGGGCTGTGTTTTTAACGTGGGATCTCAAGTCACATTTAATTTGGGCAGTTCATGCTGATAATTTGGACATTTAGATAAAGTAAATAAAGTGTATACCTGGTTTAATTTTCCATGTTTTGTGTGCTGACACTGAAATTTAATTTATGTTTGGCTATTTTTAACAATTATGTGTTCTCACATTTTTTTTTTGTATTTACTCTGTTGCATTTTTAGAATATGCTGTAAAATTACAGCATGTCAGTATTAAGCATATTGCAATGTCAAGAATGTAAAGAATAGATTTTCATCAGTTTTATTTAGCACTGTCAGGAAAGTCACTGTTTTATTTAAATCTTTTCTGCCACCTGACATCAGGTCTTAACAAAGACTATAACGCATAAACCGAACATCCCATCATCAGGTGTTTGAATGAATATATAAAAGTAGGGAAATTGTTATTTCCCTACTCTGAAGAGCAGCAATCTTCTTTAGAAATAATATTCAAATTATAATCATAAGGATGTTTTTTTATTTAGCTGCCTTTCTTTTTAGATTTCTTAATTGTATTTTGTGTAGTATTTTTTAAACCATTCTCCTTTCACTATATATACAAGACCCTTGAGTGTGGTACATTTACGCAAAGTAAATATATATATATATATATATATATATATATATATATATATATATATATATATATATATATATATATATATCATCATTGACATAGAAACTACCATTGCTAAATTTCTCAAAGAAATCAATGGAAGGAAAGAAAATATTTTACACATCCATTATTGCATGTCATCCATGGCTTTTTGCAAATTATATTTGTTGTACAGCAACAATTAAAGTTAAGGTCAAAAGTGTATTAATGGAGTATAAAATGAACAAAAATAGAAATTTATGGTATATTATTTTTGACTGCTTTGGGCATTATGTGAACAGATACTTTGCAGAGGAAAATATATTGCAAAAATACATTAAGTTTAGCCATTTTAAAGAGGCAGCTTGTAATATAGCAAATATGTTGATGTGTTTTTACACTGGAGTAGGTGACAACAGGCTGGATGTTTGCGAAGAGCCACCCTGAAAGTAAAGGTTTGAACAGTTTGTGTCCATGATGTGTGAGATCTTCAGAGACGTTCGCTGCCCCTTTACTGACCCTAGGTTTATACAAGTCCTGGATGGAGGAAAGGTAAGCCTTGGTGATCCTCTCCGCAGACCTGATGGTTTCTCTTAGCTTAAATTCTACAGAATCTAAAACAAGCACTTAAATAGACAATACTTTGAAAAAGGGCTGCAGTTTCTTTTGTTAATAAGCCAATTTTGAAGCAGTAAAGTGAGAATTCTCTATAGTTTGCCTGGAAGGATTCTTCTTTTCAAGTAGTAGAACTGCTAGTTGTCCTGTAATACTGTTATAAAACTATAGCAGCCATGTCATATATTTTAATAACTCCCATATACAAGCTCTTAACTATATATTTTCCCTATCTACTTTCAAATAAGGACTGGTAGGATTTGGCATGATGCCCCTAAGGTGTGGGTGTGTGATGAATTAGTGGTTCTAGATGTAAGAAGGATCATATCCATTTCAGGCTCTGATATTTAGAAAACGGATTTTAAAGCACATTCTGAAATGAACTGGTAACCAGCTTAGTGATCTTTTACAGTTGTGAGTAAAAATCCAAACAGTGGACTTCTGTTTTTCATGAACTAAAATCACTACTGCAGTAACCAAGGCATGGGGAATTAAAAGCATTAATAGACATTCCTACATTTGAGTTAACCACCAGAAATCTTCTTTGCTTTATTCCTTAACGCTAATGATTGGTTTCTTACAAAATTGTCCAAAATAATCATAAAGAGAAAAGAATCAAAATATTTTAAAGGTTCTTTAGATTCTGTTAGACATGGATAATTTTATGATTTGTGACCATGAGGAAGGTTTTTAGCCTACCAGAATACAGTTGTAGTGTTTGTCTACTAGCTGCTGCTTAATGCTTTTTAAGAAGTAGATGGAGGAAGAAAACATGTAAAAAAAAAAAAAAAAAACAAATAATACTGCTTCATTGTTCCTTAGGAAGCAAATGTATTTCACAGCCAACAGAAAAGGTCTTCATACTGAACCTTGAGGTACACCTCAGGTCATTATTGAACTGAGTGTCACTGTTTTTGTTCATGATTCCATGAGAGAAACTCACTTTTTTAGTCTCATCAAGATTTTCACTGATGATTTGAGAAATTGCTATAACTTCATATGATATATATTTTTTTACTTGGTATAAGTATGGGTAAAATATTGACCTGCATTTCTGTTGTTGTATAGATTCTAAAGTGGGCTCCCTGGATAATATGTATACTGTTTAATTTCTTAAATGAAAAGTCTCTTTTACAGTTTTAAGAGAGTAAATCTTTGGTTGTATGACTGTGCTGCTCTCTATGCTTAGCAACAAAAAGAGCAGCTATGATAACATCATCTGAATGATGTAATTTACTTTTTAAGACGCCCAAAGTTTGAGCTTAAGCTCATAATCTCTGCATTAGGCAGTCATCAGGCCTAAAGCCTGGGAGAGAACTATTCTTCCCTTTCCAACCTGCTAAACAGTCATTTCTTTATGTAATCACAGCTGGAGTTTTTGTAGGTGTGTAAACGACTTGCATTTTTATCCAGAATTTTCTTCTTCTTGCAACAATTCACAAATTCTTCTAATTTCATCTCATGCTCATAAATCCTGTAAGGCTTTATTAAGGTTTTATGTCTGTCATTTAAAAAAAAACAAAAAAGGTTAAAATTCATTAAAAAAGATACAGAAGTCAAATAATTTGTAAGATGTTCTTTTTGATAATTTGATATATAATCTTTATGATTTCTTTAATATTTATCTGTATAGTCAAATGAAAAGAGACAGATGCAATTTCAATTTTGTCCAGCAGATGGTACTTTATGCACCAAGAAGCTTCATCTGTGTTTGTGACTAGACTCCAGCCCTCATTCCCTCCAGCCTCTATTACAGTAAATATTAACTAAAGGTTATAGACTAGGGGGCTGTAAAATTCTTAACATTAGACTTTAGCAGCATCCAGCATGTTGTAATGGCATCTCTCGGTTCTTTTAGTTGCAGGTTGCACACAGCATTACAACATTCTTGATAATCTCATATAAACACATTTTGGGTTGAAGAAATGTGTTAAAGAGGGGCACCTAGGTTTTTGTAAACAGATTTTTACATGTTTGTGCTCTGTCCACAGTTTTATTCTTACAATTACTCCAATGGTTGGTCTTCCTGGACATGCAAAAGGAGGGTCTGTGATAAAGGAATGCCACAGTGGATTGACAGCATTGCTGACATAACCTACAGATCCCATTACATAACCTGTGCCCTCTGTTCAATTATCAGGAGAAATTATAGTCAGATAGCAGGACATTTGGCAAAGTCTCTTGGATGGGACGGAAAGTTCCTTCTGCAGGAAGCCACAGAGCAAAAACAGGGCTCCCTGAAAGTGTTTTGACTATAAACCCCGGCTGTGAAGAGCGCAGACACACATCTCTGTGATTAGGTAAACCTCAGAAGCCTTTTATGTGAGCAATCTGTAAAACCTCAGTCGGTACATCCTGTGAGGCATTCAGCTCAATCAGAGGCCATGTCCTGCTCAGCCTCTTATTAAACACACTTGATTGAGATTTACTGCCAGCAGCCATGTTGGAAAGATAACAAAGATGCCATATAGTATCAGATAGACAAGTTCTTAACTGTTGTGAAAAGATAAATAGGGTTTGGTTTACACAAGTAAGTTCTTGGTGGTGTTTGTGTGAATTTGGAAAATTTTCCCTGCTAAAGTGAACATGTTGCTCTGAAATATTTTCCAACATCTGCCGCCCATCAGGATGTCTGCTTTCTGAGCCACTGCTGCATTCCTGAGCCGCTCCCTCTACCTGGGTCTGAAAAGAAACCCTTCACTGTCGTTGGCCCTCAGCTGTACTCTGCGTGTGCCAGTTCAAACCCTATTGGTGGTACAAACATCAAACCCGGGGAGAATTAAAAACAACTCTGTGTGAATTGTTGTTATATTCTTTAATCATTAAGTTTATATTATGCTGCTTTTATGGATACTGGGGTCATAAAATCATAAAGAACACAGCGCCGGTGTAAGGTTGTGTCTAGAGTCGTGGCAGCAGATAAGCACATAGCAACCAAGGTGTCTACTTCTTCTCTGTTTTTCTCCTTGCCTTTTCCCCCATGATAGTATTTGCAAATGCTTTCTGAACTGAAACCTGAAAGGGTTTTTAGCATTTTGCATTTTTAATTATGTACATTATTATTTTTTTGTCTCTTCATAGCCGACTCTTTCAGTAATAAAATGGATCGTCTACGAGGGGAAATGTCATGCCTACTTTTACAAACATTGATTTAAAGTGTATTTTTCTAATATGCTTATGGTTTACCAGCACAGGATTAGATTTTTTTTCTCAACTCCAATACATAAAAGCATCAGGTTACTTTCTGTCCTCTCAGTTTGATATAACCAAATATATGCACATGATGTACAGTACATTTTTCAGAAAATAATTCAACATATTTAATGGAGGTATCTTACAGCATGGGGTGATAAAATGATACTGCTAAGTACCAGTAGACGAATGGTTGAACTGACCCAACCTCAGCATGAAGGCTGTTTATGGCTGTTTAGCAGTCTCCTGCAGTTTAAGAGCCTCTGTAAACCAATTAAACTAACTGATGTTTAAAGGTAGCTTCTAATGAATTGGGTCAATTTGGTCACACCAATCCACTGTGTGAAAAAAAAAGACATGGAATGCATTCATTAGATACAGGCTATTGTACACAATTATAGTCTTTGTCCATGGTGCATGGTGTCTAATCCCAGCACATTGAGAGCAGCACTTAAGATTCTTGGCATACTCTTGCACTCATTGCTATCCAGAGACTTAATCTCCCCTCGAACCCTTCTCAGAATCAGTCAAGTGAATGGCTTGGACATAGAAAAACCAAGCTAGTTTCTTGCAGAATGAGATTCCAGAGTGCAGGAAGTTAGCAGAGGGAGACTCAGAGGTTGGGTTATATAAAAACACACTGACCCTGCTCATTTTCTGCCTGAGAATCAGTTGGCTGTGCAGAATGACATAACAAGACGAGTTCCTCTGTGGATATCCTCCCCCACAATTTGCATTGTTGTTGGGTTGTTTTTTTTCCGCCAACCTGCAGCAAACGTTCAACAAACCAAAGCAGACAAGTTCTTAATTTTTCATAAATAAATCATTTTATTGTTGCATATAAAATTAAATCATTTTACAATTTATTCCAGTATTACACATAATATCCAAATAAAGTAGCTACATTTTATTAGATAAATAATAATAATAATAATAAAAAAATTCATCCTTTGACTTCTTTCGCTTTGTCTTTTTTTTCATGAAGGGATATCAATAGCTGCCACAAAACATGAACAATAATGCCCACGTTAGGAAGGAATGAAACCAAGTAACATTTCGTTGTCTCGTTCTTTAAGCTATAACACGGTATGCTAATCGAAATTGCGCATGTGCATACTGACATATACACACACAAGTCTACAGTTTGGGTCATATGAAAGAGAAAGGACCAAAATATACACAGCGAATTGATATCATCAGCAACTAAGTAAAATGTACAATTGTTAATTACAACCTGCTCCATGACGAAGCTACTTTCAAAGCTCCATTAATCTGAAGCAATTTATATTAAGAATGCTGATGTAGTCACAGCAAACAGTGCACTTCATTAAGTCCTCAAGATGTAAGTCCGCAATTCCTTGGGAATCTAGTTACAAACAAGAAGATGGTAGTTGGCTGCTGGTCTGCCTTCACCCCTGCAATCATCTAGACTGCCATTGGCTGCCAATGATGCAGCTGATCTTTTTCTTGCTGAGGGGTTCGGATGGTCTTTCCTGATCAGTCTCTAAACTTGTGGATGTCATTGGAGAGGCGGTAGAAGGGGTAAGAGGCTTCACTGGCATGTGGACAGTTGTAAGTGCACTTGCAGGACTCAATCATCATGACGTTCTTGTGGAAGGTCTCGCCATCCTCACAGCGGAACTTCACCCGGATGGTTCTGGTGTCATGGGGACTGCAGCAGCGGCCATCCACGCAGGCTCCGCAGTACCTGGGTCGGTACTTCTTCAAGCTGGAGCAACCAGCGTAGTTGAACTTCACTGGCTGGCTGGACTTCTTAGTTCTGCTGCACTTTTTTCCTTTCTGTGGGAAAATCAGAAGAAGAAAGGTGGGGGTGAGTTTTGTGCCCAGATGCAGCAAAAACAGCTTTTATGGTTCCATGCACATTTCCATGACATTCAGTCATGACCGGCTCAAGCTTACCTTCAGACTGGAGTAGGCTGACTGGGTGCATGGACGCACTTCACAGATTCGTGTCTCTTTGACTAGTTTACACTCGCTGTTGTTGTTGGTGACTCTGGTGGAGATACCAGTTCCACAGCTCTTGGAGCAGGGAGACCAAGGTGTGGTCTGGACAATGCACTTTTGACTGTCAAACATGTGGACCTCAGGCTGTGCTCTGTATACTGTGAACAGAAGAAGTAAAGCAAATTAGCAAAAAATTATATTGTTATAATACCTTATACTGAACACAAATATAACTGTCCAGAAAAATGAGAAAAAAAAAAAAACATTTCTTACCGGGTAGGGATTTCAGTCCTCCCTTAAAAATTGCAATGAGCTCATTCTTCTTGGTGAGGTCTTTCTCCAGCTCTTCAGCCGGGAAGTCTTTACCAAAGATCTTTTCTAAGATGTCCCTTTCCTTGCCATCATGACACACCCACTCTTCACAGCACTGGCCAGCAACTTTCACCAGTCTGGGATTGGCACAGCCCAGGTTTGGCAGGGAGAGTTCTTGTGGACAAAGAGGGACACATCCTACAGCTCCATCGATGCATGTGCATTGGTGTTTACAGTTAGGCTGGAAGCTTTCTCCATTCTGGTAGATCCTGCTGTTGTACTCACAGGGTCTGCCCTCTGACTTGGCTGCAACAGAGAAAACACATTACGAAAGGAATGTTATTCTTTCCTCCTATTCTCAAAAAATGTCTGCAAAAGACATTACATGGCTGCCAGATAAAGATCAGTTCAACTAAGAAATTCTTCAAGCTGCCTGAGGAGTCGTTCTCCCTCCACGGTGGGCTTTGAGGTTTAGACTACTTGCATTCCATAGTGCTGAAATCACTAAGAGCCTACATCTTTTCATTTACGGAGAGGAAAAAACAGACTAAGGGCTACTTTAAAGATTAAGGAGTCTCAATACATACCACGACAGATGCCTCGAGTTGTAGCAGCAGCATAACTGGCTCCAAAGTTACACTCCAGCCCCTTGGTGTGATCACATGGCTCGGTCAGGCTGCAGTCCTCGTTCAACTGTCTGGCGCAAACCTTACAGCACCCACAGCCGTCTAGGACCACGCTGACACCAGGCGCGCATTTGGGCATCTCCATGGGACACTCACACACGGAGGAGCAAGAGGAGGACGTGGAGAATACCTGTGTAATTCACAGAAATGTTTAAATTTTGATTTCCCATTAAACAAAACAGTTTTCTTCCCTTCAATTTTTTTTTTTTTTATTTTAGAATAAAATTGAAGAATAAAACTCACCAAAGGAAGGCTTCCAATGAAGAAAACGAGAAGAGAAGACATCAGCATCTTGGACAAATTTCCTGTGCGCGTAAAGAGGAATCCTTGAGGAGTGTGGCTTTGCTAGTATTCCCTCTCTCAGTCTTTTGTCCCTCTTGTTTGCTGGTAGTCTCTGTAGCGTTTAGAGCAGATGAGGCTCTCAGTTAAAAAGTTGCTGTCTGCTGAAGTGCGGCCACCTCCGCGCTTATATTCGCTCCTGGGAAGCTGACGTCGTCCCCACTGAAAGGCTGCCAAACTATGCCAGGAATGTTTCTCGGCGCATTTTCCATCCAAGACCTAAGCTCCACCCTGTCTATACCTCTTCTTTTTTTCTGCTCTTCAGATGGATTTTTTCCCCCCCTCTTGGATCCCATCTGAATACTCTTTTCCGTCCCATATTTTTCTTCACTTGTTTATCCTCTCTTTCATTTTCTTCTCTATAATCCAAGTTTAACTGCACCTTTCTGTTTAAACATACATCTTAAGATCCCTTTGACTTTGCCTCATCATCTTATCTAACTTGTTTTATTACATCCTTTAAATTAAAAACATGATGTTATGTAACAATGTACATGAATGCCTCCATCCCAACAGCTTAAAGTACCATCAGTGATTTATCACACTGCTTTTTATAATGCTGATCAAATCCTTTCATGTTTGTAATATGTTTCAGACCATGTCTAAACTAAAAAAGGTGTTTTCTCAAGCCTTGAAGGTGAGATGTACATTTTTCAGCAGCTATTTCTGGGTCCCTGGTGCCTTTATTCAGAGTAGCCTAAGTATTTCCAGATGCGCACCAAGAGCTGAGACGTAACAATATTGCCATATTTGGTATGGCAGTAGCCTACATTATTAACATATTTCTCCCTCTTTGGCCGGCATTCCTGACAGCTTAAAGGCTGGTAAAATATGTTTCCCATGCAGGGATTTTTTTTTTTGCATTCATACCTTGAGGGCTCTGCTGACTTCACACATACTGTCTATTTTATTTGGGAAGGGGGTGGGTGGAAGAAAGTGTCCTGTTGTGTGTCCATCTTTCCACATAATATTGCTGGGGTTTCTAAAAAAAATTACTTTTAGCCTACCTCATGGATTACAGGAAGTTTGATTCCGATTTAATAAAACTAGATTCACTTTTAACCAAGACGCAACAAGCAGGTAATGATGCCCTGAAAGGTTTCTAAGGAGTTTATTTTCTCTGTGTTTATTATAATTTGAAAAGCGGTGACAAAGGCAGCTGAAGAGCCATTCTGGTGAGTTTCTACTCACTTCATTTTTGTTTCATTACTCAACCAAAGAAAATATGCTTGTTACAAATAAACTATTGAAGCCTTCCCTTCTTTATGCTAAATGTATTTTGGGTTGGATATGTTTCCCTTTTCCATACTCTGCTGAGAACCCTAGATGGTGATGTGATGAGATGAATTTAGAGGATGATGTGGTTTTTATTTTAGGATCCGTAGGGCACGTCTTTGTGGTTACACTATAGACCTGCTAATGTCTGCCTGAGTGTTTGGACTCAATGAGCTAGCTGCCTTGTGAGTGAGTGAGTGAGTGAGTGAGTGAGTGAGTGAGTGAGTGAGTGAGTGAGTGAGTGAGTGAGTGAGTGAGTGAGTGAGTGAGTGAGTGAGTGAGTGAGTGAGTGAGTGCATGCAGCCTGTTAGAGTAGGGGGGTGTGTCTTTTGAAGCACATGTGTGCTGCTGGAATGCCATGAGGGATTGCTGTAGAGTCAATGGCACCATAGGAAGCAAATGACTACTGTCGCCAAATGCTCATCTGTAAAGTCGATGAAATCAGCTGTTTTTCTGCAGATAGAAAACGTTTGACCAATCTGACTCTATGGTCTGACTGTATCGTATCTAAAGCACCTTAAGATTGCAGATGTTGTGAATGAGCGCTGTATAAATAAACTGAATAGAATTGAATTATTATTGAATACAAATAGAAATTTAGAACTTTAAAAGGAACATTTTGTGTATTTGGCACAGCCTTGAAAAAGTATTTATAGATTTGCTTTGCTGTTTTACAATAGAGGTGGTGTGCTCAGAGAGATCTGCCATTTAATTTGATGGTGTATGTTACAGATCCTTTTTCACAGTCCAAATAGTTTTGCTTGTGTTTGTATCTCTGATTATTGCAAAAACCACATCAGAAGACTTTACACATTGGTTAGATATGAGTACAAACTAACTGAAAATACCAGGTTAATGCATGTTTTTCAAACATGGGTCGGCCTTATCAGCAGGCATAACAATCGGTATTTGGCTCCCTTCCCATTGGCATAGAAAGCTGGATCTAAGCTTTCGCTGGCAAGCTGCGTGGCCTCTGTCCCCCCCTTGCTGCGTGTCTGGTGACACCGTCATGCTAGGTTAGCGTTGATGATGTCACCAGTGCGACAGAAATCAGAAAACTATGGAGAGGAACATGTAAGGAAGCCAGGGCGTAGTAAGATGGCTTTATTGTTTCGCTCTATTATCTGTCCAAACTAGTGCTGCGCCGTGTTTACCAAATGTAAACAGTTGTTTTGACTTGTTAGGTCAGATGTTACTGGCACTGTGTGTTTACATACGTTGCGCTCAATGGTATCATATAATTTAGCAGGTCAACCCGGCTCTGGTGTTCCCACAGCCTGTCGATCAGAGCTGAGACGATTTTATGTGTCAGTGAGCTGTTCCCACTGCCACTAAAAGCGATTATTTCTAGGTTTCCACTGGTTTTTTGGGTAGTGGGAAATCTGTATATGAATTTTTCAGTTTCTTAGATTAAACCCCATTTTATTTATATCTAGTTACCCTCTAAAGGCTATTGAATGCACTGTTTTTGGTTGAGAAAGTCAGTTTAGGGGAGTTTGAATACAAATTGATACCAAAGTCTGATTTGATTGGTAAAAAGTTTGAAACCATGGATCTTTTCCATTTCACTTCTTAGTTGTGTTGTTCCTTACATCATAGGGGTTATGAATACTTGAGAGAGGCCTCTATCTATGGCTTATTTTTTTAAACCACTGTTATGCATTTAAGATTCTTTTAAAACATTAATTGAAAAGATCTTTGTATCTGAATGAGCTCTTATCTGTACATGTGTCTATTTGCATTGTAATAAAAATGACCGGAACACCAGCAACCAACACGGTACGGGGCGAACCCTTACCTCCTAAGCCACTGTTTCCCCTGGAATTTGTGATATGATTTATTTGTTTGTGTTTGTGCCTCTGCCCCTTTGTTAAAGTGACAGGAAACTGTGTTTTCATTCTGCGTCAAAGGAAAATAACATTCAGGAAACATTCCTGAAGGCCAATATGTGTTTGTCTGTTCCAAATGTAAAATAGTTTCCACCAAGGCTGTGTGAGAACCTTGATCAAACATGCAGAACACAGCAATGTTTTTTTCAAGTGGATTTTCAATTGTTATTTGATTTGCCTAACCATGTAGTTTCTTCCCCTCCAAAGGAGATGTTTGAGGAAAGTAAACGTTTATCCCACTCCAAAAGATTGCGTGACTCCTTATATCTAAGTGTAATGGAAACCTGTTGTCACATCCCATAGTTCAGAAGACAGCAGCTACATAATCAATGCAGAGGAAGTCAGCAGTGGCCAGCAGCCCGCCAGCTTCTCCATTCAGAGAAACAGAACAGGACGTTGATACATGTTTGGATAACAGATTCCTCAGTGGCGATTTAAGGATTGAATATCATAAGCAGAATACTTTGTGTATGAGCAACACAGTCTTTTGCTATAAACACATGGAGCAGCCGGAAGTTGGAAAAAATACTGTCTGCTCTAATATGAATGGCTGCCCAAGTGAGTCTAACAATCAAAGCATAGTCAACTTCTGAACACAATACAGATGTTTAAACACTGACAGAAGATAAGCTTATGCGTGCAGGCCTCTGGAAAGGATTAGGATGCAATCCAACAAAGTCCCTGATGATATCTTCTTTTTACAGGGGCCATAAAATGTATTATTTTAACAATAAATACCAGTATCAATCACACGGAAAAGCTAGTTTAAAAGTTATTTACATAAGCTTGACATGTAATAAGCATCCTAAAGCTGCATGGTAATGAAAATGACAGAGACCAGAGAAGTATTTTTGTTTGAAACATATGGCATAACACGACAGGCACCGGGATGAATCTAGAAATATGTTTATGGAAAATCTAGGAGGTGATGATGAAGTGAAAAAAAGGCTTGTGTTATTTTCTTCCTAGAAAGTGGAGCAAAGAGGTGGTGGCCACAAGAGGATAGATCAAATGACTCCTGTCAGAGCAATCTGAGTTTATTATATCATCCACTGCTGATAATATATGCAATAATAAAACATTCTTACTGAGAAGTTTGCTGATGACAGGTTAAGGGTGGTGATATATTCCGAAGATTAAACTTATTTTTCTTATCAGTTAAGAAATTCCATTTTATCTCAGCACCTAAAGGGCTCTCCTATCAGACTGTTGACTGTGGTTGCTGGTGGATTCAGTGTAATCCTGTGCTCATCACATGCTGAGCTCATTGCAGGATGACAAGAGGTGCATGGTCACAACTACAGGTAGAGATAAGTAAATGCAAATGAAAAAAATAACAACAACAAAAAACAAAAAAACAGCTAAAGGGGAAATTAATTAAGAAAAGTAAAGAGAGTATGGATTACAAGTGAAAAAAAGCATAAAAATTAGAAACGTTTAACAAAGTATATAAACATCTAGTAAACAGCACTACTCCCCTATTTTTTATTTTATCCATCATTTTTTATTCTATAAAAGTTCTGTATTCTCAAAGGGGCAGAACCACATATTTGTCAGTGACAAAGAAAACCAAATGTAATAACTTTTCGGTAAGTTTATGTTACTGTTTCTGCCTGACATATGGCTTCTCTAAAATGTCCCATTCGAAAAATATGCAATCAACGGCACAAAAGTGTTGCTTAACTCTTTTAAACCATTATCTAAATTGTAACCTCTCAAAAAAATGTCCCACATGAGATTTTGCAGGGTTGAAAATAAAACAAAAACTCCTGTTCAGTCATTGGTGACAGGTTTACTTTATTGTGGAAAGCACATATTGCTCCACTGTGAGGAATGTGTGCAGTCAGCTATGACTGTAAATACCAAATTTCAGCATCATGGTGATGCTTTCCATTAGTTAGCTGCTTAAGCTGATCGGGCCCCAACATTATCAGCACTTCGAAAGAAAGCCACCACCTTGCAAAGGAATTCATATCG